AAGTGCCTTCTCTACTCTTACTAAGACGATTCAGATTTTCTCCTACAGTCTGTTAAATTGGTGATTTCAATTAATAAAATTAATTTAATGATGAATTATATTAATTGGTTTTCTGACATAAAGCATAACTCATATTCCTACAAAACCCCAACTAGATAGTGAGCAATAGTTTTTTGTCCTACTTACATATTACTGGATTTAGTCTGCTAATAATTTATTTAAGGTCCTAGCAACTTTACATAAAATGAGGTCAGCCTGCAGCTGACCGTCCAGGGGTGGCCCTCGTGAATGCTACTGATCAGACTGGCATGGCCTCATAAAGTGATTCTTACACCGAGAAGAGCTTATGACCACTTGGGCTCTTTCTCAAACATTTGTAGAACTCATGCTGCCATGTGGACTGAGAGCTTCTTGGTGGGAAAACTTTGAATACTGGTTCAATTTCCAATGATTGCATAAAAAGTTAGACTTTCTGCTTCTACTTACATTGGGTAAGTTGCATTTCTCTAGAAAATTTTTCATTTTATGTAAAATGTCAAGACCGTTTCAACCTCATGCCCTCCTTGCAAGTTATTAAGCTACCCTGTCACGATTCATGAATGCTGGCAGAAAACACAAGACTCCCAGGTCAGAGACAACGGACTTCATTGCTGGCAGAACAGCACTTGGCTCAAGCAGGTGCTGCAGTGGTGTCCTGTGCTCTCTAAGACCTCAGGAAGGTATAGGGTCAAAGCAGAGGCCACAAGCATAGTGGGTGTGCACACCATGCTGGGGAACTTGGCTCTTTTATAGCAAGCCTGCTCTTCATCCCCAAGGAGATAATGCCGCAAAGCCAAGGTCTGTAAACCCAGCCCTAGAAAATGGCCTGGGAAGAGCAGGTGGGGTCTTGTGTGCTTGTTCCCAGCAGAAAGGTACACAGGTGTTTGGGGACATGGGCATTGTCTCTCCTACCAGGCCACCTCCTCAGCCCCATGCCATCTTTGCCACGCTCAATTTTATGGGCTGGAGGTGTGGCTCAAGTGTCTTCTTTTGTAATTACCATTCCTGAATTTTTTTCATCTTAGTCTGTTTTCCTCCCATGTAACATCTTAGCCACTTTTTTTTTTTTTTTTTTTTTGCAGTACTGGGGATTGAACTCAGGACCTTGCGCTTGCTAGGCAATTGCTCTATCATTTGAGCCATGCCTCAGCCCTTTTTGCTTTAGTTATTTCTTTTTTAAGATAGGGTCTTATGTTTTCACCCAGAGTTGGCCTTGGTCTGTGATCCTCCTTCCTATACTTCCCACCTAGTGGGATTACAGGTATGAGCCACCATGCCTGGCTCATCTTAACCATTTCTAAGTTTCCAGTTCAGGAGCATTAAAGTATACTTACATTGTTTTGCAACCATTGCCATCATGCATCCTCAGAACTCTTCCTCTTACAGAATTGAAACTCTGAACCAACTAGATAAAAAGTCCCTACATCCCTCTCCCCTCAAACCCTGGAAAACACTGACTTTTCTATGAATTTGATGATCCAAAGACTGCACACAAGTGGAATCATGAAGTATTTATCTCTCTGTGGCTGGCTTGTGTCACTTATCAGGATGTCTTTAAGGTTTGTCCACATCATCATGTGTTAGGATTTTCTTCCTTTTAAGACTGAATAATACCCCTTCTTTGTATGTGCCACGTTTTGTTTATCATTCACTCATCAGTAGACACTTGGGTTGCTTCCAGCAGTTAGCCATTGTGAATAATACTGCTGTGAACATGATGTGCAAATATGGATCTCCCCAAGACCTTGCTTTCAAGCCAGACATGGTGGTGCCCAGCTATAATCCCAGCACTCAGGAGGCTAAGGCAGGAGGATGAGGCCAGCCTTGGCAACATAGTGAGTTCCAGGCCAGCCTAGGCTACTTAACAAGACCCTGTCTCAAAACAAAGACCTTGTTTTCAACTATTTTGGCTATATATCCAGAAGTGCAATTGTTGAATCACACAGTAATTCTATTTTTGATTTTCTGAGGAGCCGCCATACTGTCTCCCACAATGGCTGTACCGTTTGACATTCCCACCAACAGTACACAAGGGTACCAGCTCCTCCACACCCTCCCCAGCACTGGTTTTTCTTTTTTTTTTTTTTTCTTTAATAGTAGCCAACAGAATGGATGTGGTATCCCATTGTGGTTTTGATTTGCATTTCCCTAATGATTAGTAATGTTGAGCATTTTTTCTTGGGTTTATTGGCCATTTGCATATCTTCTTTTTTTGTTGTTGTTTTGGTAGTCCTGGGACTTGAACTCAGGGCCTCATGCTTGCTAGGCAGGTGCCCTACCACTTGAGCCACTCCACCAGCCCCCATTTGCATATCTTTTGTTGAAAAATATCTACTGAAATTTTGCCCATTTTTCAATTGAGTTGTTTGCTTTTTGCTGTTGAGTTTGAGGAATTCTCTCATATTCTGGATATTAGTCTTTTATCAGATTCATCACTTGCAAATATTCTCTCCTGTTCTGTGGGCTGCCTTTTTGCTTTATTGGTGTTATCTTTTGATGTACAAAAGCTCTTCGTGTTAAAGAAGTTAAATTTGTCTGCTGCTTTTGTTGCCAGTGACCTTGGTGCCATATCCAAAACATTCACAGCCAAATCCAGTGTCATGAAGCTTTCCCCTATTTTCTCCTTGGATTTTGATAGTTTTAGCTGTTATGTTTGGGCCTTTGGTCTTTTGAGTCCGTTTTCTTATATAATATTAGGTAATGATCCAACTTCATTCTTCTGCATGTGGATATTGAGTTTTCCCAGCACTTTTGTTGAAAAGATGGTCCTCATCCCCTTGAATGGTCTTGGTATCCTTGTGAAAGTCACGTGATTATATATGCAATAGCCCTGACTTCTTTTCTATTCTGTTGGTCCATATGTCTCTATGCTAGCTCCACACTGTTCTGATAACAGTTTACAACAGGGAAATCTGGAAGTGTGAGTTCTCTAGTTTTATTCTTACTTTACAGAATTGTTTTGATTACTCCCTTGACATTTTAAAGCTTGAGCCTTATTTCTTTGACTATTGATATTACATAAGTCTGAGTTTGATCTCAGTGGTTTCCCTATTTCTTCCTTTTCCTGTTGGTAGTATCTAGCTTCCTTGTGTGCTGATTGTCATCATGACCTGGGTTTTGTACAGCATTTGGAATCATGTGTGTAGAAATGACAAGGGCAATAATTCCTCCAGAGCATGCTCTGCTTTCTTCTGTCTGGGAGGCAAGGATGCTGCCAGTCTGGTCACTTTACTCCGAGGCCCGGGCTGACACACCCTGGACTGCTGGGGAAGCCTGCAGGGGCTGCTTCCTTTTGGTTCCAACTGAGGGGAACCCTTAGGGAAGAAGCTCAAAGTGCAGCAGCCTCCCTAACTTGCTTGCTGAACTTTGTGCTCTCTCTCTCGCTCTCTCTCCCCCCACTCCCTCTATCCCTGCCTCCCTCTTTTCCTTTCCCTCTCCCTAAGCTACTAAGTAGCATTTGGAAATGGGCAGTTTGAGTCCAGGTGGGCCTCCCTGGCCTCTCCTCTCCCCAGGTCTGGCTGTGGCCCATTCTTACTTGCTTGCTAGCCCTTGGTGCTTTAAGAAGAGAGGTGAATTCATCCACCTTCCCCATTTTCTCTTTTTTTTTTCTTTTTTTTTGCGGTGCTGGGGAGTGAACCTGGGTCCTTGTGTATGCTAGTTAAATGCTCTATCACTGAGCTACATCCCAGCCACACTTTTACCACTGAGCTGAATTACACAGCATGCCCTCCCCCAAGGGAGTCTGGGTGGCTTTTCTTTTCTTTTCTTTTTTCTTTTTTTTTTTTTTTAGTGGTACTGGAGTTTGAACTCAAGGCTTTGCACTTGCTAGGCAGGTGCTCTGTCACTTGAGCCACACCTCCAGCCCATTTTTGCTTTAGTTATTTTTCAGGTAGGGTCTCATGTTTTTGCCAAGGTCCAGCATTAAACTGTGATCCTCCTACCTATGCCTCCTGCATAGCTGGGATTACAGGGCTGTATCACCATTCCCAGCTTATGGGATGGGATGTTACTTAACTTTTTGCCTGGGCTGGCCTTGAACCGTGATCCTCCTGATCTCCACCTGCCAAGTAGCTGGGATCACAGGAGTGAGCCACCATGCCTGGCACCAGGGGACCTTTTCTAAATTCCTGGTCCTGATCACTTTCTTTCTGGCAGCAAATAAAAACAGTATGGAGCCTCATATTGTGACCATTAACTCATTCCCCATTGCTCAGCACCCCTGGGGTCAGAGCTACCTCTGAAAACAACAGGAATTTATTTCTCACAGTTATGGAGACCAGAAAGTCTACCATCAAGACACTGTCAGATTTCGTGACTGTCCTGCTCCCAGGCTCACAGATTGGGGTCTTCTTGCTGGGTCCTTCCTCACATGGCAGAAGGCAGCTGTCTGGGTCTCTTTTAAAAGGGTACTGACCCCATCTAGGAGAGCTCCACCCTCATAACCTCATCGCCTCCCAACACCACCACCTTGGGGGTACGGGCTTCAGCAGTTAGCATAAGCCACATCTCATAGGGAAGAATCCCAGAGCGCAGAGGGGCCGGCCGGCTTGTCTCAGGGATGCACAGCTAGTGTCAGTCGGCCTGAACTCAGTGAGTCTGCATGCTGCTCACGCTCCTCCTCTCAGAGCCTCCTGGGGCTCCTGTCACCTGAAGGCCCAAGTGCAGACTCCCCCACTGGGCCATCACAGCCCTCCAGCCTCCCTCACCCCATCTCCTCCACCAGGCCTGGCTTAGTGCAGGGACTCTGCCCAGAGCCTGACCTGAGCACAAGGCCTGTGTGTAATGGGGTAGAGCCAGGACCACAAGGTCCCACTTCAGGGTCAGGGGACTGCCTGAGACTGGCTCACCCTCAGAGGACACCTGTGGCTGGCCCAGCATCTGCTCACAGCACCCCAGTCTGTCCCCTCCAGCTTTCTGCCCGCAGCACCCTGGTCCACCCTGTTGTGGCTTTCTGCCCACAGGTTAACAATAACGGGATCGTCTCCTTCCTGAAGGAGGTTTCTCAGTTCACCCCCGTGGCCTTCCCCATTGCAAACGACCGCTGCGTGGTGGCAGCTTTCTGGGCAGATGTGGACAACCGGCGTGCAGGCGACGTCTACTACCGGGAGGCCACTGACCTGGCCACGCTGCACAGAGCCACAGAAGACATCAGACGCTACTTCCCTGAGCTCCCAGATTTCTCTGCTACCTGGGTTTTTGTTGCCACGTGGTACCGAGTGACCTTCTTTGGAGGCAGCTCCTCTTCTCCTGTGAGTCCAGGTGTCTGTCCTGGGAGGGAGGATGTCTGGTTGGGACCCTCACTGAGGCATAGTCACTGGTCCACACCTGAGAGGAACACTGGGCTCAGGGTCCCCTATCACTGGACTGAGGTCATGGGGCCATGGCACAAGAGGATAGATCCTCACCCTCCCCAGAAGCATCTGACACCACAGTTTACATGCTGAGGTGCTATGTGTGTGTGGACGATGGTGTTAGAAGCATTTGGAATGGCTCAGTTCTTGAAGGTTTCTGCTGTCAGTTATTCTGTTCCGTGGTTTATTTCTTGATAATGCCAGACAACCAAAATGCTAACTCAGGAGTGACTGAACACTTTGGTGAGAATGAGTGGGCTCCCCAGCAGGATAGCAACTGCCCACACTGGCTGAATACCTCCTCCTATGGAGGCCTGCACCAGGCACTGGGCCACAGCTGCCTCCCTGGAAAGAGACACTTAGGTGCAGGTGGCCTTTCCAGAACCAGTGTGCACACACTCAATGCATACTTTTTCAGGGTACCTTCTGGATGGCAGGCAGTGTCTTGGGCTGGACAAAGCAACCAGGATGAGTCCAGTCACTCTCTGCTGAGAGTAACACAAACAGCCCAGCCTTGTGACAAGACACCAGTCATCAGGATATGGTGAGAGGGCAGCCTGCCAGGCAGCACTGCCAGAAGCAGGTTCATTAACACAGAGAAGATGGTGACCTCTCATTGCCCCTCAGAACCATGGCTCTCAGTATCTCCACAGCCCCACTGTTGGTCCTCACTAACTCTTGTCCTTCCCAACACACGCACCTGGGGCTGTCACATCATCTTTGTTGTCTTCAGAGTGTTGGCACTTACCTGATTTTCTGAAGCAGACAGCTAATGTCCCTCGTGCTAGCTTCTGCATAAGAATGGATACTGTTGGACTGGTGGAGTGGCTCAAGTGGTAGAGCACTTGCCTAGCAAGTATGAGGTCCTGAGTTCAAACCCCAGTACCACCAGAAAAAAAAAAAACAAGAACAGATACCATTCAATCTCCCATGGTTTCCAATTCCCAAAACCCCAAAGCTAGCATTCACAGTCGTGTCGTGGTGTGTGTCTCCAGGGAGCTGTGTGCCCACCCAGCCCCCTTGGCAGTGCACTGGTCCTGCACCCAGCTGAATGCAGTGTCGGTCTCCCTCCTTGTTCACATGCAGGCAAACAAGAAAGCCTTTGTTCTTAACTTAACGCGTCTCTGGTTTCTAGAGACATTGGCTTCGTTCTGGTGTTGTTGATGAGGTGGTTTCTGTTAGGATATATCTGTCCATACCTTCTTGCAGATTTTTCCGGAACACGGTTGGTCTTTTATTATTGATTTGTACAAGCGCCTCTGAAATTAAGGGTATTAGTAGTTTTATCTGCCATACATTACAAGTATGTATGTACTTGAAATTTTTTTCATTTGCTGTTTGCTATTTGGTTTGATCCTGCTATAGTTTTTCTATTCAGAAATTTTTGTACTCAAGGCTGGTGGAGTGGCTCAAGAGGTAAGAGTGCCTACCTAGAAATTTTTGTACTCAAATGTATTAATGTCTCTTTGGGGTTTTGCTGTCAACAAATATCACACATAAAAGTCCTTTTCCTAGGACTGGGGTGTGGCTCAGTGATAGAGTACTTGCCTAGCATGCGTGAGGCCCTGGGTTCAATCCCCTACCCACAAAAAACAAAACAACAACAACAAAAAAATCACTCTTCCTTTCTGAGAGGCTATACATATGAGCTGGTATTTTCTTCTAGGATTTTTATGGTTTCATTTTAAAACCATACTTGATTTGGGGTTCATTTCCACGTGTGGTAGAAAGTTAAGCTTTTCAGAGATTTTCCTCTTTGTCCCAAGGTATTTTGTCACCTCAATCAAAACAGCATTTTTCCCATATACACTGCTCACAAGTACGTTTGTGAATTATGAGTTCCATGAAAACCTCAAAACCTAATTTTTAAAAACTGCTTTTCCTTGGTTCCTCTTTTAATCCTCCCCTTATTCTTTTTGACATTTTTGTTCATTTCACACAGAAAACTGCAGTTTGGCTCTCTGCATGCTCCCAGCCCTGCAAGAAGGAACCTGAGCACCTTGAGGGTGGGAGACAGCATGTCTTGGCCCTGGCCTCATGCACTGTGCCTCACTCTCTCATTAAAATACAATGGGGGAAGTGGGAGGGTGCTTGCACTGGGATACAGAGGTAGACAAGGCCATTGAGGTCTGCCTTGGCTGACTGTCCAGCTGGGGGAGACAGACATTAAACAAGCCCAGGGAGGGCCTTGGAGGTGGGACAAGGGGGTACAGGCGCCCATTTAGCCCCCTCTCCCTGGCAGATCAACACGTTCCAGACTGTGCTCATCACGGACGGCAAGGTCTCCTTCACCATCTTCAACTATGAATCCATCACGTGGACCACAGGCACACATGCCAGCAGCGGGGGGGATGCCACCGGCCTGGGGGGCATTGCAGCCCAGGTAGGCCAGCACAGGGCTGGCACTCAGTGTCAGGGGCCCTGCTCCCCACTGCCAGGACTGTCATGAGCTGAAGAGGTAGGCAGGAGTTCACCATAGGTGAATCTCCCTCTAGTACTACAAATGTGGTACACACAAATTTGTATGTGGACACATTTTGAGGTGTCCACAGTAGCTCGGTGCCCTTGAGGCCTTGCACTGCCCATAACCACAAAATATCCTCAGGCCCAAGCCTTGCCAGCTTTGATTAACAGCTGAAAAAAATGAAGGCCCTCCCCTCCCCCACCGTGCTCCTCCAATCACTCCTAGATTCACTCAAGCTAGGGGAGGCCCAGAAGCCCACCCAGGGTGAGCACTGGAGGCTGGCGGAGGGGCCAATGCTATCCTTGACTGGAGGAACTGTTGGTTGAGGTCAGGCCCTGACCAGGACATCCCAACATTCTGCAGAGTCCCTGGATCACAGGGCCATCTCCCACACCATGACCTTGGCCACCCTGGGAGGGGGTGTCCAAAGGAGACCTGACCCCCCTCACTACCCCTATCCCCAGGCAGGCTTCAACGCAGGTGATGGGCAGCGCTACTTCAACATCCCGGGCTCCCGCACGGCGGACATGGCCGAGGTGGAGACCACCACCAACGTGGGTGTGCCTGGGCGCTGGGCGTTCAGAATCGATGATGCCCAGGTGCGCGTGGGGGGCTGCAGCCATACAAGTAAGAGGACCGAGCAAGAGGCTCCGGGCCGGGAGGGCTGAGGAATAGAGGCTGGGAGGAGGGATGGGACCAGCGTTTACCCTGGCTAGAGTGTGTGGGAACCTGAGCACATCCCACCTTGTCTCTGAGCCAAGCTGTAGACAGGGACAGCTGTGAAAGATGGCAGCTTTGGGTGTATGGAGTTCGGGTCCTCAGGGAGAAGGAGAAGAGCGAGGCTGCCCCCTGTCCCTCCACCTCAGCTTCCATCTCTGGTGGGAGTGAGCGTGTGGAAGCCTCCTCAGGCTGCCTACCTCTGGGCATGTGGCTTGTGGGACTGGTGGTGTTGCCAGCCCCAGTGACAGGGGCCCTAACCATGCAAGCAATGGCACAGGCCTCTCTCCTGGGCAAGTAGGCAGATGTGGGAATAATGCTGACTGGCCATGAACCTGGGGACCCTGGCGTGGCCTTGGGGGACTCTGGATGTAGCCTAGAAACACGCTGCACAAAATGCAAAGGTGTCAAGTGATTGACCAGTCACTCTGGAGAGCACTGCTCATCATGAGCCCTGCAAACCTGGGCCATGGAGAGGCCCCTGCTGGGACCTGCCCTACAGACACCTCCCACCCCCAGGGACACAGGGTGCTTCTCCCCAATGCTGAGTCCCCAAGAGGGGAGCAGGCACATGCACACCATGGTGGGGGGGGCAGGAAAGAAGGAAGGCATGCACACCCTACTCACAGGATGGGCGACTCACCCAGGCACCACAACTGGCCCTCTGCTCCACTGGAGAGAGAAGCCTGGAGAGTCCCGGTCTGCCCACACCCTGGAGCTTGGATCAGCCCCAGTTTGAGTCTGAGCTTAGGTAGTAGGGGTCTCAAGGGGTTTCCAGAGCAGGCCACCTGAGAGTACATAGTCCTCCAGCAGCCCAAGTCCCTCCCTGAGCCATTAGTCAGCTCTGGCACCTGGGCTCTGGGCAGTGGTAGTTGAGAGCAGTACACCAATCCATCAGATGATGCTTTGGGTAGGGCAGTGAGATCAGGTCACCTACCAATGACCAGGGCCTTGGGTGGTAGTTCAGAGACCAGGCTCAGGTACAGGCAGGCCATCCTCCCCAAAAGAACTAGATGTGGTGAGCCCAGGAGTGGAGCCCTCAGAAAACAGTCCAGCCAGTCCCTTGGGGCTCCATCCCACTGTCCAGGTCTCTGAGATGAACAGCCACAAGGAGGCACTGAAACTAGCTGCAGAGACACCCTCAGGCTCATGGGGGTGCCCCTGGGATCCAGGGCTCAGCTGCTGGGCAAGCTCAGGCCCCCCGGACACCTGGCCTGGGCTGGGCACTTGATTCTAGGGTTTGATGTAAACACAGACTTCATCAGGCACATGCCTGAGAAGCAGTGCCCTGTGTCCAGAAGTCTAATTCCTGAAAACAGCCAGGCTCCTGCAGGAAGCCAGGGCTTGCTGCAGGGTGGCCGAGCTGCAGGTAAACTGAGTGAGCACAGTGTAGCTCAGCAAACAGAAAGGTAAGGTCTCTGTTCCAAGAAACACCACAGCCTTCATGGTGTGCTGGGCTACCAGGTCCTTTTCAGAGTCTCCCTGAGGTTCTCTGTAACAGGCAATATGAGTCCTTGGGCCAAACACTCCGGTCACCCACCAAGTTGTTCATGATCTGACAGCCTCGCCTCTGGTATTGCTACCCCAAGAGCCAAGCTCTCAGGCTGCCTGTCCTAGTAGAACTGGGTTTGGAGGATGCTGAGGCCCTTGGGGACCCCAGGATGCTTTCCCTGGGGGGTAGGCCATGCCGGAAGAAACACTGGCTTTGATGACTGAGTGTCAACCTCTCATTTTACACTTGAGGAAACCAGGAGGGGTGACTGATCAGGCCTGGACTTCTAGAACTGCCCATGGCAGAGCTAGGAGGGATTACGGGAATAAGAGGAGCTGTAGTGTATGTGGTTCTGGAGGTGTCTGTCTCCCCAGAGAATCGAAGCCCACAGCATCGACTGGGCATGCTGGCTCTCCCTCAAAGACCTAAAGAAGGGAAACTGCAGATGTTCTGTTGCCAGTGGCGTGGTCACTAGGTTGACTCTTTGGGCCAAGGGAGGGAAAGGAAATGAGGCCATCAAGACTGGCTACCCTGCCCTTGTCCTAGAGGCAGTGTCATGAAGCTTGGGCTCCCTCCTGTGCCCACAGCCTCTGTGTGCCTGGCCCTGCGCCCATGCCTGAACGGTGGCAAGTGCATTGACGACTGTGTCACGGGCAACCCTTCCTACACCTGCTCCTGCCTCGCTGGCTTCACAGGGCGGAGGTGCCACCTGGGTGAGTCACTGGCCCAGGTGGGGACCGTATGCCCACTGACAGGACCCACCCACTGGCTGCACCAGGCTCAGAAGGAATACCGCAGGTGCAGACACCTATGGTATGGGGTTTGCTGAACGCTCTATGGCAGTGAGCGTGGTGAGCGGGTGCTGCCACTGCTGTTACCCCCGGCCCCCTTGTTCTGAGCCAAGCTCCAAGTTTACCCGACTGTCCCCCACCCCTGCCTGCAACTTGGTAGGTCCTTCCCAACCTGGTTCTTTCACTGAGGCCCCAGCCTGCCCATGTTTCAGATGTGAACGAATGTGCCTCCCACCCATGTCAGAATGGCGGAACCTGCACCCACGGCATCAACAGCTTCAGCTGCCAGTGCCCGACTGGCTTTAGGGGACCTACCTGTGAGTCAGGTAAGAGCACCTGCCCAGGCCCCCACAGCCCCTGTGGCTACAGGACAGTGGACACATAGTTGGGTAAGGGTGAGGCCTAGGACCACAGAAGGAATTGGCATCAGGTGTGGACAGCTGAGGGCGGCCTGTCAGGGACGGAGTGTGGAGGAACAGATGCTAAAGGAGAGGCCTGTCTAGTGAGTACATGCCAGAGCAGTGACTGCAGTGGACGCAGGCTGCCTGGATCCTGGACTGGACCAGGGTCAGAGGCAGCCAGCTGCAGGGCCGGAGTGAGAGCCCACTTGCCCAGAATGGCTGGGGGAAGTGAGATGGGAAGCTGTGGGGTGGGAAGGACACAGCCATGTACCCCTGGAACATACTCCCTTGCCATGCCCTCCACCTGCCTGGTGCTCCAAGGACATAGTGTTTCTCCTGCTAGGATCTTATAGACTGGCCCGGGGTCCTTTTCCACCTCCACTGCTCCCTCCCTACCACTGCTGGACTCACCTGCAGAGCCCAGCTCTTCTGAATCAACTGCCATCAGATTCACTCAGCCTCTACTTATCTGTTTTCAAGTCCCCCACCCTAGTCTCATCATGGTCGCTGCTCGGGGAGCCAGACCAAAGGAGCCCCTTCAGGTCAAAGCACAGTGACTACCCACTCCCCACCAGCTCGGCCAGATATGCATGCCCTGAGTGCACTGATGGAAGTATCACCAATCTTTGTGATAGATTGTTTGGACCAAGTGTGTTCAAATAGCAACTGTATCAATATCTCAGTCTAGAAAAGCAATTTCTGTTGGAGATTCATGGCCACAGGAAGCTAGGTATTTAATTCCAGTGCACACATGTTTTTACTGGAGAGAACTATAGTTGGCAGTAAAAGGTTTGCACATAAAAGTACACTAAAATAAATTTCTGCAGGAGAAATGTAAAGGAAATATAACTTTGAGGTGCAAAAGTGGAAAACAGAATTTCCAGCTGGCAAGAGGGGCTTGTTTGTGGGTTTTGAAGATCACAATGCCAGTGACCCCTCTGTTGTCCATTGCAAACAGGGGACACACTGCCCCAACCCTGGCTATAGCCTGGACAATTGGAGTATATTCTGCGCAAAGGGGCTTCTCCTTAGGCAGACGCTTGGTGCCTGCTCCCCACAGATCCCTAGCACAGGCCCGGTGGAGCTGGGCTTCATGGTGTGGGAGCTGCTGCAGAAGTTCAGACAGCCTGCTGCTTCTGTCCACCTCTGAAAGTCCAAGGAGGTCCCTCTGGGTCTCCACCTTCCCTCTCAGCAAGTGCTCCCCGCAAGGTGCTGGCCAGGCAGGACCTGGGCTCTATGGGGATGACCCCAAGAATGGCAACCAAGGGAGGGACAAAGCTCCCCAGGGAGTGGGTCATTCCTCAGCAATGTGAGACAGTCTGGGAACCACACAGTGGTGGCTTCCCCTGGGTTCCAGAAGTCCCTCCTGGATGTATGGAGGGAGCTGGCTCCTTTCACCCCCTCAATCTCCTTGTCCAGTCCTCCTGTCCAGTACACACACACCCTCCATGCCAAGTTTGAATTAGGTCCAATTCATCTGGCACTTAGTGAAACTATGGGACTGCCCTGGCCGGGCCCCCTCCTAGCTATCACCTTCTGGAGATGGCCTGCTGCACAGCAAGCCCATATGTGTCTTGGTGGGGCCCAGTGTGTCTTCAGTGATTTCTGCCCATCAGGCAGCCACAGCTAGGAGAGTCCAACATCCTGTCCACTCCTCCCTTGTAGCCCAATCCCCATGTGACAACAAAGTGTGTCAAAATGGCGGCTGGTGCCAGGCAGGAAGCAGCTCTGCTGTGTGTGTGTGCCAGGCCGGGTACACGGGGGCCACCTGTGAGACAGGTGAGTGGGTTCCTTGGAGTGGGGAGGGCTGTGGGCAAGGCTCCCCTCCAGCCAGCTGCTGGGTACAGGGTGGTCACAGCCTGGCTTAAGCCAAGCTTCTGCCTCTGCTGCCCCCAGATGTAGACGAGTGCAGCTCTGACCCGTGCCTGAATGGAGGGTCATGTGTTGACCTGGTGGGAAACTACACATGCGTGTGTGCAGAGCCCTTCGAAGGACTTCACTGTGAGTCAGGTAAGCTGCCACACACCTGTAGCCCTCTGCAGTGACCTTGGCTTCTACGGCAGCTGCCATCACAGCCACACTCCCACTTTGCTGCCTCCCTGTCCCACTCAGCCCATGGGAGTCACTTGACTGGAGAGAACAAGAAACAAAGGAGCAATGTTCGGTGTGAGGCTAAGGAAGTACCTTCCCCTTTCTGGGCCTTGGTTTCCATCTGTAAAATTGTGGGGATAGCTGACAAAGTTCCCCCAGGCCCTTTTCCAGCTCAGGTGATTCCTGACTTTTTAAAGTCTTCCTACTCGACTCCTGCCATGCAAGGGAAAGAGCCATGGGACTCAGAAAGGAAACTGACTTACTCTGTGTGACGAAATCTGCTTTTTTCTATTCTCTCTTTCTCTCTTATATTACCATTATAAGATAGATAGATCAATCAATAGGTCGATAGATAGATAGATGTACTGAGGTTTGAACTCAGGGCCTCTCACTCACTGGGCAGATGCTCCACCATCTGAGCTGAGCCCCAGCCCTCCATATTGTTTCAAATACTGGCTTATGAGTAGGCAGCTCAATGAAGAGGCCTATGGAGACTACAAAGCATGGCATAAAAACATAGTGAAAGCCTGTGTTCTGTCTGACCGCTCCCCAACCCCCAAGGGCCTGGCCCACTTTTTGGACAGCTATGGGCAGGGCATGCTGGAGACAAATTATTAGATTAATTTTGCACATGAGCAATTAAGGAGGAAGGTTACATTTTACCCATAAGTAAGACACAGATGGACACTGCCTTCCATAGGTCTTTGGATGGTCACACCACGAGAGGGGGAGGCTGCAGTGCAGAGGTCAGATGTGGCAACCTTGCCTGCTTGGTTTCTTTAAAATCTCATTACATGCCACCTTACCCTGGTGATGGTCAAAAGATCATTGTACTCCGCTAAACTCATGTCAGAAAACAGATAAGTGGTTTCAGAAGATTTTTGTGAAGAAATCACTTTTCATACAGAATAATAATGCAAGTGAAAGTGGATAATAATAAAACAGAACAAGCCAGGCACAGTTGTGAGTGACTGTGGTCTCAGGTACTTCAGAGGCTGAGACAGGAGGATTACCTGGGTCCAAAGGCCAGCCTGGGCAACACAGACCATCTCCAAAACTTAAAAAGAAACAGAAACAAGAACAACAGAACACATCTACCACAAACGTAAGCTCATAAAACACATTACAAGTGCAAACACTGACAGTTTAATCAGATCTGATGAGAAGTTGAGAAGCCAAACTCGGGAGATAATAACAATAATAATAAAAGAGTATCTAGTCTTCTGCTAATTAACTGCTCTGGGAATTCCCCTTTCCTTGTCAACAAAACCCATTTTCAGCACTGGCTGTTGTCCCTGAGAGAAGGGGCCAAAAGTGAGCACAGGGTCCAGAGTCAGCAGGTTGAGTTCCTCAGCTAGAACTGGGAGGCAGAAGGCCAGAGTGGATAGAGCTGACGGTGGAGGGAAGAAGCCTTGAAAGCTATGTCTGGATTTTTAGAGTGCACTGGATGGTCGTAACAGTCACTACTACATTGCAGAAGACCTGGGAACTAGAAGAGGGATATGGAAACAATTAAACATGCACCACAGAAAGAGCAAGGCTGAAAGAAAGGATAGGCTGCCCGTGACCTCCAGAACAACATTAAAGGATCTGACCTATGTGTACTTGGAGTCCAAGAAAGAGGAAGGCAGTGGCAGGGAGGGAGTTACAGGAAAGAAGTCATAGCCAACCATTCCCAAATTTGATGAAAACTAAAGCCCCCATTTGCAAGAAAAGCATGAGGATAATCACACAAAGTCACACCATCATCACACTGCTGGGTACCAGTGATCAAGAACACATCTTAGCAGCAACAGAGGAGGAGGACCTAGAACATCCAGCAGCAAGAATAATGGTGGACTGCTCAAAGACACCACACAAGCCTGGAGAGGCTGGAGGAGCACCTAGCTGGTCATTGATCCAGCAGTGTCTGCTATGCAAAACCTTTCAGAATCAAGGTGAAATAAAGACTTTTCCACATAAGCAAAACCCACGAGCACTCATCAGCATACCTGTGTTGTAAAAAATGTTAAAGGGAATTCTTTAGACAGAAGAAAAATTGACCCAAATAAAACATGGGTCTATACAGAGGAACAAAGTATTAGGAATAACCAATATATAGGTTAAAGACTTTTTCTTACTTTTGAATCTCTTTATTTTTATTTTATTTTTTGGTGGTACTGGGGTTTGAACTCAGGGCCTCACACTTGCTGGGCAGGTGTTCTACCACTTGAGCCACACTCCAGCCTAAAAATACACTTAAATAAATAATTTTTATTTTTAAAATGAAGTAATAACATGGCATGGGGTTTATAGTATATAGAAATAATATGTATGAAAGTAGGGTGTGCAAACTTTTTCTGTAAGGGGCAGATAAATACTTTTAGCCTTGTGAGCCATGGGTGTCTGTCACAGCCACTCAGCACTGATACTGTAACTTGAAAGCAGCCAGAGTATACAATACACAAGTGAATGGCATGGCTTTGTGCCAAAATAAAACTATTTTTTAAAATGGTTAGCAGGTGAGATTTGGTCTGTGAGCCAAAGTTTATCAACCTCTGGTGTAAAGACAGGAAGAAATGGAAGTGTACCATCGTCATTCAATTTATATTATATAAAGGGGTATAATATTATTTGAAGGCAGGCTAAGTAAAAGGAAAACACTGTAAACCTTAGAGCATAAATAAATATCTAACTATAGCCAACAAACTAATATGGAGGTAGAACAGAATCCTAAAAAATACTTAATCCCAAGGCAAGAAGAGAGGGAAAAAGGAACAAAGAAGAGGTGGGGCAAATAAAACTAATCGCAAAGCCACAGGCTTAATCTCATCACATTGGTAGCTGCGTTAAAATATGGAATGGCTACTTCAAGGACAGCAATCGTCAAATTGAATTAAAAAGCAAGGCCCAATTCGTACTGTCTAAAGACACCCACTCTACGTCTGCAGATGGTCTCAGACTGGTAGAAGGCTTCTGGTTCTGAGTAAGGTAGAGTAAGCCCGCTCTGCCCTGTCTCTCCCACGGAATGCAACTGTAAGCCCTGGACACGGTGCAGGCAACAGCTATCTGAGGATGCTGGAAAGTAAATAGCAGGTGGACTTGGGAAGGAGACCGGCCTCAAAGTGCCACCATGCCAGTGGTGAGTTCCCCATTGTTTTGCTCTGGTATCCCCAGCCCGAACTCAGTGACCCCAAACCCAGAAGTAAGCCACAGCAGGGGTAAAAAAGCCCCAGGAGAAGCCCTCTAGCCAGGCTTGAGAAGCAGGACCTGAGTGATGAGGTGGAGGGACCCTCACAGACCAGGGAACTGGAGGTGATACAGTTTCATAAGGGTGGGCAAACTCCTACCACTTTTCTCTTTCTGTCCTCCCACCTGACCCAACCACGAGTATAGTCATAAGGAGTAAATGGAAAGATAGGGCAATTAAAACCCTGACTGAGGACTATAAAGGGTAGCCCCAAAGAGCTTGTGGAGATTATGGAGAGGGTAGACTTTGGGAGAGCAACTCTAGAGATCCCCCCAAATTGGGTATGTGTAATCCAATCCAAAATGTAACAATACCATTTGTAATAACTCCCCTAAAGGTAAAAGATTTGTATGTAAATCTGACAAAATATGTACAGAATTTATATACTGAAAACTGCAAAATGCTGATAAAAGAAACCAGAGAAGATCTAAGTAAATGGGCAGACTCAACCTAGTAAATATGTAAGTTGTTCAAAAATCTCAATAGGATTGTTTTGTAAATACAGACAAACTGGTTCTAAGATTTATGTGGAAAGGAAAAGGAATGTGAATATCCAAAACAATGAATTTTGCAGAACTGTACTACTGGATATATTAAGGACTACAACAAAGCTACAATATGGAAACCATGTGTAATTGCAAAGGAATCCCCAGACAGTTCAGTGAGACAAAAGAGAATCCATAATTAGACCCACACAAATTTGACCTATTAACTTTTCTTTTTGAGTCAGGGTTTTGCTGTATTACCCAGGCTGGCCTCAAACTTGCAGTTCTCCTGGCTTGGCTTCCCAAGTAACTGAGATTACAGGCACGAAGCTATGTGCCCAGCTTTCCCATTAACTTTTGAAAGGGATATAAAAGCAATTCAGTGATAAGAGGATAATCTCTTCAACAAATGGGAGTGGAGTGATTAGATGCACTTACACAAAAAAGCGAACTTTGGACTGGAGGCATGGCTCAAGTGGTAGAGCACCTGCCTAGCAAGTGAAAGACCCTGAGTTCAAAGCCCAGTACTGCCAAAAAAAAAAAAAAGCCTCAACTTAAACCTTACACCTTAAACAAAGATATATAAAGAACTCTCTAAGCTGAAATGTGGGAAAACAACCCAATTAAAAAAGGAGCAGAGGACTTAAAGAGACACCAGCCCACAAAAGAGACATAGAGGTGAATGGGCAGATGAACAAATATTCTTGTTGTTACCATCAGCCAGTAGTGAAATGCAAATTGAGGCCACAGTGACATTCCACAACACACTACTACAGTGGCTATAATAAAACCTAGAACTCTCACACATTTTTGTGGGAATGCAAAATGGTTCAGCCACTCTGAAAACAATTGGACAGTTTTTAGTAATATTAAGCAGATGCTTTTACTATGACCCAGTAATCCTACTCCTAGATATTAACCCTAAAGAAATGAAAACTTATGTTTATACAAAGATCCATACATGACAGCATGTCTATAATCACTAAATATCCTTCACTGGCAAATGGACAGATGAGTAGTGGTGTGTTACAAGGGAAAAGCACTCAGTCTCAAACAAAGACTGATTATTGATGCACAAAACTTAGATGGGCATTATGAAGAGTGGTTGAGAAGCCAGTCTCAAAAGATTGCATACTGTGTGGCTCCACTTATATGGCATTCTTGGAAGGGCAGAGCTATAGCGATGAGTACCTCATAGCTGCTGAGAGCTTAGGTGCAGCCTGCAATTCTGAAGGGACAGAACTTGGAAGTCTTTGAAGGGGGTGGGATGCTCTATGTCCTGCTCATGGTTGGGGTTTCACAAGTCCATGCATCTGCTAGACGTGTATGTACACACAAAAGTCGGTCTTGCTGTGTGCTAATTCTTTTTGTTGTTGGGTTTTTTAAATCTTTTTTTCTTTATTTCTCTGTGTATACTAATTCTCAAAGATAAAGTTTGAAAGTCCATCTAAAAAAAACTTTAAAAAGTAATAGCCTTTAAGAGAAGGCTGGGGTGGAGATATAAATATCATATCACTTGAAGTTTAGAATAAGGACTACTACAGGAAAGAAGAGGAACCTTTTATAATGGTAGAGGAGTTGATTCATCAAGAAGACACACTCTAAAATATATTTACACCTTTGACATCTACTAACATGTGCGAAATCCACGATTACAGGTGGAGAGGTCAGTAATTACAGAAAACCACCAAGGCTGTGAAAGACTTGAACTTGGCCTTCTGGTCCTTTTCAAGTGCTCATGGGGTCCCACCATATGACAGGATGTATTGTGGGCCATAAAATAAGGCTCAGTAAAATAAAAAGATTGTGTTTTCTGACCACAGCAGAGTTAACTAACAATCATCAGAAAGACGCCTGGAAATATCCTAACTAATTTACCAATAGGAATGTTTGATTAGTAATGTGGGTGGGCATCCCTTAGTCTGTCCCAAAGGAGCCTGGGGGGTGTCAAGCACCAGCGGGAGCTAGCAGCTATGAATCAGTTTTGAGAAATAAACCTTTGGCTTAAATTCCACTGAGAACAGAGGTGAAAACTCAGCAAGTGTGGTGGGAGCTAGGCAGGGAGGCCAGCTCCTCCTGGGGAGCATTCTCTCCACCTCTCTGGGTGGCACTGCTGACCACTGTCTTTGTTACAGGAAGCTACGCCTGCCTCTCTACCCCTTGCCAGAATGGGGGTACCTGTGTGGATGCCGATGACGGCTACGTGTGCGAGTGCCCAGAAGGCTTCATGGGCTTGGACTGCAGGGAGAGTGCGTTGGGGCTGCGTCCCAGGACAGGGGCCAGAGACCCCAGGCCTGCAGAGTGTGGGTGGGAGGGGGATTCCCCCTAGATTGTGCATGAGGAAACTCAGCAAGAGAAAATGTGCCAGTAGTTTTATGGGAGGCTTGCCAAGATTGGGCAGGGTCAGGAGAGAGGCCCATCTTGTGTGCCCTTACATGAGAGCTCCTCCCCCTCGCCACAGCAGGAATCCCTAACGACTGTGAGTGTCGCAATGGAGGTAGATGCCTTGGCGCCAACATCACCCTCTGCCAGTGTCCCCCGGGCTTCTTCGGGCTCCTGTGTGAATTTGGTAGGTGTCCACGGCTGGAGTAGGGGCTCCCTTTCTGCCCAATCCCTGAGCATCCCTACAACCAGGGAACAAATGTTCCAGACCCTTGTTCAGTGATGCCCTGGGGGGGCAGCTATAAAAGTGCCCCATGCTGGTTGCCCTGGCGGAACACTGGGCCTTGAGCAGCCCTATCTTGGTCAGGGAGGTCAGGTCTGCATAAAGACGAGTGGGAAACGGGCGTGGCTTTTCTCTCTTCAGAAATCACAGCCACACCCTGCAACATGAACACTCAGTGCCCGGACGGGGGCTACTGCATGGAGTACGGCGGGAGCTACCTGTGCGTCTGCCACACCGACCACAATGTCAGCCACTGTGAGTGGCTCGGGACCGGCCCGCGGGGATCCTGGCCAGAGACCAGGGACAGGGTGTCTGGCGGGAGAAGGTGCGGGTGAGGCAGGCTGAGCCAGGGCTGACTCTGGAGAACTCACCAGTAATGCGGGCAGGGATCTCCTCCGCCCCCAGAAGGACAAGCACTTTCAGGAGAACACAGCACCACGTGCTGCCGTCCCTAAAGCACTGGGCACAAGCTGTTCAAATTCTTAAGGCAAACATTAAGGTGTAATCAATCAACATATTTACTGCTACATGCTTGTGAAAGATGGTTTATTCACGTTATAAATTAAATATAACGAGGATGCTGGCAGTGATGATAGGCAGTTATTTGTGTGTCACAGCTGAAGAAGGAGGATGACTTGCGCTACAATCGGGAATGGAATTTCGGGGAGGGGGGCCTTAGGGCCGCGATGAGTCAAGACGCCCGCAGAGTGTATTTTAAGTGGCCTTGGTTCCAGACAGGATGTCAGGGTGACCCTGGGAGGCACATACTCCAGGACCGCCCTCTGCCCCTCCAGCCCTGCCGTCGCCCTGCGACTCGGACCCCTGCTTCAACGGAGGCTCCTGCGACGCCCACGACGACTCCTACACGTGCGAGTGCCCGCGCGGGTTCCACGGCCGACACTGCGAGAAAGGTGCGGCAGGAAGGCGCGCGCTTGCGGGGTCCCGGGCTGAGTGCGGGGGCGGGGGGCACAGCCTGCGGGGCGCACCGGGCGGACTGTTACTGGGGTGCGGGGCGCGCGCGTGCGGGGCCGCAGGCGTCAGCACCCTGGAGAGCGCCCGCCCGTAGGCTGGAAGTTCTGTTTTTCATCGCGTTCGTTATTCGCTGTCCGGGGCTTCTTCCTTATTCATGGAGCTTCTCCTACTTATTTGGGGCAGCGCCTCACCGCGTTGACTCTTGTTTATGTCACCTCCTCTGACCTGCATTCCTCAGAACAGACTCCCTTTTCTGTTCAGCACTTTTCCAAAGATATTTGAGAATCGTATTGACTTTTTTAAAAATAGAAATTCACTAGAATTTCGTTAAATCTAATTCCATGTGGAGAATGCAAACATTTTCCAGTATTTAGCCGTTTAGACTAGAAATAGTCTTCCGTAAATACATTGCAGGAGTTGCTGTCTCCACCATCGCCTTCCAGGACTGTCCCTTCCACGCAGTTTGAAGCCATGCTCAGTGATCCCCAAGCAAAACCTTTGGTGTGGCTCAGCCTGTTCTCCCAGCTCAGGCCGTAGGCCATCCCAAAGCCTGGCTTGTCTGGAGAATGAAACCACAGTGCATTTACCAGGGAGCCTTCCCACACCAGCTCTCCTCTTCACCGTGTGTCTGAGGGCAGATTCCTGACAGTGCCACTCGAGACCCCTATGGCTTCCCCCACCCCTGCAGCAGCAGTAGAGGGTGGCTCCAAAGAGAAACCCCTACTTGGTTCTAAGACCTGTCAGGGTCTTTCTCTTTCCATACACTCCTGGGACTATCCTGCCCCCCATATAGGAGCCCTACCCAGAACCCTCTCTCGGCCACAGATCCCAGGGGCGGTCCCAACCAAAGCCCACACCCCTCTGTGGGCCAGGCTCCCAGCATCCAGTGTCCTTGTCTCACCTCAGGAACTGCACAGGCCTCCCCCAGGGTCCCTGCTCCTGAGAGCAAAGGTAGCCATCAATGTGGACATCTCTGATCCAAATGGGGACAGAGAGGGGACACAGGAGGCTGCTCTCAGGGTGGAGTGGCTGGAAGTGCAGCCTATGAGGCCCTCAAGGTGGTGGGTGGTGGGAGAGAAGGGGTGAGCACAGTGGGGATGAAAGGGGCACACTGTCTTCCTGCTATACCTGCCCTCTGAAGTGTGGGTCATCAAAGTGGGGGGACAGATATGTCTGATTTAGTGACTGCCATTCAGTTCATACCTGTAACTACACAGATGCCTCAGTCACAAACCCAGACACCTGAGCTGCTCAGGGGCCCAGAATATGCTAGGACCCACAAGAGATGCACCTGGCCAATGCAGGTGTAGAATGCATAAAAGTCAGAATCAGCTGCTGTGGGTGCAGATGCATTGGTGGCAACTCAACTCTCCATCCACTCATTTGCTGTGGTTTGGGGATTGTTCTCCATCAGAGAGGCTCAGCTGTCCCCAGAGCTGAGGCAGAGAAGAGAGGACAGGAAGGCACAGAACACACCTAGTGCTGAGTGGAGGGTTTACAGACTGTAAGCCCCACCTGCCTAGCACCAAGAGGCTGAAAAGATAGAAGCAGGAGGCTGGCCCATGTTCACCTGCATCTCTCTGTCCTTCCACACAGCCCGGCCACATTTGTGCAGCTCGGGGCCCTGCCGGAATGGAGGAACATGCAAGGAGACAGGCAGCGAGTACCGCTGCACCTGCCCGTACCGCTTCACTGGGAGGCACTGCGAGATTGGTGCGGCCCTAGGGTGGAAGGGGGATGACTGGCAAGCCCTAGGCTGGAGCCATGCCAGCTGGAACCAGCCTGGATAGAGTGGGGCAAAGCCAGCCCTGACTGAGGCCTCTGACCCCCATGCATCTGCTTCTCAGGGGCATCCGCATGAAGCCCCAAGCTCTGGGATGTTGCGGAATTGGGGTGGGAGGCACAGGCCATGACACCTGATTCTGTTGGGGTGCCTTCTGCTTCCAGGGAAGCCAGACTCATGTGCCTCCGGCCCTTGTCACAACGGCGGCACCTGCTTCCACTACATCGGCAAATACAAGTGTGACTGTCCCCCAGGCTTCTCCGGGAGGCACTGTGAGATAGGTAGAGTGGGGCAGGGGCAGCTGGGTACACTGTCTTCTGCACATGTGAAAACAGGCCCAGTGGACAGGGATGGCCTAGGCCCTGGAGGAGTAGGAGGCAGAGCTGGGTGCAGTAAGCAGGACACCCCATGCAGCCCAGAGACCCTCAGGGGAGACACGGTGATGGGACCCTTCTGTATTCTTGCAGCACCCTCCCCCTGCTTCCAGAATCCATGTCTGCATGGGGGTACCTGTGAGGATCTAGGCAAAGATTTCTCCTGCCATTGCCAGGCAGGGTACACAGGACACCGGTGCCAGGCAGGTGAGAAGGCCAAGGGGTTGGGCTGAGGGACATAACATTTGTTCCTAATCTTCCAGGAGCTAGCTGGGAAGAGAGGGAGGGAAAGAAGTAGGGGAAGGGAGGGAGGGAGGAAGGAATAAGGGAACAGGAGGGGAGGGGAGGGGAGAAGGAAGGAAGGAGTGGAGGGGGAGGGAAGAAAGAAGGAGTGGAGGGAGGGAGAGAGAAAGGAAGGAAGGGAGGGATCCATTTCAGAGGTGGCCCATTCCCAGAAGTCAAGTGGCACCCCCAGAAAGGTGCTGCTAGAGCCAGGCCTCCCTGGGCCCTGTAACCTGGTCAGGTGGAAGAATGAAGAGGACCTGGGCAGGGCAGCCACAGCTCAGGGTGTGTTCCTGTGCTCTTGCAGAGGTGGACTGTGGTCGCCCTGAGGAGGTGAAGCATGCCACGATGCGCTTCAATGGAACTCGCGTGGGTTCGGTGGCCCTGTATGCATGCAGCCATGGCTACAGCCTGGATGCCCCCACCCACATCCGTGTCTGTCAGCCGCAGGGTGTCTGGAGCCAGCCTCCCCAGTGCCTTGGTGATTCTGTGGGCCCTCGGGGTGTGGGTGGAGTGGGTAGAGCGCACACTCTCTTCACCCAGCTAGATGTAGGCGCACACAACCTAAGCCCAAATTCCTCCTCCCCCTAACTGTTCTCTGTGAACTGAGGCTATGGACCCTGAGGTGACAATAGTGACCACTGTTAGCTCTGCTCTGGACCATTCTCACAAATGGCTTCCCTGTACTCAAAGTAACTGCAGCAGGAGGCCAAACACTTACACACCCATTTTTCAAAGAACAGAGCTTATTTATCCTGGGGGAAGGAATGTCTCACTTTGGTCTCTACTGTGTCTGAGAAGCAAGAAATTACAACACATACTCTAGAAAACAAATAGCCAATGGAAACAGGCCGACAGATGCCCCCAAATATTGGAACTTGCAGACAAGAATTTTGGAATGCCATCGTAGATATGTTCAGGAAAAGAATGAATAACAGGGAACCAGAGCAGAGAAAAAAAATTAAATAACAAAATAGAAACGATAGAACTGAAAATGCAAGAATGAATCTGAAATGAAGATGCAACAAAAAAAAATCACAGAACTCAAAGACAGAACAATAAAATATCTAAAGTGCATATCAGAATTAAAAATGAATTATGAAGAATAACTTTTTAAACAGATATCTGTGAGACACTGAAATGGCAAACAAGCCTATAACTAAAGTCCCAGAAACAGAGTACAAAATGGGAAAACAAAACAAAACAACAAAAAAACTTGAGGAGACAATGATAGAGCACTTTCTAAAAGTCCACAGAACCAAGAATCTCATTGGATCCCAAATGGGATAAACATTGAGATAAACTCAAGACCAAGAAATGTTTACAAGTCAAATTGTTATTCAAATGTGATAGCATACTAAAAATATTCTCATGCAAACAGTCTCAGAGTCTTAGCAAAAAAAAAGGTCCTTTTGGGTGAAGTACTTTAAGAATAAGATAAGCAAATCCAGATGACAGAAAAGAGAGTTACCAGATACCATAGCAAGATCTGTCACTGTCTAAAAGTAAGGGGAAAATCAAAAAAAAAGTATCAAATATTAAGATTAAAAAGAATTATGACAAAAAAACAGACAAATATGAATGGACTAAGCTCTCAGGTAAATATTGTCAGATTTATATAAGCAAAACAAGCTATATGCTCTTATAAGAGACACTCTGGAAACATAAGAACATCGGAACTGCAAAGGTAAAAGTCTGGAACAAATATCAGGTGAATGCGATCCAGGGAGCTAGAATAGCAATGTCACTGTCAGAAAAACTAGACGGCCAGGGGAGAGCAACACTGGGAATGGAGTGGCTGGGCACAGCAAGGTCAGCTCACCTCACCAGGAAAAGCCACCCTTATGGGCACCTCACACAATGGTCTGAATGTCTCAAAGCAAAAACTCACAGACTTTAGGAAGAAACTGACACATGCTACCCCTCTCAATCAAAGGCAAGTTAAGAAGCAAAAAAAAAAGTAAGCAAAAAACATTTGAATAATGCAGTGAATGGTTTGAGCTCATGCATTCTCTGACCACACAGAACATTCCCTGGTACCCATGTCAGAAGAGATGAAAAGCTCAGAATTCAGAACTAGGACAAGAATAACAAATGAAACTAAAGAAAGTGAAGGAAAGAGGGGAAAGGGGAAAAGCTACAGTTAATGAAACAGAAATCAAAGATACAAGAAAAGATAAAGCCCATATTCTTTGAAAAGTCTTAAAAAATGGACAGGTCTCTGTGAGAGAAGTGATCAAGAAAAACAGCAGAAATAAAAGCTGTCGTCAGTGAAAATGGTGGCACAACCATAGACACAGCAGAGATCACAAAGTTAATAAGAGATGTTATCTTTATGCATTATGCAAATAAATGTGAAGTCTCTGGAGAAATGGACATAGTATTCATAGAAGAATATAACTTAAGGAGAGTAGCTCAAGGAAATACAGAGTACCTTCATGTCCTATGACAGTTTACAGAAATCCAAGCCATAGTTCAAACCTTTTCCCACAAAGGAACACTAAGCCCAAACTGCCAAGAAGCAGATCATTACAGTATTATACAGACTTCCAGAGAGTAGAAATAAATATTGCTACCCCAGTCTGTGAGCTTAAGATGCTTAAGAAAGGAATGATACTAACCTCCGGCCAGCCCTTTAGAAAACAGGAGGGAGGAATGCTGCAGTGCTCACTTGATGAGAGCAGTGTTGATGACAGCCAAGCCAGACACAGATGTTGTGAAACTTGAAAAAAATCCCAGTGAAATATTACTACATCAAACCCACTACTGCCCAAAAGGACAATATAATCATGACTCAGTGGGATTTACCTCAAGAGCAAAGGTTGGCCCAACATTTGAAAATTAATTGATGTATTTCACCATATTAGGAGATAGAGGGGGAAAAACTATATGAAATATCAATTAGGTGAGAAAAAACACTTGGCAAAATTTAACTTATTTTTTTAATTATTTTTTATTGTTTTATTATTCATATGTGCATACAAGGCTTGGGTCATTTCTCCCAACTATTATTAAAAGTTTAATAAACTAAGATAGGCAGTCTTTTCCTCAATCTGATAAGGGATATCCGTGAAAAGACTACCACTAACAAAACAAAATGGCGAAAGATTTTCCCACCATCAGGAAAAGGCAAGGTGCTCTTTCACTACTTCTTTTCAGCACTGTCCTAATGGACAAGAAGAGAAGGTAACACAATTGTGTACGTGGAAAATTCTGTAGAGACACCACAAAAGAAGCTTTAGAACTGTGAGTGCACTTAGCAGAATCACAGGATGCAGGATCAATGTGTGGAGCAAATCAGAATTCCACAGTCTAACTGTGACCCCTTGGAAAATGAAATGAAACAGTCTTCAGCACAGTAGCATAAAAAACATGCTTTACTGTGTGAAAAGTATTAGAGACATAAACGTAAAAGCTAAAAACTATAAACTTCAAAAAGAAAGCATCTGAGAAAATACTCATGACAGCGAGAATTAAATAGTTACAAATTTGGAAAGATATTACATTAGTCCCCTCTCACCAAACACAGCAATTAATTCCAGGTGGAGTAAAGACTTAAATGGTTTTCTAGAAACTACAATTATATATTTTACACAATTATGACTTTTGTGTAGGGAAAGATTCCTCAAGCTACAAAAAGCTGACGTGACTATATAAAAATTAGGAATTTAAATCCCTAATCCTAAAGAAGAAAGTTGAATACAAACTAGAACCTGGGAAAGAGACTGGTTTCAAGACTGCATGAAAAACACCAATGAATCAATAAGAAAATCAACCCTGTAGTAAAACAGGCAAAACACAAGTGCACTTCCTGGAAGAAAAAATGCATGGCCAATAAACATAAAAAGAAACATTTTACTTCATTAGTAGTTAGGGAAATGCAACTCAAGAAGCAATGAGATACATTCAGTTGGCAGAATTTCAGAAGTCTGCTGAAGCTTGTATTGGTGTGAGCATTAGCTCTGTGAAAATGACTTGGTACTTTGCCTGCTCTAAGCTGCCTATTAAAACAGCCTATGTCCCAGCAATTCCACTTCTATGTAAACCTAAGAAAACTTGCACAGCTACGCCAGATGTGAAAGAATACTCAAGATGGCATCTTTTGCAATAGCAAAAAGCCTGGAACCAAGTCAAAGCAAGTGCCTGCCACACCTGAAGGGACGTATGACTTGATTGACTGCAGAACATTACACAAGCATGAGCTGCAAGAGTCCTTGTTAATGAAGTGCTGAGGGAGAACAAGTATCATCCACTCTATTAATAATGCTCAAGAACAAAAATAAAACCATGTTGTTTAGGTGATTCATAAAGTTTTAAAAACTAATTTTAAAAAGGCAGAGAAATCATAACCACAGGAGTTGGCATCAGGAGGGAAGTAGCACCTGGTGACACTAGTCCCAGGTGCCACACGGTCGTTACCATTTACTTAAGCATTAAAATTAAACTTTTCTCAAGTTAAATATTTAAACTCGGGAGTACTACTCCCAGTTTAGAAGAAACCTATGGTGAATCTTTTAAATCTGGGCATTGCTCCCTGAATGTACTGGTTTCACATATCACTGGTATGTTTGAAATGGTGAGGTCAAACATAAGACATTTTCTGCCAAACCTCTGAGGACTTTGGGTCTCTCCACCTGAGAGCCATTGGAGTTAAATTCCAGTGTCTTCTGAAAGACCTTAAGTGGTAATGAGCAACCCCAGTCATTTCAAAGACACAAGCCAGGCCCGAGGCCCTGGGCCACAAACCACCCTCCCCTCCAAGGGTACCCAGCCCTAGTTCTGGCCTCTCCGGATATCAAAGAATTTGTCTGGTCCCTCAAAACTAATTGATGCCCAACTTAATTTGGCTTAGTAATGGCCACATGGCTTTATTCTTGGGGTCTTTCCTTTCTCTCAGAAGTGGATGAGTGCCGATCTCAGCCCTGCCTGCATGGGGGTTCCTGCCAGGACCTCACCGCTGGGTACCTGTGCATCTGCAGCCCGGGGTATGAGGGAGTCCACTGCGAGCTGGGTAAGAGGGCCCGGCCCTCGCTGGGGTTCCCCGGGTCATGGCCACTTTACTATATCACCCAGTACAACTCTCTGTCTGGATGGCCAGCTCAGCCACTGCCTGCTTCCTCAGGCCCCTACTGGCTCTGACATCCAGGACAGATTTGTAAACCTCTCAGCCTCCTCTGCCTCTGGGACTGAGAGCTCAGCTGAGAAACACTGGCCCCGCCTCTGACTTGAGTTTATGCTTAGGCTGAGAAGGTAGACAGTCCACCCAGCCCCTGACACATGGTGCTGCCAGCCACTGGAAAGGAGGACAGGCCTGCCCAGCATGTGATCAGACCTGCACTTTCTTGTGTCTTCATAGGTTTCTAAGAACACAGAGACACTGAACCCCAGGGAGGGCAAGGCCAAGGAGCGGTGCCCAGTTGTGGTGCCAGGGAGCCTTCAGGCATGGAGTTCAGGAGTGGCCAGGGTGGGGAACTCTGTTGTCAGGCAGTGGGGGTGGCATGCCTGCCTAGGAGGAGCAAGTATGGGGTGATGGAGGAAAAGGCAGAGGTCCAGAGTCATGTACCCATGGGCTGAAGCCCCAGATCCATGTGCCTCCTCAAAGAGCACTCAGAATCCCTGGGGGATGTGTTGGGGCCTTGGATCTGAGCCAGTGCCACCCTTACTATGTAGAGACAAATGAGTGCAGCATGCTGCCCTGCAGAAATGGAGGCACCTGCAGAGACCTCCCTGGGGCCTTCGTCTGCCAGTGCCCCATGGGCTTCACTGGAGTCCACTGTGAGACAGGTAGGGCTCCCACAGGTGGGTCCCCGCACACAGAGCCTAGGCTGCTGGAAAGTCAGAAGGAGGTAGGGGGCCATCCTCTGCTGGACAGGCCACTAGGGAGAAGGACACCCAGAACTGTGGCTGACTGGGGAGGGAGAGAGGGAAAGAGGGAGATTGTGAGGAGGGCTGAGGGGGGTTTCCCCAAGAGCCCTTCCTACCCTGCAGGCTCCCCACACCCCTCTCCTGGCCTCTGCTCCTTGCCTCCCCCTATCCCTTCCTCCTGCTGTCCTCTCCTCCCTCCCCCAGAGTTCCCCCTTGCAGCTCGGGCCAACTCTCTGGGTGTTCTCCAGAGGTGGATGCCTGTGACTCCAGCCCCTGCCAGCACGGAGGCCGGTGTGAAGGTGGTGGTGGGGCCTACCTGTGCGTCTGTCCAGAGGGTTTCTTTGGCTACCATTGTGAGACAGGTAAGGCATAGACCCAGCTGCTCGCTTCGGACTGTATGGTCCCTTCCCTAGCCCTCTGGTCTTTGAGCCCCCCGCCCCCCACACACCTGTGGCACTCACCCTCCCACAGCTCCAGCTCATCCACCTGCATGGTCCACTGTCCTAGGACAGGCCAAGCTCCTTGCACCCCCAGAGCCTGGTGCTCACTGTCCCTTCCCCCATTGGCCCCCAGAGGGTCCCCCAAGCAAGGCCCTCCCTGATGTCCATCACTCGGCTCCCAACACCAGTGTTTCCCCAGATAGCATCTTTTCCAGCCTTGACACTGAGTCTTCCTTCCTTCAAAGGAGCCACTGAGTGATGCCCAACCTGTGTTGGTCAGGCCAGGCCTTGGGTGTGTGGGGTGGACCAATGGGATGTTAACACTTCAGGAAGGCAGGCCTGCTATGGTGCCACCCCACCCCATGCAGGAAGGTTCCTAGAAGCAAGGAGGGCCTCCCACTCACTGTTATTTCCTCCCTTAGTGAGTGACCCCTGCTTCTCCAGCCCCTGTGGGGGCCGTGGCTACTGCCTAGCCAGCAACGGGTCCCACAGCTGCACCTGCAAAGTGGGCTACACGGGCAAGGACTGCACCAAAGGTGAGGTGGTGAGGAGCCCTAGGCAAAAAAGGGGGCTCTCCTTCCTAAGGGCAGGCCAGGGACGCAGGCAGAGGGTGCAGGGGGTTGCTTACCCAGCTTCCTGTCCTGAGAAGCAGGAAGGGGGATACAGAGTCGCGCGTGCGGAAGTGGAACCCTCACAGGGCACGTGGCACCAAAGCGAAGGAGTCAGGGCTCAGGGAGAGGGCTCTGGCAGCGGCCTTGTTGCCCAGGCCTCAGAGCCCAGACCTAGGCTAACTCCCCTTCCCTTGTGTTTTGGGCAAACCCTGAAGAGCTCCTCCCACCAACAGCCCTCAGAGTGGAGAGGGTGGAGGAGAGTGGGGTCTCCATATCCTGGAGCCCGCCTGAGGGCGCCGCGGCCAGGCAAGTGCTGGACGGCTACGCGGTCACCTACGCCTCCTCGGATGGCACCTCCCGCCGCACGGACTTCGTGGAGCGGAGCCGCTCCTCGCACCAGCTGCGAGCCCTGGCGGCCGGCCGCGCCTACAACATCTCGGTCTTTTCAGTCAAGCGTAACACCAACAACAAGAATGACATCAGCAGGCCCGCCGCGCTGCTGGCCCGCACCCGTGAGTGCCGCCTGACCAGCCATGCCCCACCCGGCCAAGGGCAGCTCCTGAGGGGCTGCATCCTCACGAGGGAGGCGACCGGGGTGGGAAGGGAGAAGGTGCCTGCGAGGGAGCTGGGAAAGTGATCGGGACTTGGAGGGTCTGGAGCAGGGTGGCTGTGAAGGAGAGGAGGACATAGAAGGGAGTCTTGGGGGCTCTAGGTTGCTTTCTTTGCTGGACACTGGAGTGGAAGAGGAATCCTTAGAACATGCCCATGGGTGAAGCAGGAGCTGGTCAGGTACAAAGGAAGGCTGGACCCCAGAGGATGGGGGCTGTGGAGGCCATGGCCACACCTGTGTCCTCAAGAGACAGGAACAGAGAATGGGAAAGGGATGCTGAAATCCTGAGGAAAGAGGGAAAGTTGTCCAGAGCTTGGACTTGGAGGTACTGCCAGAGGTCCACATGCTGGGAACCTGAGCAGGCAGGTGGGAGGAGGGGATATGTGTGGTGAAGCAGGACAGTGAGCCATGTATAGAGAAGAGCTTAGAGGGTCTCCCGAGAAGAAGGCATCGCCTCGGGCCTCTGGCCAGATGCTGGTCCAAGCAAGGGACAGATGAGGTCCTCAGGACACCTGAGCCCACCTGGAAGAACTCAAGAGAAATGTCCTGCTGAAGATAACAACCAAAGGCCAGAGACCCCAACACTAAGGATGCAGAGCAGCCAGTCCAGCTGGGACCCCTGAGATGCTCTGGTGCTGAGCAGGTGGTCAGAGGGAGCACAGCTTCAAAAAGAAGTGCCTGGCCAGGCACAGTGGCTCACACCTGTAATCCTAGCTACTTGGGAAACAAAGATCAGGAGAATGGTGGGGAGAGCCTAACTAAAAAATGTCTAAAGCAAACAAGGGCTAAGGGGTGTGGCTTAAGTGGTAGAGCACCTGCCTAGCAACATAAGGCCCTGAGTTGTACCACACACACGATACAAAGTGCCTGGAGGTTCCTGAGATGGGGGTCTGCCTTGGAAAGACATATGGAGGAGCTGGAGACTCTCCCCAGCCCCCTTCAGAGTAGGGTCTCCACCAGGGGCCCAGAATGTGCCAGAGAGACTACTGTCAGCATCAGGTCCCTTGGACTGGGGCTCTGTGCCACCGGGGGGCTGAGGGCTGCCCTCCCGGGCTCTCTTGGTCTGGGTTGGCCCACCACCCACCCCTCACAGTGGCACTCTTTGAGCATCTGAGGAGACCAGACCAACAGGGAACTGAGCTCATGAGTGGTCCCTTTCCTGTGATCACTGAGGATACTCTACAACTTCCATCCCTCAGGGCCCAGTACTGCCCACAGCATGCCCAGACATTCCCTACTAGACCAGAACAGCCAGCACCAAAAAAAGAAGGGTAACTGGACCAGCAGGACCAGGAAGGCCCCTTCACACCCTCACCCTCACCTAGTCTGCCTCTAGGGCCTCTGGGGCCCCTCTGCAGTCACTATCTCTGGAAGTGAAGCCTGCACCCCATCTGAGTCCCTGCTAGGCAGCTGAGGGGGCCTTTCTCTCCACTGGCCTCCCTGTGACCCCAGCACTCTACCAAGCTTTGTCTTGTCTCCATTCCCCTTCCCCTGGAAGCAAGGGGGAGTCAGAACCTGCTGAGCAGCCTATTGCCCCCCAGGACCCCGCCCTGTTGAGGACTTTGAAGTCACCAACGTGACAGCCAATGCCATCTCAGTGCGGTGGACTCTGCACAGGATCCATCACGCCACTGTCAGCAGGGTTCGAGTGTCCATCCTCCACTCAGAGGCCCCTGAGGCCCAGTCCACTGATGTGGACAGAAGTGTGGACCGGCTCACATTTGGGTAAGAGGAGATGCCTTGGGGGCACAGGAGCCTTGGTGAGCTCTTTGTGTATCCTCATCTGCACAGAGCTGGACCTGGGGGAGCCAACTTGGGTTCTGGGGGTCTCGCCCCTGCCTTGCCTTTTGTCAGGGCCACCATGAGGAGCAAGCACTTAGATGGTACTGAAAGGAACCCAGAAAGAGCAGAGAGAGCTCTGAGGTCCTGGGGGCAATATCTCTGGTATAGATGGGGAGAGATTGCCTTGGTCACTGCACAGCTGCAGGCAGGGCACATGGGGCCCAGGGTTCTTCTGGGGCAATTATGGACCCCTGTGGGTTGGCCACTAACAGAGGGAGAGTTCTGGATCCCTACTCAGAGCAAGCAGGTGGTGGAGGACTGGGGAAGAAGCCTGGCTGGCAGCTTCCCATGTTTCCTGTGCTTGAGGAGTAACATAGCACCAGCTAAGGGCATTCCTTCAGGTGCTCATGGCTGCTCAGAGGGGACATCAGAGTAATGTACAGCTCAGGTCTATCACTGCCACAGTCCCAGGGGGCCATCTGAAAGGCGGGCATGGCTGGGCAGGGTTAGGGATGGACACTCATGAAGACCAGGTGGGGCTGTGATTTGGCCCCACTGCCAGCACCCCACCCCTTGCATCCTTTGAATCACCAATGCCTTTGCATGTGTGTCCTGTGCAGAATCACCAAGACCATTTTTCACAAGCACATTTGTTCTTTCTCCCCAACCAGCTGGTCAGCTATGCTGAGGACAGGGCTGCTCTATCCCTCAGCTCCCAAATGTCTGTGGTTTCTTAGGTTTCCTCTAGTTCCTGTACTGCTTCCTTGCCTTGCTCCACATCTTCCTTTGGGTCTTTGCACATTCTCTAAGGTTTCCACTTCAACATCTTTTTCTAGTATCTTTGCCTGTGTGTCTTTCTATTGACTTCTTTTGCTCTTCAAGTATGCCATATTTCTTTGTGAGTTTTGTGATTCTGGGGGGCTGTTGCTAAAATTAGGCATTTGAACTAAATAATGTGGAACTGTTACTGGATGGGTGGTATCTAAGGGCTCTGGTCAGAAGACTCCTACGCACCTGTGTCCCCAGGGAGAAGAGTCCAAGCAAGACATGAAAACGTCATAAAGTTTATTGAAAGTGAGGGGAAGTTACTCACAAGAAAAAGAGAGTAGCTTCTATCCCACCCAGGTGGGATAGAAGCACAAGAATGCCAGTCTTTGTTTCAAAGGGCCTTTCTAAATTGAAAGGGTGGGAAAAATCTGGGTGGTCTTTGCAGGATGGGCTAGGGTGATTGACAGATTTGACTGACAAGGTCTTGTCGTACAACGTGGGGCACCCTATGCATGCACTTGTGCTACCTCTCAGGTTATCTCACCCGCATGAGGTGTGACCAATAATCATGCTTTAAGAAAAGAGCTTTTTCCTGAGAGGTAACAGAGAGCAGAATTTTCTTTACAATGAGGACTCTGCAACTGCTAAGATTTTACAATTGAAAAGGAATTCTCAACTGCAAAGGATACGTTTAGCATGAAATGCTCTGGGGAAAGCCTCAAGGTGCCAGCCAGAATACCCAAATCTCTCTTGCTCACCTGCTTTAGAACTGTGCAAATGATCCACCCTTCCTTCCTTCCTTCCTCCCTCCCTCCCTCCCTCCCTCCCTCCCTCTCTCCCTCCCTTCCTCTTTCTCTCTCTCTCTCTCTCTCTGAAGAACTTAGAGATTGAGCCCAGGGCCTCGCACCTGCTAGGCAAACACTTTAACACTTGAGCTACACCCCCAGCCCCTTCCCCTTTACATTTTTGTTTTGCTATTGTTTTAGTGTTTAGTTTTTACTTGTTGCCAAGATGAGCCTAAGGAGTGAACTTCAGGTTGCCTGTCCCTTGGCATGCCCCCTTTCCCATTTTCTTCCTCTATGCAGCTGCTTTTGAATGTCCTAGTCTTTAATGTCTGGCTCTCCAAATGGAAAGAAAAGAAAAACAAAGGGCTGGCCTTTGGGTCAGCTTCAGCTGGAGGGGAAGGGGCTGGCAACAATGGAGGGGGTGCAAGATCAGAGGCAGCTGATGAGAGGCAGCAATCAACAATCCTTGCCATTTACCCTCCTGGGCTCCTGCAAGCTATATGTAAGGTGGCACCAGAGCATGCATGCAGCTGCTGCCAGGTGCTAGAGGGGAACTGGTGTCTGGTGCTCTGCTAAGAGCTGAAACTGATAGAAATTACCCACAATCCCTCCCCACACACACACAGCCTTCCTCTGGAAGTTGCAGACCTTCAACAGAGTCCAGAGTTACAAAAGTCACTTCAGACAGGTTCTGCCGTGCACGTGTCGCCCAAGGGGAGACAGAATCCCAGTGTTTGTACCCCACCACCTTCCAGAATCCTCTACTCTGTCTTTTAAATGTGCCCATGACTTTTCTTGATTAACATTCTAGCTTCTTCCAAAGAGTGGCTTATGGAAGCCCAGGGTGGGCACTTGTTGACTGTGTTTGGGGTTCCCTAGCCAGGTTCACTAGGAAGATTCGGCACAGAGGGGCAATGGCAGTTGAGATCCACCACAGAGAAGGGAAGACAGCAAAGGGATAGTGGACAGGGTCTGGGAAAAACAGGCACAAGCTCCCTTCTCCTCCTCTTGGACCTACACAGGACAAGCTCAGCCCAGCAAGTGTGTGGGGTCAGGTGTGAAATGCTGCAGCCAGGAGAGCCCATCAGGCTGGTCTCAGGGAAGGGTCAGACAGCACCTCCTGCCTGTGCGTGAACCTCAATATTTACACAAGCAGTTCAGAGGGAAGGCCCTTTTCTCCAGGAGGGCAGCGAGAACTCTCTGAAACCCAGGTTCACAGATGCAGCCCAGAAGCTGCACAGAGAGCAATTGGGCCTTTGTAGCCCTTGTCCGCACAGTGACCTTCTCCAGTTATCCCTTTTTTGGTCTCACCCTTCCGAACATCCATCCTCCGACCATACTGTGGCTACTTTGAGAGCACTGGACCCTTCTCTGCCTCTAAGTAAACTAGACATACAGTGGAGGGGTTTCCCACCTGGAAGCAGGTAGGTTCTGAGGGCCACTATCTGCCTCCTTGTGGAGGAGGCCACGGCCGTGATCATGTAGAGCTGGCCACAGGCCCCCAGACATTCCTGTCCTCCTCTCCCCCTCCGACAGGTCCCTACTGCCAGGAAGAAGATACACTGTGCGATTGACCACCCTCAGTGGGCCCGGGGGAGCAGAGCATCCCACCGAGAGCCTGGCATCAGCACCACTGCATGTTTGGACCCGTAAGTAGATCAGAGAGGCTTCCCACTCTTCGTCTCCACCCACACAGGACCTTCTTATAGAGCTTCTGGCCTCCTCCTGGCATCCAGTCTCCTCCAAAGTGTCCATATACTAGAAACCCAGCCCTTGGCCTCCCAGAGGTCTTTTCACTTGGACTGAGGGAGGAGCCACTACACCAGGCTGGCCTAGTTCCTCTGCTGCCCTCAGCTCCCAAGTACTCCTGGTCCTCAATGTGTTCTGTGGCCTCCACAGAACACTGACAAGTGGTCCCAAGGTGCATGCTGGGTTGATGCCCATGCTGTCCAGGGCTCCTGGACTGTGTAGTTGGCTCACTCTGGCTATGTTCCCTGATGTCACTAGCCCACCTACCCTCCCCAATGTGTAGAAATGGCTAGATAGGGAGGGGAAGTGGTAGATCTGAGTGTGAAGGCTGGTACAAGAGGGCTGACTGGCCCAGAGGGAATGACGCTGTGACTCTCAGGACTCCCCCTCCATGGCCTTGGACGCAGCCCAGGGGAGGCATGTGGAAGGTGTGAGCACAGGGACGTGGGTGCACCCCTGCCTTTCTAGTCCTCCAGTTACCTACATCCCAGGGAAGGTCTGCGCAGCCAGGCTCAGGAGGACCGAGGGCACAGGGTCTCTTTAGGCAGGACAGAGGTACTGCCTGTGCTCTGACCACTGTCAACATGCTCTCCACACCAGTCCTAGGCTGATAGAGTGTCCACAAAACCAGATCTGGCCTCAGAGGAGGCCTAAGCAATCCCTGTCAGATCCTAAGTTGTGTCTCCACCCTCCCTTCACCTTGCTCCGCTGTCCATGCCTCGCCCAGGGCCCCTTCCTCCAGCAAACCTGACAGCCTCCCGCGTCACGGCCACCTCTGCCCACGTGGTATGGGACGCCCCCACTGCAGGCACCTTGCTGGAGGCTTATGTCATCAATGTGACCACCAGCCAGAGCACCAAGAGCCGCTATGTTCCCAATGGGAAGCTGCTGTCCTACACAGTGCGTGACCTACTGCCAGGGCGGCGGTACCAGCTCTCAGTGACAGCTGTGCAGAGCACAGAGCAGGGCCAGCTGCACAGCGAGCCTGCACACCTCTACATCATCACCTGTGAGTGCTGCAGACAGGGATGGGGTGGGTGTGGGTCACCCTCTATGGCTGCTGTCCTCAGCATCTTTGTCCAAGAGAGGTGGGTCATCCTGCAGTCCCCCAGGACCCTTGTCTGGCATGGGCCACACTGTCCCTGGAATATCAAACAGCCTAGAAACAGGTCTGGTGTGAACAGAGACATTGGTGTGATCATGGAGGCTTTCACATCTTGGGTGAGGAAAGTCACATTGACAGGGCACTAGAAATCTAGACAAATAAGCACATCAAACTTCATTTTTCACTGTTCCCCTGAGCAGATCCCAGATAGGTTGAGCAACAAGTATAGGACATCACCCTGAAAACAGGTGCTCAGCAGGCAGCACTGAGAAGGCCCCAGAAGTGACATTGCAGCCAGGCCAGACTATGAGGAGCCACTGGACCCTAGCACTGGAGACAGGGCCCAGGAGTCCTCAAGAGACCTCAAGAAGGAAGGACATGGACAGAGGAGAGTGGGAGCAGCTGAGGCTCAGGTGGCCACGCCAAAGACCTGGACATGTTCCCAAGCACATGCCTTACTTGCGTTCTCAAAGTTCACACAAGGTGTTGTGGGAAAACAATTTGGGGAGTGCAGGGAGCAGGACACGGTGGTAAGAAATGATGGAGGTGGGGGCAGACAGAACAGAGCCTGAGAGAAGACTGGCTCCTGAAGAGAACGGGATTTTAACCCAGCTCATTCTGCATCTCCCTCCTCCCTCCTCTTCCTCAGCCCATGAGGCTGCTTTGTGAAAATGTTACACATACTTTCAGACCCAACCTGCCACCCATCTAGTCTACCAGCTCAGCTCCAGGGATGCATACTTGCCAAGTAGAAAAGGTAGGCTGCGGCCTAAGACCTGATCCTTACAACCAAATCAGCCTTGATAAGGGACAAAGAGGGAAGGCAGACACCCAGCCTAGGAATCTGAGAGACATCGCTGGGGTGACAGTGACCCCAGCCTGAGCCAGGGTGTAGGCCTCACCTGAAGCAGGTCATCAGTAAAGCCAATTCCAGGGTCAGGTCCAAGTGCCTGGCACCCTGCCTTGCAGATAGAGGACTTGGGTCCAGGGTAGGGACTTGGCACCTTCCAGGCCAGTTCATTTCTGTGCTGCAGCAGTAGATGAAGGCGCCTCAGAAGAGATGCCAGGGGTCACATGGGGCTCTCATGTCAACATGTGTGTCCCCTCTTCCTGTCCCCAAGCTTGGCAGGGTGTGAGTCACCCGTTCCCTGCAGCAGGGCTAGGACCAGGAACAAAGAGCAGCCCCAGACCAGCCTGTGGCCACTCCCCTTCCTCCTCCCTGCTCTGCAGCCCCCAGAGACAGTGCTGAAAGACGCTGGCATCAGGGAGGACACCACCCACGGGTACTCAGAAACAGACCGCCCCCTGTGCGCCTGCCAGAGCTGCGTCTGCTCAACGACCATGGTGCCCCTGAGATGCCAACTCAGCTGCCCAGGTACCAGCCCCACACCCCAGCCCTAGGTCGCCAGGCAGTGCTCAGTCACATGAACCTTCCACTCTCTCTGCAGGTTCTCAGAGCTTGTGGATGGAAGAGGAAGAGTGAGTGCCCGGTTCAGTGGCTCTCCCAGCAAATCAGTCACTGTGAGATCACGTGAGTGTTGTGGCCTCCCTGGCACTGACGTAATGGTAAATCCCAGTGGCCTCACGGCCTCTCTCACTTAGCTCTTGTCCTCAGCATGATAAGTGATGAGGCCCTTAAGACTTGGACTTACAGACTTCCACTACCAGCCCCGTCCATAGCCAGGGGCCTTGATCCTAAGTGTGTGCGAGGCTCTGGGCTCCTGTGGTGAACACCAACAGCATGTGCAGTCCACCATGGAAGGGACAGATGGTAAGGGGCCTCCACATTGTCAGTGTGAGGCCAAAGGTACAGGGTGCTGACTGGGCAACCAGAAAAGACAAGCAAAGTGTGGCCCTTGGACCAGCAGCTTGCCTGGGAGCTTCCAGAAGCACAGAACCCACCCAGAGCTGCCAGTCACAAGCTGTCTCTAACAAGGGGCTGGCAATTCGCACGCATGCCACTGTTCCAGGAGCATATGTCCACTTGGAATTATGAGGTCAGGCTCAGAGACAGAGCCTTTGGGTGCTAGTCCTGCTCAGGACTCAATCAGCAGGGCTGCCTGAGTCAGGTCACTGACCTTTCCACCTTGCCTGCACCACAGGACATGAGTGATCCCGCATACTGTCCCCATCAAGGTCGGCCCAGCAGCACCCAGGCATTTGGGTCCTTGTGCCCTGGCCACTTCCCACCTGGTTCAGGGCGGGTCCAGGAAACCTACCCATGGCAGGCATCCCCTGTGATTCTGACAGAAATCCCAGCCACACACCAAAGGACCTGCTGGAAGAAAGTGCCCTGCAGACTTCATAACTCACCTAAAAGCCTGGTGCCTACCCCTGTTGGAATCCCCAGCAGAAAGCCCATCACCAGTTCAAGGGAAGGGGAGGGGAGGGAGTATGCAGCAGAGAGAGAAGAGGAGGAGTATTACAGCCCTAACAGGCAGAGGGGGCAGCAGAGGGAGGAAGACACTGGGCCAGGTATCTGGGGAGACAGGACAGTCTGGCTGACCACTGTGGTGGGCAGTGTGAGATCTGGGGTACAGAAGCAGGGCTGTCAGACTTGCAGCCAAGGAGGCAGACAGGAAATAACCCGGGGCAGGGGTTACAGAGGTGTCTTGCAGCTGCAGGATAAGAGCACAGCCTACAGAGAGTGAGAGTAGATAGGAGGAGGCAGGGGTGGAGGAAGAGAAACAGGGACTCTGGCCCTAGGAAGGAGACTGTTGCAACCTCAGCTATCAGAAGGATGAGGCTCCTGGAAAAGCAGGTCACTTTGCCTTTCCACAAAGCCACTCTAGTGAGCCCTTGAAGTGGAAAGTCAGGTCCTGCTGAGGAGAGCAGGAAGGTGGGGCCCCACCTGCAATGGGAGGCAGTGCTGGGGCCATGCACTCCATGCCAGGGTGTGGGAATCAACGGGTGGGCAGGGGGCAGCTCAAGAGGGCAGCCCCAGGGACAGGCTAGGTACAACGCAGATGCTGTGTGGTCACCATCAGCTTCCCCTAGAACCCACTGCACCAGTGCCACTTGAGAACACGGAGGAGGTCCCGCAGCCGATCCATCTGGCCCTCCAGCTCCCTGAGCACAGTGACAAGGACATGGAAAGTAAGTCAACAGTGGTGGAGGGGACCTGGGACTGACTACTCTTGGTGGCCATCCACAGGGAAGAATCCCACAGTGAGGGGTTGGGAGGCACAAGTCCTGCCCAAAGAGCTGCCAAGTACTCCAGCCTGGACAGGGTAGGTAAATCACACCACCCAGGTGCTGCATCCCGTCCTTTCATAGACAGGAAACAGGACCCACCCAATCCACCCAGGGTGTCAGAAAGACTGGCCCATGGCTGCCTCCTACAGTAGCCTCCCTACCCTGCCCTCCTCCCACACCTATGCAGCAGTGCCTACCCACCCCACCACCCTCACTTCTCCATGGAGGCGTTGAGTTGGGATGTGAGAATCTGCGGAGGGAGCAGACGCTAAGCAAGCTCTGGCTTGAGGGATTGCCCACCCAGGCTCAGACAGCATGTGGGCTACTGAGGCTAGACTGCACCTGGACAGCAGTACATTCCTGCATGGCTTCAGGTGCCTCTCCAGCACCTGCAGGGAGGTGCCCCATAGCTCAGGAGTATTTCCCTTTGGACAATAGACAGTATGCTACTTATACTGTCAGACTCTTACACTGCCCTTCTCCTTCTAATCCCTCTAGGGACAGTTCTAGGGCCCAGTGGCCCTTTCTCCCCAAATCACATCACAGACTCAGCTTGAACTCATCCATCAACACAACCCCAAAGGAGGTTGTGTACTGGGTACAGGTGTTAGCCTCAAGTCAAACTCACCTTCAAGACCCTGCCCCTAAGGACACCTGTTCATGCTCAGGACACTTGCAGCCCCAGAGGGAGTGTTTGCATACAGTGGTTCTACTGAACCCAAGTTCTGCATTCTCCCCTCACCATGAGAGCTGAGTCGGCTCTTGGCCTCCTGAGCATCCCCTTATTTAAGGTACAGTTCGCTATGAGTGAAGACACGCTGTTGCTTTTGTGAGTGGAATAAAGCAGATGTTTCATTAGATGGTTTTTATCATGCCTGCCCTTTTAAGTATTTATTAGGTGTTCCGTTTCATAAAGCTTGAGATAAGAAAGCCACGAGTTAACTCTCCTGGGTCCTCTCGAAGAGAACCACAGTAAGCCCAGGATTGGCCCCAAAGTCATTGCCATCCTGCAGTGTTTGCCAGTGTGATGTGCTCATGCACTGGTGGGGTGTGAATGATTTTAGGCTATAACATAAGAAAAATAATCCTTAATGGCTCCTAGATGTAGAAAATTAATCATGATCTTTGGTTCATGCCATGCTTTCATGCTGGCTCCTTTTATCATTTAGTCAATTAAACCTATGACAGGTCTGGAACCCAACCCATGAACTAGAACTGAATGGGAACTTCTGTCTTGCTGGATTTCTCCCTGGCCTCTCCCTGCAATCTACCTTGATCCTGCATTTTGTGTCTGTGAACCCTTAAGTTTGAGAGTAGATGGTGGAAGGAGTGATTTTATCACACACTGGTGTGCCTGAACAATGGGGTAGGGGTTTCTTCGCAAGATAAGTAAACCAGACACATGCTTTCACTCAGGCTCCTGCACAAGGTGGCCACACTTGGTCCCGAGTGCCATTGCCAGGCTTCATTGCCTGCTCCCTGGGCAGAGGGCACATAGGCTGCATGTGGCCAGCACAAGCAGGCTGTGATGGACTTTCTTGAGCAGTGTTCTGGTATGTGTGCCAGAGTGGAAATGCTGTTGTCTTTAGGTGTGTGACTTTTGAGAGAATGCTCAGCCATTTTCTAGGCAGTGGTACCAGGTTCATCCTCCTCCCCCAGTGAAGATCATTCGAGGTGCAGTCAGCCCAGTCTCTCCAGATCTGGGTCTTGCAGAGCCAGGACCTAATGTCTTTTAGTGAAGTTTTATATGGAATACAGATTTATTTCTAGGTACTGTGCAGTTTGATCCTACTAGGATTCCTACTAGGAATTCTACTAGGTTTCAAACTACATTTGCTGATTATTTCTTCCTAGAATATATCTCTTCATTTGACCTACCAAACCACCCTGCCAGATGCTCTGACTCTTGCCATAGGTTCTTGGGGTTCTCCAGAGTCACATCTTTTTTTAAAGTTTAACTGTTTGCCTTTTAGGCTCAGACCTGTAACTCACTAGATTTTTTTTTTTTTTTTTGATGAGACTGCTTACAAAGTAGGTATCTACTGCTTGAGCCACATTTCCAGTCCATTTTGTTGTAGTTATTTTGGAGATGCATGCAAACTATTTGACAAGACTAGCCTCAAACCGTGAGCCTCCTGATCTCACCCTCCCAAGTAGCTAGGATTACAGGTGTGAGCCACCAGCTCTGATCTTCTTATTGTAAAGTGGAACTCAGTTCTTATGAATGCTTGCTATCCCAGAGTCCTTTTCTGACCACCTTTCCCCTAGCTCTCTGCCACCTGTGCTGTCAAGTGTCTGCACATGCTTGAGTCCACTCTGGGCTGTCTCCTCTGTTCCATCACTTTCCTTCTTTGAGCAGTTTAGCGATGATGGCTTTAGTATGATTGTACTCTGCAGGACAATCCTCCCACTTAGACTTCCAAGAGTCTCAACTATTCTTGGTCCTTTGCACATCAGCTTTGCTGGTTCCACAAAGTCCTTGGCCATGTGTGTCTGTAATTCATCCCAGTCCTCACATGTGAAGGACATCCTGGCTAGAGAGAAGGTCAGAGGTTCACAGCCCTCTCTCCATTGTAATCTCATGTCTAGTTGCTGTCTCTGCTGCCCTTGTTCTTGTTTCCTTCTTTGCTCCTTTTTCTTTCTCAAGAAAAGGAGGATTCCCAGAGAGCCTCCAGGCAGCCCAAAAGCACAAGCAACCATCTAGGTCAGGAATTCACCTACAAGCTGAAGAGAGAATCTTACAGAGAGGAGGTGGTTTCCCAAGACTATAACCAGTCATCCTAGGCCGATTATTCTCCTCATTCCAGCAGGGCTTACGGACTGTCCCGGTTTATCTTCCTGTTCACGGCACCAGTGGTTTAGCAGCTGCCGCCAGAAGGACAGGAAGATAACATCCTGCGGCAACAGCAGGAAGTCAGGGCTTGAACAGCAGTGTTCTAGAATCTTCCCAGTGCCCCTCCTCAGGGGCAGCCACACTCCATTCTCCACATGGCTCACAACAGCCTTTTCTTTTTTTAAATTTGTGTGTACGTGTGACAGTACACATAGGATTTAGTGGAGATGGCTACATAGAACCTGACCTCAGTGAGCAGCTCTTGTAACTCCCTGCCCTGAGGTGGCAAGAACTGCAGGCTTGGGGCCCCATCAGCTCAAGAATGGCACAAGTGCCAGCCATGGTCTCTGGGCCATGGCTGTCCCATGTATACAGGGTGAGTACTGATGATGGATTCACAATACACTACACACTACCTTATTCTGCAGGGGTGCTGTAAAATGTCTCTAGACCACTGTATACAGTGTCTAAAATTCAATCGGAATTGCAATATCGCAGAATATTTTTTTAAATCCTGAAAAAAAAAAAAAGGTAGAACTCTTACTTTCAAATGTCAAAACTTGCTACAAAACAGTAATAATCAAATCAGTGTGGTACTATTTAAGGGTAGGTATTGAAATCAATGGAACAGAACTGAGAGTCCAGAAGTAAACCTACACAATCACTCAGTGCAAAAGGACAGTCTTCTCAACAAGTAGTGCTGGGACAAGTGGATGTCCATATGCAAAAGGATGAGGCTAGATCCTTACCTCACACCTTAAACCCATATGTATTAGAAGCCAAAATTGAAACTCTTAAAAGTAAACCTAACAGTAAATCCTCATGATCTTGGATTTGGAAGAGGATTCTTAGGCACAACATCAAAAGTATGAGCAACAAAAGATATAAGCAAATGGGATTTCATCAAAATTCAAAACCTTTATGCTTTCAAGGATACTACTAACCCACAGAATGGGAAGAAATATTTGCAAATCATACATATGATAAGGGACTTGTATCTAAATAGTATCTAAATATAAAAGAATTCCTATAAATAATAATGAAAAGGTAAAAACCCAATTTTAAAATGGGCAAAAGATCTGAATAGACTTTTATCCAAGGAAGATATACAAAAGAGTATTTGATATCATTAGTCATCAGCTGTGGGGAGTAGATTATGAGAAGCCTCTGAGATCTTGACATAAGCACAGTTGTGCTCAATGATCTACAGGCTGAGTTTGGCATGGCCCCAGCCGCAAAAGAGAGCAAGAGGCAAAATACAGCACAACTGCTTTTCCTAAGTTGTTTAAGTTCAGAGAAGCAGGAACTCAGGTTTCTCCTGGTACAATGTCACGCCCCTCCCTGAGAACTGTTGCTCCACCTCCTTGCTTACCACTGGATATAAAAGACTTGCTGAAGGAGGACACGGAAATTTTTTGATGGGATTTTGATTGGCTGACTGTGGCCTGTTTGTGAGGCTGCTGTATGAATGACACTGCTGCTGCTGAGTTATGCTAGAGATTAGAGAAAACATAGAAGAGTGCAAGTCTGAGGGCCAAGACTTTGAGAAAGATTAAGGAAAACATGGGACAGAGTGAGTCTAAAGAAAGAGACTTTAAAGAATAGAAAAGAAGCAAGGTTTTAAAGAGTAAGAGAAAAGAGGCAATGAGGCTGTTGTGCGTCTCCATCCACCATGGATGGGCATACCTGGCCCCAACTTTCTGCATGTCTGTCTTCTATTGTTTGTCCTTTCTGCATCTCCAGTTGCCCCCAGTTAGATTAGTAGAACAATAGCTCACAAGAAAGCTCCCTACAATCAGGGAATTGCAAACCAAAACTACAATGACATCCTACTTTATACCTAGGAGGATGGCTGGAATCAAAAAGTCAGATAACACGGGGGTACTGATAGCTCATGCCTGTAATCTTAGCTACTTGTGAGGCTGAGATCTGGCGGATCATGGTTTGAGGCCAGCCCAGGCAAATAGTTTATGAGACCCCCATATCCAAAATAACCAAAGCAAACTGGAGTTGTGGCTCAAGCGGTATAGCACCTGCTTTGTAAGCATGAAGCCCTGAATTCAGACCATAGTCCCACCAAAAAAAAAAAAAAAAAAAAAAGTCAGATAACAATAAGCACTGGTGAGAATGTGGAGAAACTGGAACCCTCATGCACTGCTGGTGAGGACCTAATGTGGTACAGCTGCTTGTTTTGGGGGCAGTCTGGCAGCTACTCGAAGGAGTCACCGGAGTTTCCATATGACCCAGAGATGCCACCTCTAGGTGTGTACCCAGGAGAAATTAAAACATGCATCCACATAAGTCTTATATATGAATATTCACAGCAGCATTATTAAAAATTACCAAAACAACCAAATGTTTGCCAACTGATGAATGGATAACCAAATGTGGCATATCCACTCAGTGGGACATTATTTGACCATAAAAAGTAATGAAGTGCTGTTACACACCACATTATACAAGGTGAAAAAACCCAGCTACAGATGTGCATGTATAATATGATTCTGTTCATATGAAAGTCTAGAATACAGAAATCTGGATAGCAGTACCTTACAGTTGCTTAGGACAAGGGATGGAGACGGGTACCAGTTAAAGGGTATGAGGTGTCTTTATGAGGTGATGAAAGTGTGTTCTAAAATTGACTCTGGTAATGACACCAATGAATTATACGCTATAAATGGGTACATTTTATGGTCTATGAATATTTCAATAAAGCTACTTTTAAAAAAGTAATGTGCAGGCCTGGAGTTACAGCTTTAGCAGTAGAACATCTGCCTAGCCAGTGCAGGGCCCAAGTTCTAACACCAGGATTACAAAAAAAAAAAAAAAGGAAATAAAGATGGTAGGCTATTCCAGGGAAGAGAAGAGCAGGTGAAGGGAGTGGAGACAGAGGACCAGCTTCTCTGGAGATTTCTACATTGTTTTAGTTTTTTCTTCAGGATCATGAAAATGTGTTTAAAACAGTAAAAAGAAAAAGCATCAGTTAAAAGCTGCAAACATGCTGAGATGAGTAAGCCTATTTGTTGTGCTGCTTCTGACCGTGGTGCTCTGATCCTAACAGATCTGACATTGAAGCTCTCTCATGCATCCTGGAGGAAGGCATCACATTAATGAATCTCAGTGTAAAGAGATAAGGACACAAAATCTAAAGTTAAAAAATCTTTTCCTTTTTTATCTAATTCTGTTAACTGGAAATAACTCATAACCTGTTTAAGTTCTTAAACATCTCATTTCCTAGTTCTACTCACTGGAAAGGCCTGAGGCAGTACTGGGGGCTCTGGGCACATTTCCATGGCAGGCAACGGGCTCTTTGAGGAAATGGCTGATTCTGAAACCAAATAAGGATGCCAACCAAAGAGGCCCAGCACACATTGTTCAAAAGAGCAAGCATGTGTCTAAAATCAACCAGGACTGCCCAAAGGGCCAAGGAGCCAAGCTGAAAGGGCTCCCACCGGCCAAAGACTGGACAACTTGAGACAAAGAAAACCATGACGGCAACAGCCTGAATCCATCAGAGCCACACAGATCTGAATTATCACCATGCTCAAAAAGAGCGTGGACCTTGGTAGCACAAGGACCTGGGCTTGGTCCCCAGCACTAGCTCCGCAGAAAAACCCAAAATCACTGTTCATCTTTGGAGGACCTACTCAGTCTGCAAGCATCCAAACCAAGGGAAAGAATCAAGCAACTATCCTGCCTTGCCTTATGGACCATTTTTCCAAGGGCCCAAGGGGTAAATGAGGAAAGCACATCTTCACAGACCGGCCTTGGGCCAGTGAAAGCAGGAGTGATGTGAAGACACTATCTTAGAGAGATGACTCAGGAATCAACCTGGAACAGAAGTCTCAGTAGCTGCTCAAGCTATCAGGCACAAGGCCTATGGAGACCTTACCCCAGATGGATAAGGCTGCCAAGGCTGAACAGTGATCAGCCCTCATGTAACTCAAGTCAGACAGGAGAACATCATGCATAGACTGGTGTGGCTGAAGGATACAAAGCATCCCTATCAAACAGCCCTGCAAAGGCCATTTGTACCTGAATCCTAGTAAGCCCTTCTCTCTATGGGGTGAGGAACAAGCTAATGCCACAGGAAGCAATAAGTCAGATCCAGGAGGGTACACTGCAAGATAAATGGTCTCATTTCTTCAGTAAATAAAGAGGGGAAGATTAGAGGGCGGAGGTCAAAAGTGACTTAAGACACATCAGACATAAGCAATGTGTAAGCCCTTATGAGCCCTCATTAACTTACACCAACTATAAGTGTCATTTTAAGATAGGCGGGGAAATTTGAACATGGCCTGGAATTTCTTGTGACACTGAGGATCTTGCTTAATTGTAGTGATAGTATTGTGGCTGTGTAAAACACTGTAGTCTTTGTTTTGTTTTTTGTTTTGGCAGGAATGGGATTTGAACTCAGGGTCTTTTCCTTGGTAGACAAGCACTCTACTACCTGAGCCATACCCTCAGCCCTTAAAACACTGTAGTCTTTGGTATAGATGCTGCTGATGTGTTCAAAGGACAAATGGTTCCTGCAAACTGCTTTATCATTCTTCACAAGAAAAAGAGGGGGGTGACAGAAAGATAGGGATGAAACAGTACAGGCAAAAGCTGAGTGTCTGGAGTTCTTCCCACTCTACATATTGTAGTTCTGAAATTTTTTTTAAAGCCAGTAACTCATTTTAAGCATGTCAGGAGTAACAAAAAGTCAAGGAAAGCCCCAGAGGACGGTAGGAAGAACATAGAAAAGGTCTTGATGACCTTTTCCACTGCACCACTGCCCTGGGAGAAGAAAACGGGGAGACACGTCAAGCAGGTTGGGGGCTGCTTCAGGTGGCTCGAGGAGGCTGAACTTTTCAGTACTAGATGTGATAGGGAAGCCACAATTCTTGTTATGTTTGTCAATGTTTTTAAAGTTGAAAATGAAAATCACAGGTATCTTGACAAAGTTAAAACAGCGATAAGGGACGGAGGGGGCAAAGGCAGGCTGGCTCCTCCCTGGCAGCATCACTGACTGCCTGGCCTCTGCTGTGGCATTGTAATGAGGACCTGCTAGCAGGTGAGCAGACAGCTGCACACAGGGGCAGAGATGTGAGCAGTGTCTTAAGTACAGACAGCCAGTTCTGCATGGAGCACTGCCTGGAGCTAGGGACATGGGGGAGAAGCCCATGCACTGAAGAAGGTGATTCGGAGACAGGCACTGGCAGATGATGGGGACCTTAAATTCCCAGCAGGAAAAAAAAACCATTACAGACAAAGTCAGTGGAAAACGGGAGGTACAGGGCACAGGCCAGTAGTGGCTCAGCACAGGTCCAGTGGAGCCACCCCTTCATCCCTCCCTTCTTCTCCATTTCCTTGAACTCAAGAGGTCAGGCCAGGAGTACTGAAGCCTGACTGCACACCTAACATGGGCCCACACTCCAGGCTAGCAGTGTTGGCAGCTTACAGCAGCATGTCACAACAGAAGGGGGACAGGCTCATTGCTGCTGCCCTCATGTATCCAGTCAGATCATGGAGAGATGCAGACTGCTGTGCCAGCAAGCCTCTCCAGGCCCCTCAGCTGAGCTCTCCTGCCTTTCTGCTTCCAGATACTCCTAGGAGCTGTTCAGAAGATGCCTGTCAGAATGGAGGCACTTGTGTGCCAGGTGCTGATACCCACAGCTGTGACTGTGGACCTGGATTCAAAGGCAGGCGCTGTGAGCTCGGTAAGTCAGGGTTGGCCACTGAGCCAGGGCTTAGCCTCAGAGACTGTCATGACAGCCTGTGACTTGGCCCTGAAATGCTGGGCACAGGCAGGTTTTCCCCTGGGGTTTCCAAGCTGTGAGGTACCAGGACAGGGACTTAAGAGTACCCAGGTAAGAAGGATGGTGGACACAGAACCTCAGAGATTAGTTGCATAACCTCCCAAAGCACCAGGATGAAAGGTGCTGCCCATAGTGGGGCCTGAGAAGTCAGAAACAGACTGAATGGCAGCCTTAGCATCGGAAGGTGAGGTTGCCAAGGGCCATAGTAGTGGTGAGAATCAACAGAGTCGATAGGAAGGACACAGGCCCCCAAGAACAGTTTTGGACTGAATACCAAGGGTGAGTGGTCAGACGCTCTCACACCTCCTATGTAATCCTGAGGCCAGGCCAGCCTTAAGGAAAACTAGCCTGCAGGCTGCAAGGCCATCTGGAGCCAGGACAACCCCTGCAGATGCCTAGCACCCCTAGGGCGAAGCCCTGAGCTCAGAGGCCAGCTGCTGGGCCCTCCCTCAGGCATGGGTCTCTTGTGAGGAGTTGCATCAGCCTCCTTCTAAGCCCTGGCTGTTCTCCTTTGTGCCACAGCTTGTGAAAAGGTGCCCCGCCCCTGCACAAGGCTGTTCTCAGAGACGAAGTCCTTTCCTGTCTGGGAGGGAGGCATCTGCCACCACGTGTAAGTTGGTTTCTGTTCTCCACCTTACTGCACTGGTAGTGTCCCTGACTTCCAAGAGTGCTTCCTTATGACTTAAGAAGGTGTGTTTGGCTGTGGAGGCATTGGCTTTGACCACCACCTGTGCCCTCCACATGACAGATGAGGAACCTGAGGCAGAAAAACTGAATGATGTGCCTTGGCCAGTGAAACCCAGGAGCTGGCTGAGAGAAGCCCAGGCCTAGCTCCCAAGCCCTGGGCCCCACTGTGTGTGAGACACACACACACGGATTCTAGAACCTGGTCTTCCTCTTTTCCTTAACATACCCAGAAAACAAAAAGCACATGACAACTTCAGTCCCAGTGTTGCCATTAATTCATGGTGTGGCCCTGGGCAAAACACTCCTGCCTCAGTTTCCCCATCTGTAAAGTGGGCTGGGAGAGAGCTGCCTGCATTGTCTCGAGACCCTTCTTGCTAATACCTGGTGACTCTGGGTCACACTCACAATCAATTGAGACATACTTCTGACTGAGTGTCTGCTGTGTGCCAGGCTACTCCAGGCACTCAGTGAACATCAGTGTGTCACAGAAGGTCACAGTGAGTGCTAAGGAAAGGGAGAGATGAAGGCTCACATGAGGCCAGGAGAGCTGGGTGGGGGACAGGGTGGTCCTCATGGAAAAGGTGATACTGAACAGACACGGAGGAAGTGGAGCTCTGAGGGAAGACTGTTCTGGACAGCCACAATATGTTAGCAAGGCCCTGCATCAAGGTGTGCCCAGAACAGCAGAGACCAATGGGGCTGGAGTAAGTGCAACAGTGGTCCAAGGGCAGGAGACAGGAATCCTTTGGCCCTTGGAGACCCTCAGAAGGACTGTGGCAGTATTTCTCCATGAAATGGAAGGACCTGAAGGAGAATGATGTGTGACTGCATTTCACAGACTGCTCTGGATGCTCTGCAGATGCAAAGTCAGGCTCAGTCACAGCAGAAATGTAGCCTGAGGGTTTGTGTTGACAGCCACTGACCTTGGACTCTGCAATGGCAGGCTGTACCCACAGAATCATCCACCTTCCAGTTGTGCTGGTCACACCAGAGCCTGTTAGGTGCCCAGTGCCTGGCAGGGAAAGCCCTTCACTCACCCAAAGGTTTCTATCCTGTCAATTGTAACCTACATCCATCTTTGAGGGGACTTTCTTCTTGTATTTAACATATCTGGGTCTTGTTTATACCAAGCCTAACAATCTTCTTTCTTTTTTTGAGTGTTTAAGCCATTTATGTTACACTTAGCACAATGGCTGGTGTGCTGGGTTTAAATCTATCATGTTGCTATTTGTTTTCTGTTTATCCCATCTGCTCCTTATTACTTTTTCCTCTATCCTGCCTAATTATGGATTATGTTTTAAGATTCCATTTTACCTCCACCACTAGCTTAGTCACTATACTTCTTTGGTTTGTTTCATTTTGTAGTTGCTATGGAATGTATAATACACAACATCAACTTCCCATGCTCTACCCTGAGTTACTAGTATAAAACCTCAGTATAATTCAGCATGGTTCCACTTCCTCCTCATCCTTTGAACTGTCATCACTTTTTATTTCCACATAAACTAGGAACTGCACAATACATTAAATTGGTTCTCAGCAATTACTTAATTGCTGAATGTCTTGTCGATTCATTTGCATTTTACCTTTCCCAGCACACATCATCCCTCTGTGCAGATCTAAGATGCCATGAGGTATTATTTCCCTTTACCCAGACAACTTACCAACAGCACAGGTCTGCTGGTGATGAGTCCCTATTTTGTTTGTCTGAATTTAACCTTTATTTTTGACAGAAATATTTACTAGCTATTGAATTACTGTTTGACAGTTGTGATTTTTTTCTTTCAGTACTTTAAAGATGCCATTTATGCTAGTCAGACTTTTCATTGCTATGACAAAATATGACTTATTTTGGTACATGGTTTCAGAGGTTTCAATCATCATGGCCAGCAGGAAGCAGAGAGAGAATGCCTGCAGCAGCTGGCTTTCTTTCTCCTTTTTCAATTTTATTCCTTGAAGGCCCCCGGCCTATTGGATGGTACCACCCATACTCAGAGTGGGTCTTCCTCCCCAGTTAATCCTCTGTGGAAGCACTCTCACAGGCACACCCATAGATGTGCTTTACAATCTCCTAGGCACTTCTCAGTCCAATCAAGATTGACCATCACACCATTCCTTCCTCTTCTGGTGCACATCCTTATCAGTATTCCATGTATGAAAGTGTCTTCCCCACCTGTGGTTGCTTCTGCATTTTCTCTACATTACTGCTTTTGGCCATCTAATTATGTATGTGTGTGTGCCCTCTATAATTTGTTAACCTTGTTCTGGGTTTTTAGCTTTTGTCAAATTTGTAACATTTTGGCCATTTTTTTTCTGTCCCCCATTTCTTTCCTCTCCTTCTGGAACTCCAGTTACAAATGTATTAGTACATAAACCTGTTTTGTCCCACAGGTCTTTTGGCTTTTTTGAAGAGTGTTAGCAATGATAGACATGCTAACTGTACTCTTTATTTTAGACAGATTCTATTGCTGTGTTCAAGGCACTGATCTTTTCTTCTGCATTAATCCTGTTCAACAAAATGTTCACTTCAGATACTGTTTTGCCACCTCATTCAGCGTTTCTTTGGTCAGCCATCGCTGTCTTCATCACATTTCTATTTCCCTTTCAATCATTGAACATGAGGTGATGCTTAAGGGCCTGGCCTGTTTGTTTATGCCATCACCTCTGTCACTTTTCTCCAGGTTATGGATCACATTTTTAAATGATCCACATGATTCTTTCAATGTCTTATAATTTTTATTGGATGCTGAATTTTATAAATTCCATGTTACTGAGTGAATTTTTTTGTATTCTTTTTAAGAATGTTGTTTTTTTTGCAAGCCAGTTTTGAATAAATTTTGATCCTCTTGAGGCTTGCTTTAAGGTGGCTTTACAGCAGCCTTATGCTGGGGTTCATTCAACCCCTTCTATGGCACTACTTTCCCGAAATGAACATAGGGCTTTGTGAGTACTCATCAAAATGGACTCTAAAACAGGAATATTTCATGTATGTTAAACTCAGTAAGCTTTTAAAATCACATGCCTTTTTGTGTTGGAAGTTTTGATAGCCCACAGGAGGGGACATTCCCTCAAACACCTCCACTCACCTGTGATCCACACAGCCAGATTAAGTAGCTGGGCAACTTTCTGCCTCAGACTCTGACTTTACAGAGCTTTCTTGTAACCACAGGTATAAGAGAGTCTACAAAGTTCATCAGGACATCTGCTTCAAAGAGCGCTGTCAAAGTACGAGCCTCAAGAAACCCCACACAGGTGCATCTTGGGGGCAGGCTGTGTACAGCATGCAGTTCCACAGGGTGACGGGCAAGGGTGGTAAAAGGGTTAGATCAAGCCAGGCTGTCTGCCCAGAAATTCAGTCCCTGTACAGCTGTGCTCTGCTCAGAAACTGTGTGCATGAGGACACGGATGGGAAGTCCAGGTGGTCACTGGTGGAAGTGCAGGTAGCCACTGGCCCTGAATGGGGAAGCACAGAGGGATATTCACAAGCCTAAGTGCATAACTACAAGTATAGAAAACCTGTTTGTCTTTTATTCACTCAGACCCAAGTTCTTCCCTCCATGGGTTCAAGGTAGTCATAAGAATGATTACTGAAAGAAGTGCCTGAGAACAGTATCTAAATTTTTTCACAATGAATCCTCATCTCAGGCATAGTCTCCATGGACCAACTGTAATCACACATCCTTGCTTTGTGTGACAGTGCAGGAAAGGCTACTGCATGCTCTCACCAACAGCACTGCTTGGCCTGAGTATGTCACTGTCTTGCCTGTGTAGCTCTTGCTGCTTTCGTTCACACATACATCTCTCCATGGTGCACAACCACCCAGGTTGCTACCCACTCCTTCCACAGCTTCCACCTCAAGCAGGTGTGTGCACCCAGATGGCGCACCAGTCCCCGTGTTATCATCTGCACTAGTGGTATTCCTCACAGTGGGATTTAGGTGAGGTAGGATTAAAGGTACACAAGTCCCTTTCTGACTAAACTACTTCTCTTCATTATTTCAGGAAACAAAGTAAAAACAGTCAAACACTGAAGAAATCTTAAGGTATGTCCCTGGCCACCCCGAGAGCTACTGGGAAGTGGGAGCTCTCATCCCACCCAGCACTGGGCCTTGAGCGCCGCAGTCCTTATCAGGCACTGTGAGAGCAAACTCAGCAGTAAGCTGTTACAAACCCGACTAGGAAGGTTCAGGAATCTTTTGCCTAGAGCCTCTCAATAGACATAATCTAGGGCCTCCACAGACATAAATTTGCCCCCAGGTGCAACTGAGGCTCTCTGCAGGGAGGGCAAACTCCAATGTCAAGGAAAATGGGAGCCAGCCAGGAAGGGGGCTCAGAGAAGCTGGAGGACCAACTGGCACCTAGAATTCTAAGCATCACGAACCCCAAAATGAAACACTTTACTTCTTTGACTCAGCACTTCCCTTCCCTACGTCCCCCGTCACACACTCCGTTGAATCTTAAAAGGATGTTGGCATTCTTCACGATAGTCTGGAAAGTACTGAGTTGCCCCACAGAAACCCATCTGCAGCCTGAACTCAGTTCTGCACTGACTTCTGATCACTGTGGTATCACTGGGAATGACAGATTGCTGGCCTATGACAGCTTACTCCTCTACCCCTCGGTGAGCCTGAACAGCCTATCCTCCCAGAGAAGGAGTAGGAGAGGGTGGCGCCCTTGGTAAGGGCAGGTCTCCCTTATCTTCTGTGGCTGAGGGCATAAAGGAGAAATGTTACCCAAAAGCCTAAGAACAACCAAAAGGAGAGGACCTTCCAGGCATGACTCACCCCAAGGCAATACCACACTAACTGGGAGGGCAAGACCAAGGCTAGAGCTTCATGGGCATGAGAAGAGCAGACTCTCACAGGGTCCTATGCAAGAGAACGTGTGCATCTGACCTATTTCAGATGGGAAAACTCTCTGCATAAAGAGCAGCTGACAACACTCAGTTCCTGTCCACTTACCAGCATTACCTCCCCTCTAGCCTCAGCCTCTAGGAATAAACACATAAAACACTTTCCAAGATTTGTAAGCAATTCCAATCCTGGTAAGGATCAAGAGCCTGCAAGCATCATTTGGTTTTGAAATACTTTTTTTTGTTGTTCAGATTTGTTTATTATAAAATTTTTATTAGGATATATTCATTACATTGGGGGGGGATTCTGATTAGACTTATATTGTACATTATTTACATTGCCCCCACCGTCTCTTCACCTCGGCCTCCTCCCTAATACTGAAATATTAGTATTTCAGTAAATCACCTGAAATACTAATACACCTTCTAAAAACTTAGTCAGCAAATCCATTTCTACAAAAACAAATGTGAACCCTGCCCCAAGTAATTACCAAATACCAGCTTACAGAATACTTATTCTTAAAACAGGAGGAACACAAACAAGCAGGAAACAAAAACACCCACTCAGACACCCACTCAACAACAACACAGACACTTTGGGGGTGACTCAATGTCACCACCAACTAGAGGAGGGCGGCCTGTTCATCCAAATTTAAAAGTCACAATGCTGAGCCCTAACGGGGTACATGGAGTTCTCCACAGCACTGTGGCCCTCTAAAGACAGAGTGTGCACGTGACCCTCCTCCACAGATCCACAGAGCTAAGCCCTAAAGACAGGGTGCATGCAGTCATCCTCACTCCCCCACCCTTCCCTCACACTGCTGCCGGGTTCAAATTCTGCCAGTGTAAAATATGGGTCCTCTGAAATGACAAAGCCTGAGAGCTGCGGAGAGGCACCTGCTTGAGAGGGGGCGCAACTGTCATTCTTATTGCACCTCACTGTTCTCCCTTCAAAGGATCTGGGATGTGCTTCTTACACTCTGCCCCCTCAAGAATTTCCCAAACCCAGGAAGATGAGCTCTAAAATTGGACTGAAAAGAACACCAAGAGACAAGGTCCTGGTTGCAGTCAGTCCCCTCTGCCAACTTCTGTCCTCGGGCCACTAGACACCAGATGGCCAGGCCTGTACACACACCAGCTCACCTGGGGACTCCTCCAGGATCTTCGATCTGTCCAGAGCTGTGGGCTTCCAGAAGAGTGGTTGGTGCCTCCAAGAGTGACTGACAGCCACTGTATGTCAGGGTTACTGTGGCAGTTGGTCAGTAACACCTCCACAGTGCTCAGAAAACCAATCTCAGATTCCAATGTCAGAGAGAGAAGTGTCCCTAAGCCCTAACACATGGAGGAGGAAAGGCCTTGGTCAGCTGCTTCCAAAACAGACATGTAGGCAGGAGCACAAGGGGTGGGGATAGGTGAACTTTGCACTGTTCCACTCCTCCACACCATTTATGCTGATCATTAAGGACCAAAGAGTTCTGAAAAAGGAAATGTTAATTACTACTAAAATGGAGTTTAAATACTTTTGGTCTGCAATAGAGGGTGGCAGACTTTTTCCATAATGGTTCAGGAAGTATTTTTGGCTTCACAGACCACATGGCCTCTGTGCACAACTCAGCTCTACGCAAACACAGCCACAGATGTGCAGCTGGATGGGTGTTCTAATGAAGTTTTATTTACTAAAACAGATGGTAGGCAAACCCCTGGTCTATGATATACCTAGACTTTGACCTTATCAAAGGAAGCCATCCTGTGGATGACAAGTCACCACTAAGGCACCAAAGACTCCAGGACTTTCACAGAAAAAAAAAAAAGCTATCCAGACCCTTGCTCAGAAAGTTGAGGCACAGTGCCATGAAGCAGCAAGAGCTCCTACTTACAAGTCTGAAGGCAACGGAGAAGGATGCTTGAGGAGAGCTCTAGGAGACACCTTTTAGTCTATGACTCGAGCAGACTGTGTGGGCTATCATCAGGAACATCTTACACTCCATCTTCTTTCCACATTCCCATCCCAGCACCAACTCCAAGCAACTCTGTCTTCTCCCTGCAATGAGGTCAGAGCCAGAAAAGCCAATCCCATCTTTCTCCTACAGAATATACCAAGGACTAGACTGGAAATCAAACACCCATGGTCAGCATTACAGCCAGAGGTCTCCTGCCCTCCATCATTTATAAAGAGTAATATTTTAGTATTATTTTTATTAAAATTTTGTGTGTGCCTCTCTGTGTATACAATTTGTCAATTTCAGAAAAGAGGAGGAGCTACATCAAGAAATCTCTACTGTAGCCCAGAAACACTACATCAAAGCATAGCCTCCAGAGACCACCTGAGGGCCAAGGGCAAAGCTTAGGAAGGGTGTTGGACACTGGGTGAACAGAGACCACACCCACAAAAGCATACAGCTGACTTCCACTTCGGCACCAGGACCCTCACTGTCCATCCACGTGAGCTATAGCGAATAGTAAGATCAAGTGATGTCACTGCAAAAGTAGATGAAACCTCCACACACTAATAACCTCAGGCCCCTCAGCCACCAGGCAAACACTGGTGTGCCTCTGTTTTTAGCTTAGAAGCCTGAGCTCCAACAAGAGCCAGTCTGCTGAATGCTGAGCAGGATGCTGTGCTGTCATTCGATCAACCCATTCAGCTGTCTCACAAATGAAGCCCATGGGAAGTGCTCTGCTTTCTCACGTCTTTCTTAGCCTGACTAATGTCTTCCTTGAAAGCACTCAAAGCCCAAACCAGGAAACTGGTCATAATGGAATCGGAAAATTGTCAGGGTGCAAAGATTGATTTCTGTGTTGAAATGAAAGACGTAACCATGAGTTGTTGGGTTCACCATTTGCTAATCAAAACTTAGGATAAGCTGACCCACCTAATCAAGCTCAAGTTTAGGATTCTTCTCAGTCTCGATGGGGCCCAAGAATAACACCCTAGGTTGAAGGAAAGTGATGGTCATTTGGATGCCACAAAATGGAAGAGTCAGCAGCAACGCAGACACAGAGTGAACACCTTCTTTTTCCAACAGTTTTACCCATGGCCAAGAATAACCATAAAAACATAACTCTCCCTTTCCTCGTTGCCTATGGGCTCCCAGTGCAAACAGGATGCCTTTGCTACACCCTGTTCCCTGTCCAGAACCTCCTGCACCTTCCTTCATGTGAACTCCCCAACAAACTACTGCCATGATGACTCACTCACTCATGGGGAGTCACAGAGCTACTGCTTTACTTTGCAAAAAACCTATTCCTTTTTGCAGTGAGGCTCCAGGGTAAGCGATTAGAAGCCAGACACCTCCACACCTCAGCACCAAATCCCCACAAAAAACAGCTCAGATCCAGCAAGATTTATCTTTTAAACAGAAATAAGTAACATTTCAAGAGTCCATTTACAATCCAGAGTTGTCAGGAACAGATGCAGTCACATTACTTTTCTGGACCAGGCCTTAGAGCAGCTTCTCAGCTTCAGCACTGACATTAGGACTGGATCATTCTGTCTGTGGAGCCATCCTGTGCACTGTCAGATATTTTGCAGCATCCCTGGCCTCTACCCACCTAATCCTAGTCACACCCCTCCTGATCCCATAGCACCCCTCCCTGGGGTCATGACAACAAGTATCTCCACAGATTGCCAGATGTCCTAAGCGTCAAGGTCACCCCAGGCGAATACTGCAGCCTTACAGGAATCTTCCATGGTCTATATAGGAACAAGGCCAAGCCTCAGATGAGTTTCATATGGCTATTAAAATGCCACCAAGCAGACTGAACTTTGGTTCCACCACCAAACATGATTTTTGCAGCACCAATCATCGAGGCCCCTCTGAGAACTAGCTCCATCAAAGCCTGGCCTCTACCTCAGAGTTAACCCTATCCTGTTCCCACATGGCTCCTTACACCCTCATGTTCCCCAGATGATGTTCACTCTATGGGCATCTGGCGAGCTCCCTAAAATCAAACCTGGGCTCTTCCCCTCTTGTCCTCAGAAGCCCATCTATCACATGGGGTGGACAGGTGACATCAAAGACTGCTCCCAGCCCCACCAGTGCTGGCATTCTCTGGGCCAGTGCACTCTGGCACTGCAGGCTATAGGGCCAGAGATGCCAGGCCTTGAAATGGCCACCAGCCAGGAGCTGGCATGAAGGCCAATTTGTTGAGCAGGAAGCATCAGTTTTTCACAGAGAAAAGTGCCAGTGCTTTTCTGGCCTGAAGAAACCATGTAAAAGCAAAGCATACCTGACCAATCAATCACCTGCCTCTTCCTCTGCTGTACATGTGAGTGCAGTTAAGAAGCAGTAAAAGCCTGTTGGACTAAAAACATAAGGATTTTTGTGAGAAACCTGATAGTGGTTTTCATAAAATAAAGTGCTATGATGTATTAAAACCTCACCTTGCCTCATGATTTCACCTTTATAACTATAAGGAAAGACAAAGTGACTTGAACCAGAAGACACCCTATCCTCTGCCACACTGTTGTAGAATTAGCACCATTTCAACAGAAGAAAAATAAACCAAAATTGGTGGTATTGAGTCTCCTGGATTTTAAAAGCTCAGTCTTTTATTTAGGATGCAGCAGGACCTGTCACAGAACACAACAGACCAAACCAAAGCATTCCCTATATGGTTTGACATATCTGCATCTCAGGTGGTCATAATAATTTTTTTTTTAATCAAAAAGACCAGTGTTAGAATGAAAAAGCTTGAGAAGCTCCCAAAAGCTCTAAGAACACAAGAATGTTCTTTGACATCCCTTGATCCTTTTTGCTGCAGTCCTCCATCACAGCAGCTCCTCATCTTCTTCCTCTTCTTCCTCCTCCTCATCAGACATGCTGCCCTCAGGCTCTTCCTCCTCCCGAGCCAAGAGCTTTTTAAAAACCTCAAACTCCTCAGCAGTAGAACAGGCTGTCTTGTCCAAAAACTCAGCTTCTGAAACTCTGAGAATGTCCTTGAGTAAAGGATTAGCAATCTGAGTCTGCCCCTTCTTATCAGGAGCTTGGTACCGACCGAGGCGCTCCAGGTAAATGTGTCTCTGCTTGATCCTGGTTATTGAGTACTGCAAGAATTCAGTCCTTACTATGTCCAGGTGCTTAATTCCCATCCTAAAATATGCATACTGGGAGACACAAACATGTTTAGGATTCCCACTACAGAATCTTAAAACTTATCATTCCACAATAAATTAAGAACTTGAGCTGTCCAAAAGCATTAGAAAACAATTGCCTAGTTAGTAACAACAGAACACATACTCTATGATACCGTATGTGTGTGACAGCTGACAAGTTTTCAAATCCATATTGAGAAAAGTGCAGCAGAAAATAAAGGGCAGGAGGGAAAAGTTATGTTTTCCTTAGACAGAGGAAGGAAAGCCATGAGTACGTGAAGAACAGGAAAAAATTCAGATGTATAGGCATTTAACCCAAGTTGTCATATTGTTACTAAAATACTGGGGTAACTGTCACAATTACATTTTCAAAATCAATATGCAAAAGTACATTCTAAGGTCAGGAAAGTTTTAGCTATTTCAGAATACCCACTTAGACTCTAAGAATGCAATGTGACTGGGTCTTTCATTATTAAGGAAGAAAAGCTTCAGAACAGGTTGATCTGGAGAGAAGTGGAAGAACCAGGCTGTTTTCCTTGGCTGCTGTGTGAAGAAGAGAACCGAGACCTTCTACTCTCGTCCATTTAGAGGCTTCGTACCCCAGAGCAGACACTGCATCTGAAAACCTGAAACACCTGCTGTTATTAGCCTAACCAGCCATTCTCACCTGGAATTTGTATTCCAATTCACTAGGATCCTCTCGAAGAACATTGGGACATCTGTGCAAAATCTCAGTGACTTGCTGAACAGTGAACAGGCACTTCTCCTTGAGGACCTTGATGATGTCATCAATGTCCTGATGACACATGGTGAAAATCTCAGGGCAAATGTGAAGTACCCTCTTTAGTTTTCCTGCAGAACATTAAGAAAAGGAAAGCACAGAATTTCAGAATAGTCCAGAAACGCAAGAGTTAGCTACACCTGACTGAAGCCATCATTTAAAAAATTAACAAGGCTCCTCACCCTCTACAGAATGAGCAAGAGTTTCTAACACATCTTCCATGGAGCACCAGACTCACCAGCCCACCCTACAACCCTGCCCTCTTCTGGCCTTCCATCTGAAGCCATCAGCTTCATATTCTAGGCTTCCTCTTGCCCTCCTAACCTAGAAAAGAATTTCACAATTACCAGAAAGATCAGACAGTAGGATGGGAGATTAGCCTCCCCAACAGTGGGATTGGGGGTTGGGGGGACTCCTGTGTTCCCCCTTTAATAAAAGAGCCGTTAACACATTCGTGACCAGCACTCAAGACCTGGGAGCCTGACCTCAATGAAAACAGTTCCATAATAATGACAGGGAGAGACAAGAATACTCATGACACATACCACAAATACTGACATCCTGAGGGTGACCACATGTTTTATCCAAACCAGGGCACTCGTGAGGCCACTCCATCAGACAATTAGTATAAACTGGGACTATCCCAGGCAAACTGGGGTACATGGTATTCCTATGGACAACTGGGCAAAATTCAGAAACTGGAAACTTAAAATCACTCAAACTGTTCACTGAATTTCTCCTAATATCAGGGTTATTTGCTACCTCACTAAAATGTGTGAGAAGTGAATTTCAGGATTTTAGGCTTTGTCTCTTAAGCTATGCTAAGTTTGCTAATGAACAACCAAAGGACATACAGTATTGTTATAGGTTTTTAGATTACATTTTAAGAGATACTGTTAAGAGAAATATACAAGGCTAACATTTTAAACCCCAGCTACCCCCCCACCCTCGGCCAAAAAAAAAAAAAAATTCTGACCAAGAAGAGCCAATAATGAATAGAAATAATAGTGGAACTCCTCTGGTCAAATGGGTAGGGGGTCCTTTTAGGCCCCATCCCCCTTCTCCAGAAGGTCCATAAAGAGACCCAGATAACTTTGTGAGTCCTTGAGGTGTGAAAATTATTAGGGAAGGGGGACAGCTAAAGGGGAAACCACTCCCTCAGCTTCCCAGGAACCTGGCAAGATCTCTCAGGCTACATAATAAATAAAAACACTGAGATGGATTCTGAGTCAAGTTGGTTTTCACATCAGAAGTTACACATACTATATATATATATATATATATATATATATATATATATCACCACCACATAGCAACACCACCCCACTGAACACAGACCATGTGCCTCAACTGTTCTAAGAGTTAGAGAAGTCAGTGAATGTGCCAAAAAGGGTCTGCCCTCACCTCACGTTCTCTTTTCCAGTCCTCATCTCCTCACAATCCTTCTACAATACCTTCTGCAGAGGCCACATCATATATTCTCCTCTAGGACACTGACCTCTCTGCAAACTTCCCTAGCCATTCTCTCCCCAACTCTGACTCCTCACACTGCATGACATCTGCATCTTGTACCTTCTCCCAGACCAAGCTTTCGCAGATAACTGGAACGCTTCTTCATTTGCATCAAAGGCAGTTTCAGTAACTGGGGATTTTTCTTCAAGACTATATACACAGGCTCTGGATTCAGACCCAACAGCATCAATTCTGAAATGATATCCAGCAACTGTTGACAGTTGGCACTTGGCTGTATACTGAGAAATTCATTAACATGGGCATCACTGAAACCCATGTCCAGGAGGGCACTGAAGACCATCTCTACCTCCAAGGACCCTTGACCTACGGGAGTCTTCAGATTCTCAGGGAGGCATACTAGCTTCTGCATACACTTCTGAGGTTCATCAAAGGATAACTCCTGAAAGCTCCCTCCTTTGGAGGCTGTAGTCAGTCTACGCAACAAAGAAGCAGTCATCTTCTTCTGCTTTCCAAGATAGGGAGTCTGCCTGGCCAAACAGACACAGGTGAGTGGGATTAGGCGGTTCCAGTCAAGGGCCTATAAGATACAGAGAAAGAGAATCAAATTCCATTCCAGAATAATGAACATCACAAGATTTCTGACCAGGGTACTTAGTCCATTGGTCCCACACAAACATAACAAGTTTTTTATAAGCAATCTGCAAAACTGTATCTGAACTTAAAAAGTCAACAAAGAAAACTTGCATATAGAGAACAGCATTTATTTCAAGGACAAATGTTGGAATTAGGGTTGAGCAGTACAATTAGCTATATGCTACAACTGCCTGGGCCAGTAGGGAGGGAGAGGGAAAAACTATTTCAAAGTCATCTGGTGATGCTTGGCTGATAATTCTGGAACTGCAAACTAGTTTCCAGATTCATTACCTAAATTCATTCCACAAAAAATATTCTTGGCTACCTGCCCGAACTATCAATATACACTTAAAAAAATTAAGGACAGTAAAGTAAAACAGGTCCTGTCCTGGGGTAGGTACCAGAGGGAGAGGGGAGAGATTAAGGAAAGGGTGAATGAGGGCAAATAGATGTATTTTGTATTCGTGTATGAAAACAGAACAATGAAACCTGCTGAAATTGTTCTAAGAAGGGGAGAGGGGGGATGAATCTAATTAAGACATACTGTAAGCACATAAGTAAACGTCACGATGTATCCCTCCTGTACAAGTATTATATGCTAATACTTTAAAAAAAAAGAGAAGAATAATATTCTTGGCTACCCAAATCAGTCAACTTGTATACAGGTGACCTCGGTTCTGGACGGTAGGTAACAAATTAAGCACAAATCATCCGGTCCCGGTCACATGGGTCCCCAACCTCTCCCCAGCGAGGCCACCATCGCACCCCAACCCGTCAAGGCCAGGCGCTCACAGCTCTCCCGCCACCGCTCTCTCGCCCTTGCGGGCAGTGGCCGGACCCGCCCCGCCCAGGGAAAGTGCCAAAGCCGTGCTGAAGCCAGCAGAGCGCCACAGGCCGGGGCGGCGTGCGCCGACCGCCCGGGAAGGTTCCTGTCGTAAGGTGCCCCGACCTGACCGCGAAACACCGAGAGTAGTGCTTTCCCCACGTCCCCGTGGGCCCGCCCGAGACCCCGAAGAGCCTGGCACCCAGTGCGACCTCACCTGCCGACAAAACGCCGCCATAGCGCCGAAGCTCCGCGGCGGCCACTGCGGCGCCGGAAGCAGCGCCCTCCCTGGACCGTCACTTCCGGTCCCTGGGTCCGTCCCGGCCGCCCTCCCCAGCGCCAACGTGGGGTGTGAGGCGCACGTTCCGGCTGGGATGCGTGCCCGGAGTTCATACCCTCGCTGGCTCCGTTCCCCGGAGCTGCTCAGCGCTGCGCTTTTCTGTCTGCGTGGCCACGGCGTTTCTCTCCCGCTTCTGGAGGTCCTGGCCAGGGCCGCACTCCTGCCTCCCACGACGTCAACACTGCGGAGCACAGGCGCTCGCAGCCGCCGGCTGCTGGGTGCCCTCCAGCCGGAGCCCAAGCCCTTCCCGAAGCCCTGAGTATGGACCCGGCCCCAGGGAAGCACACTGCAGTTTTACTGTTTGAAAACCTGTGTTCGACATGAATTCCTGGGCACTGTTTTTTTAAAAAAACACGACCCAAGTAATAAAATGGCAGGAACTATGTGTGGCACATTTTCTCTGATAAACAGCAGAGCCCTTCCAAACCACAGGTCTGGTTTCCCCTGAGGATGAAGTAATGTTCTGCCTGGTATATATTCATTCTTAAATTTCAGACCTGGGCATCTTTCAAAAGGGTATAGCTGTGAAGAACAGAAAGGTGTACTGAGAAAGCTGCCTAAATTCCACCACTCGAAAGTCGTAACTTACACACCTTTCTTCTTGCTTTTTTAACTTCTTAACTGAGGAAAATGACTTGATGCATGAATATGTATTTACCCGCTCTGTGCCAGTCACTGAGCTGGTGCTAAAGTTTTTAAACTTTTTTTTTTTTTTTGGTTGGGGGCGGTACTGGGGGTTTGAACTCCAGTCACTGAGCTGGTACTAAACTGTTTAAACTTTTTTTGGGGGGGAGGGGTGGCAGGGGAGCTTGAATTTAGGGGGTACTGGGGGCTTGAATTTAGGGCTTCTCTTGCTCAGCAGGCACTCTTAACATCTGAGCTACTCCACCAGCCCTTAAACATATCTTTTGACACAGGGATTGTATCAAAGAAAAGGAGGGCTGTAATCTCTGTAAAACTAAAGAACTGGTTGCTTTGGTCTTGTTTTTAAATCTTTTTTTCTTCTCCATTGGCAACAATTCAAAATAAATTATTGATTTTACACATAAAGCCTGAGAAAACCCTATGTACCACCCCAGCTACTGGAAAACATAAAAGAACCTGCACATATCAGCCAGCTCTAGAAATAAAGTGATGGTTGGGATGCAGAGATTACTATTTTAAAAACTGGCAGAATCTTCATTCTTTTCCAAAAAATTAGCTTTCTTGAAAAGCAAGAGTATGCTTCCCTACTTTGAAACACAGGCAGGAAAACTTGCCAGCCACAGCCTCAGAACTTATTCCAAGTTTTCTTCTGCAAAGTATCAGAATTTCTACTGTTATCAAAAGCTTTATTTTTAGCCAGGCACTGTGGCTCAAGACTGTAATCTAGCTACTTGGGAGGTAGCAATCAGGAGGGTGTTGGTTCAAGACCAGCCCAGGCAGAGTTCACAAAGACCTCATCTCAACCAATGGCTGGATGCAGTGGTGCGTGCCTATCATCCCAGTTATGCAGGGAAGCAAAAACAGACCTGCATGGGGAATAAAGTGAGAACCAATCTCCAAAATAACCAGAGCAAGGTCAAGTGGTAAAGTGCCTGCCTAGTATGGGAAGCCCTGAGTTTAAACCCATACAACACCATATATATATATATATATATTTGTCATCCCAGCTACACACAAGGCTTGGGTAACAGGATCATGCTCTAAGGCCACCCAGGGCAAAAACTGGAGGCACGGCTCAAACGGTAAAGCACCTACTTAGTAATTGTGAGACTCTGAGTTCAAACTGCCAAAAAAAATTCCCCAATGTCTTATGCTTTATAAGCATCATAAACACTCTACAGAAAAATGTTTCATTCTTGAAAATGGAACTCTTACAAATCAGAAAATTAATATGAATTCTGACACAAATATGTCACTAAATTCTGGGGCCTGGAGCCCCTCACACAGTCACAGAGGTGGACTTGTAGCTGTTCAGACAGATATGGAGAACCTCAGAAGACACAGACACATGCCTGGAGACCCTCAGATAGACACAGAGGTGGATGTGGAGATCCTCACACAGACACAGATGTGGACCTGGATACCCTCACACAGGCACAGACATGGGCTTGGAGACCCTCACACAGACATTGACATGCATTGACAGATGGCTGGCAGATTGGAGCCTGCACAGCTGGAGAAGGGACTTCTTTTGCTTTTGAACACTACCCTCTCCCCAGTCTTCTGATTGGAAGAGCTTCAGAGCCCTGGGCCACCCCCCACCCCGGATGTACCCCCCCCAACTAACTGGTTGGCCTTCTTTCTAGTTGTGGCAAGTCAGGTGCACAATGGAAAGATTAGGAAACCAAGTGCTTCTCGGACCTGGCATAATGAAACAAGTCATGCTGTCTTAGGCAGGCTTTGTTAACTAGCAGAATTGCTTTAATTTGGAAAATATTCAAGGAAATAAATTAATGAAATATTCTGATCATGTGGCTAAGCAGCTCTACAGATTTCACACATCTGTCACTCAAAAGAGCACATATCAAGTCAGTGGCATTAAACCTATGTGTAGATAGAAAAGTAGAAAGAGAATTAAGACACTCCTTGCAGAGACTCACAAATTAAAGCCCCTTTATAGTACAACGTAATTGAACATGAGGATGCTTTTACAAGGTCACAAAAAAACATGAGTTCCAAATCTATTTTATAAATCTAAAAAAATATAGTATCACTGGCTTTTCTTCTAGCATTTACCAGACTTCCATGTGGGTTTTTTGAAGGGAATCAGGCCCAATTCCTAATAATTTACTTTCTCTGGGTGGAAGGGGCCTGAAATCCAGATGATTTTCCAAACTGAGTATAGAAGATCAGGAGAAACCCTGTGTTCAGCCAACCGGGGGAGAGGGGTCCACAGGATGCAAGCAGTGCTGGCTGCCAGAGGCCTCTCCCCGGGCAGGAGGCCCGCGTAGAACCGGAGCCTGAGTTGCTTCACTTGGGCTTCTGCCCCCAGGCTCCAGACTTGCAGTGGACAGGAGGTCACTTTCTAAAGGATGAAGAAGAGATAGTATTGTAACCTAACAATACAACATTCTAAAATACTTTGTTTCTCACTGAAAGACTGAGGGACAAAAGAATGGGGGGTGGAGGGGGCACCTTCAGAAACCCCTCTGGCAATGTTTTGCAAGTACAGACCCTGCTAAGATGCTGGGGGGATGCTAAGCACAGAGCCGTCGATCCTAGCTTGATCCCCCTGCTCTCCACAGTGGCTCTGGTTTGAGGCAAGGAGCCTTCTCTGAAAGACATGTCCTAAACCCCCACCCCAAAGCATCCATTCAGGGCCACTCTAAGGCCCAAGGCCACTCTGAAGCTGAGTGGTTTCAGGAGCCTCTGTTCAGAATCAAGCCTCATCTCTCAGGCCAGTCACAGGCCCTGAAATGGATGTCCAGGACAGCATGGAGGAGGAAGCTTCACCCAGGAAAGCAGCCTGGGTACTTACCCATCCCAAGCAAAGCCACACAGGGAGAAAGGAAGGGATTCCAAGAAACATCTCACCTGGTTTGTTGATCCGACACACCTCTTCCCAGGTGTAGTCAGCCAGGTTCACAGTCTGTGTCACCCACGGGTCCGTCACCAGCTTCTCCAAGGTGGTGCGCTGTTCAGGGTCAGGCTGCAACAGCCCAGACACGAGGCTCATGAGTTCTGGGGACATAGAGAACATGGGTGATCCAGGCTGGGACCACCTCAGACCTGCAAGTTTCTGGATCCATACCCCCAGAGCCTCTGACAGAGCTGGAGGCAGCAAGAGCCCTAGGCTACAAAGCACCAGCCTGGTGTGCTCAGTGAAAAGCCTGCAGGAGTCTGTCACCTCTGAAATGAATCCCTGCAGATTGATGATTGATCTCAACAGCCCCCGAACTTGTTTGATGGCAGGGGATTTGACTGTGCAAAGCAATAAATATCCAGGAGGACCTGACAGGTGGGGTCAGGGGAAGGCAGCAGGCAAGAGTATCCCCAGATCTGCCCTATGGGAAGCAACATGAGGTCTGAGAGGAGCTGCAGCCTTGGGCCTGAATTTGGGTCCCATTTCTTCCCCTGTAGGTGTCAACCAGGGCCTCTCTGAGCCTGTCAGGGTGACAGAACTGTGCCTTAGGCCCTGTGGGTGGAAGAGCATGCCTCCTGAGCCATGGCATCATTGGAACAAAGAACTTAGCAAAGCTCTAAGGTCCTCCTAGGCCACTGTAGTGAACCATGTTCCCCAACATGCATGCTGGAGCCCTAACCCCAGGGCGATGGCAGAGGGAGGTCGCCAGGGTTTGACAAAGTCCTGAGGGAGACCCCGGGATGAGATTAGTATCCTTTTCAGAGAAGGGAGTAGGCTCCCTCTTTCCATCACAAGAGGACACGGTGAGAAGGAGCTATCTACAAGCCAGGAAGGGCCCTCACCAAGAGTTCAATCTGTGGGAACCTCGACCTCTCCCTTCAAGCTCCTGCAACTGTGAAACAACCACCTGTTGTTTAAGGCTCCATCTGTAGGCCTCTGCTATAGCAGCCCAAGCTGACCACAACAGAGGCTTCCAACCTAAGCACAGAGGCTAAGGCCCAGACCTTGTGCACAGAGGTACCTGTCACCTCATAGCTTTTAACACGTAATTGCGATGTAATCACAGTATATCAGTCTGGGGCCCAGTTGCACAGCTGACACCTGACTATTCCTGCCAGCTCCTTGGGTTCTGCCAGCCTACAGGCTCATGAGGTACCCACTGCCAGGCTTCAAAAGCCTATCTGACCAATGAGTCCATATCTACCTTGCCACCCTCATCCTCATTCCAGATGCAAACCACCACTTCGCCCCAACCTGGTCAAATGTACCTCATGGGACTGGGGTGTAACTGACAGCCCACAGCCTCCATGTGAGCTGCTGGAGATCAAGTCCCTCCACACACTGACACCCATCCCTCACACAATGGGGTCCCTGAACTAAGTCCCTGATCTTACTGACTGTGGAGTCAGAGGTTCACAGGGCCTCTGAGATCCAGGAGACATATCATCAGGCTATATTCAAATTGTTCTTATAGTCAGATCAAGCATTAGAAGAATGAAGACTATTAGTGTGGACACAGGAGACAGACACAAGAGCTGTTGGTTCTCAGGACAATGGCATCTATTGGCCATCTGTGGCTCATGCCCACCTTGGGACACCAAGTATGGGGGGTGTAAGGCTGCCTCCATGGTTTCTTCCACCTCACAGAAGGGATTCTCCTCAAAAATCAGTGTGTATAGTGTGACACCCAGAGACCACATCTCCAGCTCTGGCCCTCTGTAACTGTAAGGAGAAGAGAGTATTTCAGTCTCATAGCACTTAGCACTAAGCCCACTGCACCAACCCAATGATGAGTGTCAGGGTCCTCCACCACCAGCCAGGAAGTGTCCAGAGAGACTGGCATCCTTGAAGTCCATGTAGGTCTGCCCCTAAACAGAGAGGTCCTCAGGAAGATCAGGGAACCACACAGCCTGGGGAGGGAGTGCTTCATTAAGGTGGGAGGATAGAGGAGCAGCCTCTCTAGGCCACGGAGCCAGAGGCAGCATCAGAACAGGGTCTTGAATTCCACATGGCAACAGAGGGAAGCTCAAGTCAAGCCTGGAGCAATAAAAGACACAGGAGAACAAAGCGTGCAGCAGCCACAGGGACAGGCTGGGGTAAATGGGGAGTGGGGGCAGACACACTCTGTTTCTTTATTTCAGTACTGGCATTTGAACTCAGGGCCTACATCTTGAGCACTCTACCAGCCCTTTTTTCTGAAGGTTTGTTTTTTTGTTTTTGTTTTTTCTTTTTTTGAGATAGGGTCTCACGAACTATTTGCCTGGACTGGCTTCTAACCGCAGTCCTACTGATATTTGCCTGCTCAGTAGCTAGGATTACAGGTGTGAGCCACTGGCACCTGGCCATTGTTGTTTCTTGTCACCAGAAATCTCACCTGCATGACCCCAGCTGCACCCGGCTGGCTGGATTTGGTCAAGGGCCATAGTTTACTGCCCCTTTGCTAGAAGGATGTGAAAACAACATGTTCCTAAGGACGGGATCTAAAGTAAGAACTCAGAAAACCTGCTGGGTAAGATCAGAGAAAGGATGTGGGAAGGACGAGGGGCTTGAAAGACAAGGCCCTGACCCAGAAGCCCACAAGCAGGATTCACACTCACAACTGAAAAGGAGGGCTGGGGGCGGGGGGGGACGGCAGAAGAAACCGTGCAGAGCAGGAGAGAGCAAGGCCACTGAGCAGCCTTGAACTGCTGGGCCAGACTGGCACCTCCGTCCTGCACTGGAAACTTCACTGCTTGGATATGAAACAGCCACACAGCAACTGTGTCATGGGCCAGTGGACCTACAGTCCCCCTCTAACACTGCCAACATCATGGCCACTACAGGAGGGGGCAGAGCTGACCAGCACCCACTGGGAGCCAGGGCAACCAAATCAGATATGGAAAGAAATCACCCCTCAACATTTCTCACATGGATATTCCAGAGAGGAAGGTTTCTCTTCCCCCACCCTCCACTCTGCTGTTGGCAAAAAGTCCAGTTGATCTACACGTAGAGCAAACCCAGGCCCAGGCCCAGGAAAGCCAGGCACCACAGCTAGAGGCCAGGAGTGGCTGAGTTCCAGGAACTGGCACAAGCATCCTGGAACCTTCCCCTCCTTACTCTGAAATGAAAAGTGTCCTAAGCAGACACTGCTCCAGGCCCTGGTCCTTTCTGTTGCTGAGGGGTCATCACAGGAGCCTGAGGTGTGGCATGGGGACAGCAGTGGCTACCAGCAAATGCTGTGGACTCAGGCCAAGGATAAAACCCAGCTCTGAGCAGGCCTATCTGGGTGACCCCACATACTGTCCTACAGGACACATGGAGCAAGAACACTGTCCTTCTGATCACCCACTGTCCTGAGACACATTCTAGCTGCACTTCCAATGTGTGCAGATGGTAGAGTAGAGGAAGATGATGTGGTCTCAGGCTGAGTAAAGTTGTTTTGCACAAACGCCCTCATTTGTGCACACTAGAAGCCACTGTCTGCAGTTTCCTCTCAGGCCCTACACGTGTGTGGGCAGCAACCTTCCTTTCGGTTTTTCTTTCGGTTCAAGTTGCCCATAACAAGTGTCTGCCTGGGCCAGGTCCCTGCAGCCAACAGGTGCCCCACTGCAGAGAAGCAAACTCCACCCACACCTAGGGCCTCTTCCACCCCCAACACCCAGCAGGAGCAGAGATGCTTGGCCAGGCCTCTGGGCTCAGAGCACAGCTGAGCAGGTTAAGAGACAGAGTCTATGGCCCATCAGCAATGGCACCTCTACAAGAACTCCATCTTTCACATGACTCCTCCTGTTATTACTCCTGTGGCTGCTTGATTTCTTGTATGTCCAGCCCCACAGACTTTAACAACCTAATTATTATTCCTGACATCAAAATAAATAAAGATAGATAAAAAGGGTCTTCCTCACCTACTTGAAGAACCCCATCTTTTGGGACCTTCATGTTTCTATTTTATATGTTTCCAACTTTCTGTTTTATCAAACTCCAGCTATAAATGGGTGTTGAGGAAACCCCTGTGTCCATCATCAGCTTGCTCTGACTGATCTTACTTGGCTTGCCTTCTGCCCACTTATTCTCCAAAACATGACCCTTTATCACTCAGCACAGAGGCATAAACTAAAGCCATTTCCCCCTAAAATCACACCAACTGTGGGGCCCGGTGGAAGAGGCAAGAAGACAGCACTGCAGCGAACATGCGATACATACGGATTACCCATGAGAACCTCAGGGGCACAGTACTCGATTGTTCCACAAAAAGTATAGAATAATTTGCCCCTTTCCAAGTAGGCGGCTGAACCAAAGTCTATCAGCTTAATGGTGAAGTCCTCAGCAATGACGATGTTCTCGTCTTTGATGTCCCGATGAATGATGCCCTTTGAGCGCAGATATCCCACTGCTGACACCAACTGGAATCAGAGGCCAGAGGGGCTTTAAGAAGCAATTCAAGTAAAACACACACTTAACATAAATGTTAACAAGAAAAAAGCAAAAGAGAAAAACATTCTCCAGATGCTGGAGATGTGGTTCAACGCCACAGGAGGCACAGCCACTCCAGGTGGTGATGTCACTGGCGGGTAGAGGTTAGCCAGCAAGGAGCAACACCAATGGGTGACTCATGAGTTCTCTTGGTGCTGATGAAACTTTACCAGTGGACACTCACTTGTCCCACAACCATCTCAGGAGAAAGGACAAGCGATGAAGCAGGCACTAAGAGATACGTGGCGGGCAAGTGATAAGCATGGGTTGGCATTGAGTGGGAGGTGCCCACACCGACACCCTCAACTCACAGGGAGGGAAAGCACCTTGCCCAGGGTTCTGGTAGCAGTTTGGGGGTCACAGCAGGTACAGCAGTCTGATTGGAGCTGAAAAGCAATGTGCCTCTTATATGATCATGTATAAGCATTATACATGATAATATTTAGATAAAATTATGGATCTATAGTTATGAGTAATAATGTGTGTGTGTGTGTGTGTGTGTGTGTGTGTGTGTGTGTACACAACTATAAAATACTATGATTACCTAAGTTGGACTGGGGGCATGGCTCATGTGGTAGAGTACCTGCCTAGTAAGTGAGAGGCCTGAGTTTAAATACTAGGACTGGCCAAAAAAAGCTACCTGTGTCACTGACCTCGGAATTAATAACCGAGGCAGCAGCTTTTAACAGGTGACTCTGATATACCCCACAGATACTCTCTGCCATGAAGATTACAGAACAAATCTTTGCTACAAATTGAAGTAAACAAGCCTTCAGTATTCCAACACAGTCAGAGAGAGAGGTGCCATTCTTTTAGCATAACTATGGGGCCCAAGACTCATAAGTGGGTGCCTGAGAAACTCAATTTCAGAAACCCAGTAATTTCTGGGAATTTATAACTTTGAAGAATAAATGTTGATTTATGGAAGCTGTCACTAGAGCAAGTCATTTCCAAGAAGCAAAGGGAAAATCTAAATTGTTCATGCAGCCTCTTCCTGGTATTTTCCTCTCTTTTCCAGGGATTTAGGAGCAGCTTGAAGTAGAAGCACCATCTTCTCCTCCTGACTCAAGGCAAGAGTTACTGTGTCATCCCCATCCCCATCCCTCACACACACACCTCTCCCATGTCCTGCTGTCTAGGATGCCTTCCAGTTCTGCTGATCACTCTTCCATTCCAATAAAATAACAAATGGGCAAAGATTGATAAATAGTTTAAGACAAGGCAGATAAAATAAATTTACTGAAAAATGGGATTACCTAAATCTCAATCTTTGCTGATTAATTAACAGCACTCGGAGCATGAGGTTACAGTGCTGTGTATGTGACTTGGGGCGCTCTCTGATTTAATCCCAATAGCCTTCTCATATAGATACTGTAGTGGTTTCTACTGTACCAATTAGAAGGCTGAGGCTTACAGACAAGTAGGTCTCACAGCTGGTGGGGACAAGAATTCAGATCAAATGCATAGGATCCACAGCCCAGTGTGATGCTTTATTGGTTAATATCAGTGTTTGGTATGGACACTGTCTATATAGATAAATAAATCTTAATCACTGAGCACACTTCACTGACCAGGGACAGCATCTGTCCTCTTCCTTCCTTCCCAGCAACACCGTCTCTACTTCATCCACAGAATTTGTTACTCTATGAAATGGAAGCTGAAGGCTAAATCCAGCTCACAGACAGAAATGACTGTGTGCCACTGATCTTTGCAGCCACTGGACCCAAGCACCCAAGCCCACATCCTCCCCGATGGCTCTGGTCCACTCTCACTTGTCGGAAGATGTAGCTTGCCAGGGGCTCATCCAGGTTAGGATGGCGGTCAATGAAAGCAAAGAGGTCCAGGCCAGAGCCATGCTTCTCCATCACTAGCTGGAAGAACCCTTGGTTTTCAAATACATCCAGTACCTGGGAAAAGATAAAATGGGAGTCCAACTCTGTTGAAATATGTTCAATCAACAGAAATTTTATACGAGCAACATTAGGGGACCATTCAACAGGAAATCACCATCTACCTTGATGATATTGGGGTGCTCCACCCTGGATAGAATTGCAATCTCTAAAGTAACTTTTCCAAGTTTGGGATCCTCAGTCCAACAATCCTCTAAAACCTTCTCCTTCTTAATAAACTTCACCACCACCTACAAGGGAAAAGAGGGGGCAGAAGTAACTGGAACTAGTCCTCTAGCATCCCGTTAAACCTGGTACCCACTACTTTCTGGTGATGACAGACAAAGACTCTGCAATAGCTTCCTCAAGCCCCATGAACATGGAAGGAGAAACATAACAAACCCCTGGCAGAGAAGGAGGCCACAGCTAACCAGAAATGTTGGGGAGTTTCTGCCCATCCTACGTGAACAACTGTAATAATGGGGGTCCTGAGGAGCCACAGACAGTGCCAGAGAAAGAGGACCCCAGAAATCTCAGGGCAGGTGCTCCACACAACACCTCACATCACCCCAATGTCTGAGTATTGCATGTCCTGACCACAAGAATGCAGTGAGAAGTAGAGAAAACAAACAAAAACTATCATCCTTAGACTCATGTCAATACTGACTCTGAGGTTAACCAGCAAGTCCTATGGGCCTGGGGGACACAGGTAAACATGACAAAAGGCATCACAACAGACAGTAGTAGTAGTTACCACCTGCAACAGGAAATGCTACAGGTCACTCAACAAAATACTGGCTGCTACGGGAGTGCCAGGCACAAGAGTAAAGGAGCAACCAATGGGGGTGAAGACCATGGCAGGACCTGTTCTGTACATCAGCAAGAGATTCTTCCCTATCCCATGGAGCTGATTGTCCACTGAGGGAGACAGAAGATAAATAAAGTGCATTGTGTACCAGAGAATGAGAGTGCCAAGGAGAAAGAGATGAAACAATGACATGCCAAGGAAGCAGGGCACCTGGAGGGGAAACTGGAGCAAAGCCTCTAGAGCAGGTTCACCCTGACTTGTGGGAGTCACAGCAAGGAGCCAGGATCCAAGCAGCACAGAAGGGGCCTTGATGGGACAGAGGGCACAAGGCAGAAGCCGGAGCAGTGGTAGGGAACTTTTGCAATATCCAGTCATCTCTCTCAATAACTAGGAGAGAAGAGATATGGCTTGGGAGCCAGAATGTGAGCAGTAGATAAATTCTGAAGACCCTGGGGAGGGAGGGTCACCACAACTTCCAGGTGATTTGAGAGAAGGCAGGAAGATGAGCAGAGAAGGCTCTGGGCCTGAAGAGCTGAGGTGGGGCTGCTGGGAAGGGAGGGCCAGCAGTAGCAGGAGTCAAGGAGACAGTGAGAAGGAAGGACACCTCCAGGAGCTCCACACACACCAGAAGTGTTTCAAGAGGAGAGAAAGTAGGGAAAGAAGTGACAAAACAGAGTAAGTTATTTTAAAGCAAAGCAAGCTTTAAACATTCAGACCAAAGTCTTACTGCATATCAGGGAAGAATAAAGAACACACACATACCTCTAAATAATAAACTTTTTGGAGTCCAAAGATTTTTTAAATCCAGGAAAAAAATCTGATTGCTTACAGCAAAATTTAGTTCAAAATAATGGCAGACAATAGACACAGATCTAAAAATTTCTAAGAAGAAAGAGGTATACCACCACTAAAATATGAGGGGAAAATAAATACATGTGTTATACTCGAGGAGTCAAGAGTATAATACCTATGTATCCTTCCGAGAAAAAAAAAAAAGAAATATATATTACAACAAGTGAAAAACAAACACAGGAAACAGAAGAAATTGGATATAAGATTAATGTACATTTAACAAAAGGACACAAGACACTATTGAAAGAAATTAAATGCATAAGTGGAGAAACATACCATGTTCATGGATCAGAAGAGCTGATACTGTTAATAAGGCAAAACACCCCAAATTGAGCTACAAATTCCACATGATTACTATGAGAGCCCCAGCTGACTTTCTTGCAGAGATGAACAACAAAAAAAGATTCAAAATTCTTATAAAAATGCAAAATAGTTCAAGCAATCTTGAAATACCCAAAACAATCTTGCAAAAGAACAAAGTTGAAGGACTAACAGCTTTCAGTTTTGTAATTTACAAGAAAGCTACTGTATAAAAACAGTGTTCTCTTGGCTTAAGGATAGGCACATAGATCAATGGGACAAAACTGAGTCCTGAAATAAATCCTCACTTCTATGGTTAGCTGATTTTTGACAAGGACACTGAAGAACAGTTTCAAAGAAATAGTGCTGATACCCCCCTACAAAAGAGTGAAGTTGGACCCCAACCTCACACAATATACAAAAGTTAACCTCAAAAGAGAACAAAGATGTGCAATAGTCCCAGCACTCGGGAGGCAAAGGCAGGAGAAGCCCAAGTTCAGTGCCACCCTGTCTTAAAACAAAAACAAAACCCCAAAAACACCATGTGTGAAAGCTTTCTTAGAAGAAATGCAGGAGTAAGTCTTTATGATCTTGGGCAGGCAAAGCTTTTTAGAAATGACATCAGAAGCACAAGTGATGAGTAAAAAACACGTAAATTGGACTTCATCAAAATTTAAAATGTGCTTCAAATGACAGCATGAAGAAAGTGAAAAGATAGCCTGCAGAATGGGGAAAATATTTGCAAATCATCTATCTGATCAAGGACTTATCTAGAATATAGAATATTTACAATTTAATAGTAAAAAGACAAATAACCCCATTAACATGGGCAAAGGATCTGAACAGACATTCTCCCAAAGAAGATATACATACAAAGAGCCAATAAGAACATGAAAAATACAAATGATAACCACAACGGTAAGGGTTGGTGAGGATGGGTACTACCGGGCAGGAATGTAAAACAGACAGCCCCTTTGGAAAACAGGCAGCAACTCAAGACATTAAACACAGAGCTACCATATGACCCAGGAATTGTACTCCTAGATATAAACCCCAAAGAATTAAAAATGTGTTTCTATAAAGACTGGTACATGATTATTCGAGGTACATAGGACATTCACAAAGATAAGACTATATTCTGGAACACAGTTCAAACATTAAGAACTCTGAAAGAACTGAAATTAAATATGTTCTCTGACTAGAAATTAAAAACAGAAAAATATCTGAACAATTCTCCCAAATGGAAATTAAATATCACACTTCTACTAGCACAGAGGAAAAGTGAGAAAACACTTGTAAGTGAGCGAAACTGAAACACAACACCTAAAATATGCGACAAACAGACAAAGCCAAGGAAAGAAGCTGAGAACACTGGATACTTATACTAGAAAAGAGAAAAGCTATGATACCACCTTATGAAAGTAGAAAAAGAAAAGCAAATTAAATCCAAAGTAGAAAACAGTAAGAGTAGAAATCATAGAAGCAAAAACAGATCATTAATAAGGAAAATTAATGAGGACAAAGTTTCCTTGAAAAATCAATAAAACTGATAAAGTCTCAAATCAGGACTGATCAAGAGAAAAAGAGAGAAGACACAAATTGCCATTATCAGGAATGACGGGGATGATAAAATGTTAGATTCTGCAGACATTAAAAGATTTTAAGAGCATTATAAATAAGTTTGTGCCAATAAATTTGATGATGTGGATGAAAGGGACAAACCCTCTTGAAAAACCCAAACCACCAAAGCTCATGTAAGAATAAACAGGAAGCATAAATGATCCTGTCTATTTTAATTTGTAGTTTAAAACCTTCCCTCAAAGAACACTCCCATCCCAGATAATTTTGCTACCAATTATAGTAAACATTTAAAAAAGGAAAGAACACCAATTCTATACAAACTCCTCCAGAAAACAGGAAAGGGCTACTTCCAAATTCATTTTTACGAGGCCAGTATTATAATGATACCAAAGCTAGACAAAGATATTACTAAAAAACTAGATCAATATTCCTTATAAGTATGTATGAAATGGTCCTCAATATAATACTTCTAGCAAACTATAAGAAGCGTAATAATGCATAATGATCAAGGGAGTTTAACCTCAGGATGCAAGATTGATTCAACATTCACAAATCAATCACTGTGATTTATTACATCAACAAACTTAAGCGAAATATGTTCATCCCAAAAGATGCAGAAAGATCATTTGGCAAAAGTCAACACCCTTTGCTAATAAATACTCTCAGCAAATAAGGAAGAGAAGAGATCTTATGCAGCTGATAAAAGGAATCTACAAAAACCTACTGTTAGCCTCATAATCCATAATGAAAGACTTTCTAAGATTAGGAACAAGAAGAGTGGCATGTCTCTTCTCACCACTCCTAACTAATATTGCACTAGAGGTCCTGACCAGTGAAATAAGGCAAGAAGAAGGGAGGGAAAAGCACACAGATGGTAAAGGAAGTCATAAAACTTTTTATTTGCAGATTACATGATTGTCTACATAGGAAATCCCAAAGAATCTACCAAAAGAAAAAATAAAAAAACAAGATCTAAAAAAACAAGATCTAACAATGACTAACTGGAAATTGAAATTATAAGTCAATATGATTTACAACAACACCAAAAACATAAACCACCCTAGGGAAAAATCTAACAAAACACGTTGATTTATATGTTGAAAACTACAACACGTTGATGAGACTTCAACAAGACCCAAATAAATAGCATGAAGACTTGACACTGTCAACATATGACTTTTCCCCTAAATACAGCCACAGACTTAACATAATCCCAGCAGGCATCACTAATAATGCAATAAGCAGATTCTAAAATTTACATGAACATGCAAAGAGCCTCATGTATTCAAAACTGGTCTTGAAAAAGAACAGTGTCAAGATTAACTGTGAGGCTACAGTCCTTGGAAAACACATCACCCTAGAGGTCAATGGCACTGACCAGACCCACATCTATCTGGTCAATTGACTTTTTTGACAAAGGTAGCAAGATAACTCAATGTAGAAAGGACATCTCAAAATCTGACACTGACTCTGCAATAAATAAACCTCAGGTTGGCAGAGTGGCTCAAGAGGCAGAGTGCCTGCCTAGCAAGAGTGAGCTCTGAGTTCAAACCCCAGTACCGCTAAAATAAATAAATAAATAAATGAACCTCAAGCATATCATCTACCATATGTAAAATCAATCCAAGGTACTTTGTAGACCTCAATGTAAAACCTCAACCAAGACCGGGAGCGGCTCATGCCTATATTCTTCGCTACTTGGAAGGTAGAGATCCAGAGGATCACAGTTCGAGGCCAGGCTGGGCAAAAAGAGTTCATGAGTCCCCATCTCAACCAATGGCTGGGCGTGGCGGCATATGTATGTCATCCCAGCTATACAGGAAAACATAAAAAGGAGTATCACGGTACACGCTGGCCCAGGCATAGAGCGAGACCTTATCTCAAAAATAACCAATATAGAAAGGGGTGGGGAGTGGCTCAAGTGACAAAGTGCCTGCCCAGGAAGTACAAGACCTTGAGCTCAACTTCCATACTTCCGAAAGAACAAAACAAAGCCACAACCATAAAATTGAAGGATCTGGAAACACAAGAGAAAATCTCTGAGACCGTGGGCCACACAGAACACCAAAAGCATGATCCGTAAGAGAAAAGTTGATAAATTGGACTCACTGAAATTAAAAACCCCTGCTCTACAAGACGCACTGTTGAGAGAATGAAAAGACAAGCCACAAACTGGGAGAAAACCTTTGCAAACTATACATCTGATGAAGAAATAACAACTAGAAAAGATGAAGAACTCTTAAAACTCAATTGGACAAACGACCCAATTTTTAAAAGTTGGCAATAGATGTGAAAGGACACTTTGCCAAAGAAACTATGTAGATGGCAAGTGAGCACATGAAAAGATGCTCGAAGTCACTGGCGTACTTGAGATGTATAATACTCAACAACCGGCAAGAGCAATTAATTGTGGTAAGGTCAGGACAGGGAAGGGCGGAGCCTCCTGAGTACAGCAAATTGGGTCCATCCATCTGGGTAACCATGCTCTGTACTGACAAGGAGTCAACCCTCAAAAGCCCACTTTCTGATTGTTTGCTTTTATCAGTAATATTTTTGGCCCTGTAATAATATTTAAAGTAATAGCTCTGTTTTTTCAAAGGCAAAAAACATTTGTGTGGTTTCTTTTTAAACTACTTGAAGGACATTGCACTTCATTCTTTGTCCTTAGGGCAGATCCCATTCATACTCAGAAAACGAAAAGTCGTATGTTCTCCCTCATATGCAGACTTTAGATCTAAAACAAATGCAGTAATATTATTGGACACGGGTTACACACTAAGGGGAGAACACATACAGGAGGAATAGGGAAAGGTAGGAAACCCAAAACTTGAAAGTGTTTGATGTGCCCACTGCAGAGGAACTAATACAGTAAACCTTAAGACAGTGGTCAATATGGGAAGGTGACCGGGAAGTAGTGAAGAGGTCAGGTAGAGATGAATCACTTCGGGTTGTAATACATATGTGCATGGAAGCAATGCTAGGAATCTCTCTGTATAGCCATCCATATCTCAACTAGCAAAAAAGCTATGTCTGTCTTATTATTGCTTATGTCTACTCTTCAACAAAATTGGAGAAAACAGCAAAACAGGTTCTGCCTAGAAGTGGGGGGGGTGGGGAGGAGAAGGAGGGGGCAGGAAGTAGCAGGGAGAAATGACCCAAACAATGTATGCGCATGTGAATGAATAAAGAAAAAAAAAAGAAATCAGACTGTTTAGCAACATACAACTACAAGAACACTGGAATTTAAAATCTCTACAACACAAAGTGTATTCAAAAACTTAACACTGCACATGCTCTTATTACTAACAACACTAAGAAAAACCTTCAATCCAATAAGCTAGAACAATAGCAAATTAGCTTACAGAAAGAGCAAGAAAGAAATAAGACAAACAAACAAAAAAAAACCTTGATAAGTAAAATAGATAATTCTTTGGCAAATCTAGAAAAAAAAAAGTGAACACAGAATTAGGACATCCAAGGGAACATAAGTAGCCACAGGGACTTCCCTGTGTGTCCCTACACACCACCTGAACTGCTAACACTGCAGGCTTCATACAACTTTAACATAAAAAACCCAAAACAAAACTCATGTACAAAAATAAATGAAAACTAGTCAGCTAATCAAAGTTAGCAAGGCATTCAAAGAATGTATTATACCTAAACAAGAATTGATTCCATGAGTGTAAGAAAGTTGATTAGTGTTAGTTATATTAATAAGGAAACAAGGACCTGATTACTCAATAAATGCTGGAAAGACATCGTTTGATAGTCTGATGGAACTTAACACTCATTCTTTTAGTAAGCTAAAACTAAAACCTAATATTATCTTCAAATAGGGAAATGAAAGGAGCCATGGGGGTTGACAGGGAAGCCCCACGGAATCAGTAGCTACCTGTTGGTAACTACTCTGCAGGCCTGGCCAACTGGCAGGAGGGAAAAGGATGAGACACCAGTCACTGAAAGACAGAACTGTCATGCTGTAGAGGAGCAGCTGAAATGCTGTTAGAACCAGGAAGACTATCATGCATCAGCCCAGACCCAGCTCTTTGGAATGTTCCACCAACAAGAGATTAGAAAATACAAAGGCAAAAGGATCCAACCAACAATACTCCACTGCCCTCTGAGGAACTGGCCAGCGTGGGCATTCCTGGGCAGTCTAATGGTGTTCACAGCAAGAGATGGACACGTGGGTACTGCTTCTCAATAGGAAGGTTGGTACTGTCGCAACTTCAACTCGCCCAAATCACAAAATGCTAAGGCTTACATCCCAAAAGGGCTTAGGAGGGAAGGAGAGTGAATTCTAAAGACAGTGGAAGAGGAACATGTAGGAATGGCCATAATGACTGGGTTGGAGGGGTGGCTGGGGGCACTCAGTGAACCACAGGGATGACCGGGAACAGCAGATGTGAGTTACAGTTGGGAGCTACAGACAGAAACCATCCCAGGAACCCAGGAAGACCCCTGAGAGCACTTATTGGTTAGCTTGCTTCTTTGTTTGGTGGGGATGTTTTCTTCCAGTTGAGTGGATCCTAATTTTGATTTTAAAAGTAAGTTTGTGGTGCCCATGTGGTGTCAGCATGCCACGCAAACATCAGGAGAGTGGTATACACGCCACACTCAGAGAGGACAGTGCAGGAAATGCCTTCACAGCCTGAGTCTGACCAGTGCTTGGGAGCCTGCTGGGAGTGGGTCTGAATCTGAACTGACAAGACTGTTGCCCTGGTGTCAACAAGTGCATTTTTAGGAGCACCTTCCTTAGAAACCAAAAGCCTGATTGTGTTGTCCTTGCTATGCATACAGGAGTGCTCCTGTCCCACTAAAAATCCCAGATTTAGAGGACAGAGGACTTGAAGTCAGGGCCACTCCCTCCCCGAGCCAGAGCACCTCCTTGTTCTGCTCCTTATCCACTGCCGTCCACACGAAGCCAAAGGCCCCGCTGCCAAGCGGGCTGAGGGTGCTGTACTTTTGGGAGTACTCGCCCTCACAGGCCGCCAGCCCCTCCAGCTCTGCAGGCATCGGGGGCTCCTCAAACCAGGGCTTGGCTCTGAGCATCTGCGAACACAAGGGGAGGTTTGAGGGATCACAGGCGACTGCACTGAAGACAGGAGGCGTTGCCTGTCTCCAGCAGCACACCCCTGCACCCATGCTGTCACCTCTTCCACAGAGGATTTGGCCTCTTTCCACATGGTCCTCCAGGAAACTTCAACCCATCAACCCAAGTGTGTCAAAACATGTTGACATCCCACTGCACATGTGGAGCATATGCAGGTTTAAAGTTCTACATCTGCTTTCTACTGACATGGGATATCAGAAGACACTGTTAAAAAGCCACAAACAGACCCTACACCCATCCCAACAGGAAGAAAGCAGGACAAGTGGAAGAAGGGGAGCACAGTAAAAAGTGATAGAGGCCTGAGCTCTGCAGATACGGACCTCCCCAAGGCTGGATCCAGGGAGCTCAGGCATGGAGTGGGTGGAACTGGGCAGGCTGGCCAGGAACAGGCGGGTCCTGGTGGCAGAGTCCCGGTGGCTATGCAGGAGGTCCTTCACCAGCCAGCAGCAGAACAGGGTTGCAGAGCCCTGCAACTCCACCCGCTTCACTTCAAACTGGATACCTGAAGGGAAAGAGGGTTAGGAGGCACAGCGCTGTGCTGACCTCGCTAGATATTACTCTGCTTAAAAAGCCCACTCCCCCAGAACAGCAGGAAGACCACACAGAGCAGTCCAGGCAGGGCAGGTGGTTCCTTGGCTTGGAGAAGGAGAAAATCTATCAGGACCAGCAAGGAAGCCACCATTTCAGCATGCAGGGAAGCCAGGAGCCAAGGGACACCCAAGGGAGACTGCAGACCACCCAGCTTAGAAAAGCCCAGAAAGAGCAGTTCCTCTGCTTTCCAGTGACAGAAATGTGAATGCTTAAGTAAAGCCATATACAAAAACCCATGCCCTAGTTACAGAGCCATATTAACTTTAAACACACACACGCACACACACACACACACACACACACACACACACACACACAGTCTTAAGCCTTCTTAAAGCACGTTTATTTTTGTAGAGGGGTAAACATATTTTTACCTAGGAGGCTTCCTAGGTGTATACCAAAACAAACAAATGTGTATCTTTTTATGGTGTGTGTGGGGGGAGGGGCTTACAGCTGATTTTTTTCTTGTTTATGTTTTCTAGTATTTCTACAAATAAAGTATTATATATATTTTTTTTTTAATTTAGGAAAAGAGCCATAGCAATTCATGCTGTACAGTCAGCAGTGTGGAGATAATTGGCTACAATAATGTGCACCTATTAAGAAACCAGGGAAATAAAAGGGACACTGAGACACACAGAATCAGCCTGGCCATCAAGCCCCACCTCACAAGGGGCTCTGTAGAGACCAGAGCATCCTGAGAATGGCGAACCCCTTGCCCTATGAACATCATCCCAACCTCTCAGATTCAATGTGACCTGGCATAGGTGACCAGGAGTGTGGCTAGGATTCTGGGCTCCCTCTCTCCAAGCACAAGCATTTGTAATCCTAATGTTCAAGAAGCAGGTAATAAGACACTGTCCTTTAACAAAACCATTTAGACATACAACCTCCTGATGGCCCTACACCCCCCACTGCACTGTCCTCTGGGGGTAGTGTGTGCTCCCCCCACAGGGCTGGGGACATACTCAGCCACAGGCCGTCTCGGTGGTAGCAACTCCCTGAGTAGGTGCCCTCATGGATCTCTGGCTGCAGGCTGGCGGCCCCAGGGGTGATGGGGGTAGAGGTGACCTGGGCGCTCAGCCTGGGCTCCTCTGCTGCTGGGCACACGTCTTTGCGGCTGGCATCTAGTGTGGGAAGGATGCAGCCTGGGCCTTCTATGTCACTAGCTTCATAGTGTTCAGAAGACACTAAAGAAATCTCAGACAGCTCTGCTTGATTGTGATCCAGGCAGCTCTCCTGGAACTGTCGGCCTTCACCAAGGTCGAAATAGGTGCCAGTCAGTAGCAACAGTTCTTGATCACCCAGAATATCTGGACTCCGCCTGTGGAGACCATCCACATCTAAATCAGAGCCCACCACCGAAGGAGAGGGTGTCTCACCAAGTTCAGATGTAGCACAGGAACAATTTGATGAAGTTCGGTCTGTCTGGTCACTGAGAAAGAGTTCCTTGAGGTTCCAGGAATAAGAATTAATGTCAGCTTCCTGGGCCTCCACTGCCTCCAGGACTCCAGGGATGTCAGTGGCCAAGGCATAGCAGGCCGAGGAGCTGCCCAAGCGGCTGCCATGCAGGTCTGTGCCTCCCAGATCACAGAAAGGGGGGTGCTCTGCAGAGACAACATTGGAAAAACCCAGAGCTCCCGCAAAGCTTGACTTGGACAGCTGCTCCCTAATCAAGCAAGTCTGTAGCTCTTCTCGGTCATTTCTGGCTCCTAGCCACGGCTCATCCAGAGTGGGCGTCCCAAGTGAGATACCCACCATTCCAGAAGGGCTGGGGGCCAAGTCCTGGTTTCGCTGCTGCAGGACCCACTCACTTGTGTACTGAGGGCAGTGAGTCATGAGGCCCCCTCCTGCCGGCTGCCCTGCAATGTGGGGCTCTGGCATAGTGGCATCGGCCCAAGGATTGGGGCTGCTAGGACTGCTGATGCCCACAAGCTCCCACTGAGCTTCCTGACGCAGACCACACAGGTCCACACTGCTGCTCCTGTCCTCTGCCAGCAGAGGCTCAGAATCTCCACAGGATGGAAACAGTTTTGCATCCACTGGCTCCGACCTGCTTTCTCCCAAAAGTCCCTGCCTGGGGTTTTCTGCTGGTACAAGATTGTCTTTCCCCAAGACAGCAGTGTGCTGGTCATGGTGGGCTGGTGGGCTTCCTTCAGTGGTGTCTTGCTGGTCCTTGAGCAATAACCACTCGCTGTGGGTTGGTGGACTTTCTTCTGAGGTATCTTGCTGGTTCTTGGATAGTAACTGCTCATTATGGACTAGTGAGCTTCTTTCTGGGGTGTCTGGCTGGTCTGCAGGTAGTAACTGTCCATTATGGGTTGGTGGACTTCCCTCTGGGATGTCTTGCTGGTCTGTGGGTAATGACTGCTTGCTGTGGTTTGTGTGCAGTGCTCCCTCTGGGATGCTGTCCACCCTGGGGATAGGAATTCAGATGACACAGTCACTAGTGGTCACAGAAGAAGCAACAGAAGCAATCACATTGGCTCTCCCTCTATCAGAGACAAATACAGAGCATTAGACTCCACAAATTTATGATGGAAAAACTAAATTTTATAACCAAATTAAAGTACCTCAAATGCTTTTAGATATATCCACATTTACCAAAGATGTACCAAAGAATGCTACTGAAAACCTAGTGGTAGGGTGTAGGCACACACACTGGATGCTGTGGTCAGCATCCCCATGTCACAGAGAGAGGGGCTTCCATCTACTCCAGGCTTTGGGCTGCCTGTCATGTATTGGAACCTAGCCCCACCTGCCAAGGAGCAATCCCAGCAGCTGCCCAAGCAAGGTGTATGAGCGGGGCAGGGGAGGGAGCGGGGGTTCAGTGTTGAGTAAACTCTACAACAGCAGACTGCGATTCGAACACCGCCTGTTTTCATGACGACCGGGGAGACAGCTCTAAGAGAAGGCTGGCGCTCCCACCTGCAGAAAGGGAACAGTCATGAGAAGGAGCAAGGGGGTCAGCAAGAGCTGGGACACAACACCTAAGTGTACTCCATGTGAGTGACTAGTGAGGAGGCTGCTACAGTCCAGACAGGATGATCTGCAGAGCACAGGACCTGGCCTGCACCAGCCCCTCCTACACAACATCCACACAACTAACCACCAGGTACCTGGTGATCAGAATATGATATACGGGGTTGGGGTGGGGAGCAGGAATAAGGAACAAACCCATTAATGTCAGCAACCTAGCAACTGTACACCACAGATTCATAAAGACAATATAAGAGGAAAGGTCCACACAAAGATGATGAAGAGGAAGGCATGCTCAGAGTTCCAGCAAGAGCAGGGGTTTTCTGGGAAGTGGGGGTGTGGTGCTGGTGGCCCCAGCGTACACTTTTCTCTCTATGGACACACCTGTCCACAGCCCTTCTACCCAAAATCTTTGTGCCAGATGTGTTCTGAGACTTCAGAAAGGTCCTAAATTGCTTGCTGATAAACCTTGGCAGGTTGGGGACATGGTTCTGTCACTGCAGGGAAGCATCTGAATACTCACACTACAGGGGTTGAAGAAAGACCACCAACAGCCCCCATCAGCTCAGGGATGACTTGACCATCAGGTGTGTCGGCATCAAATTGAGTAAAAAATTTTCTGTGCTGGGGACTTTTTAGATTTCAAGATTTTGGTTAAGACTTTGTAGAATCCCTGGTTTCTAGGATGACAGCAACCCAGGAAACAAAAGGATGTTCCTCAGCTGCCCTACAGTCAGGCATTGCCCTGCACTAGATTCTGGCAGCTATGGAGGGGTGGGGAGCCTCTTACCTCCCTCCCACCAGCAGAGTTCACACAGGCCCACGTTCTGCTATGACCTATGCCCACAGCAGCCCAGCACTCTCAGGTCCTCCAGCCAGGATGCACCCCACCCAGCTACTGTGGAGTCCAAGATCCCCACTGCCATCCAAGGCCTTGTAGTCTTTTTGATCACCTGACCCAAAGTCTAATAACCCACTCAGCTTTAGCATTAATTCTCTAAAACCAGTAAGACTGAGCTCCCAGGAGTCCCCAGATTAGAGGCATCCTATGGGAAGCCCCGCTCCCTCCCACTATGCCTTCCAACCTTGGTAGTTCCTACTGTGTTAGCTTTTCCTCCTGAGGAGACCTTAACTCTCTGGGATAAGCCTTCACATCTTTTGCAAATGTATTTGTCGAGTAAGTGAACAAGTGAGTGAATGACTGAATTAATAGGTGGATGGATAAATAAGCAAATCTCTATAGACACTAACTACACTGTTTGTATCATCAAATTCTTAGAACCATGAAGTAAAAAATGTCTGATCTAAGAGAAAACACAGGAACCAGCCAATCTAGTGCACCTTCCTCCTAGAACACCAGTCCCAGAAGATGTGCTCTGCCCTGGCCCTTAGGTGAGCTGCTGGCAGAGCAGAGTACTTCATGCATCCACTGAGACATTCAGTCCTTGGGACACCCTGGCAAGGGAGCCCAGCAGCTGGCATCAGTGTGCACACTGGCCGGGACTGATCACCTAAGGAGCATCACCCATTTTGGCTTCACAGCTTGAATGCACAGAGGAGACCCGCCCTCCCCATTTGCAGAAGAACACAAACAAGGAGAGTATCAGACACCCTGTTCATGCCAGCAAAGCACACACACACCTCCCCCAACCCACCCCCACTCCCACCCCCACAGCTAGACAGAAAGAAGGCAGTGAGTCAAAGCAAATGAAGGAAATGCCATGACATCAGCCAACAGGAAAACAGGAACATAAGCAATGGCAGCATCACTACACAGGAAGACAGTCAAGACCTGAACCAGCACTTACATACACACACACTTAGGACCACACACAGTGTGACCCTGGCCTTGTGAAGAGAGCAAAAGCAATATGCAAGAAGAAAAATGTATGCACGAAATGTACGCATAACACACATTCATATTAACTTGCCCTGGAAGAGAGGTCTGAAGGCTCTAACTGTGGACAGTCTCCCTTTAGGGAAAGAGCAGGGTTGGGTGAGGCGGTCAGGAGATGGTCAAGGGGATTTCACTTTTTGTCACTGTTCTGTACTTAAAATAACAGACTCGTGTATTTTTAAAATCGTTTCAAAAAGGCAGGAACACAACAATGTGGATAAATCTCACAGACGTAGCAACAAACAACGGAAGGCAGAAAGAAGGGGCTGTGCAGATCAAGATCAAGGGCAGGAACTCTGACCTGTGCTCTGACCCCAGATCAGGCAGGATGCTGTGCACAAAGGAGGCCCAGAGAGCCATCTGGGGCCAGCAGAGTCTGTGGGTCACATGTCCACACCTAAGGCTTGGGTGCTTCACGGAATGTTGTACATAAAGACTTACAAGGAGAAGAACTGGTTGAAAACACACCAAAATGTGCAACAGGACTATGATAGCAGAACAAGTGAGTTTTTTGTTCTTACTTTTCCAAATTCTCTAATGAGAAATTCTTTACTCTAAATCAAATACTTTAAAATGTACAAAGAGAATAGCTTCAAATGATTTTCAAAATTATACACGTGTGTGCCTACATGAGTTCTCCAAAATCTACCAAAACACTCCTGAATTTTCAATGGCCCACTTCTTTTTCCCTAAGATGAGAATGATAGTGTCACAGAGGCTGTGAGGACTCAGCCAAGTAACACAGGAAAAGCACTGTCACTGTGTGGACAGAGCAGGTGCTGAATACACGAGTGTCACTGACACTAGGCCACGAACTTCTCTCTGAAATGCTCTCTTCTGCCTACCATGGGCCTCACTATTTAAACCTGCAAGCTCCCATTCCAGTACTTACTCAGGAGAGGGCTGAGAGAAGCAAGAGGAAGGCAGCTGACACACAGTCTCCAGATGCGTCTGAGTCCTGGAGGAGACTTCTTGTCTTCCCACCAGCTTCAGGGTACCATCTTGTGGCAGCATGTGATCACGGGTGAGCACCATGTCAACCCTAGGATCTAACAGCAACATGAAAGAGTGCTTTCTACTCACAGGCACACAGAGAAAAGGACCTCCTCCACGCCTCAAATCTCCATGCAGACATGGTGTGTGCACCATGTGCTAGACCACAAGAGCACCACCCACGAGGGCTGTGGGCCTAGCATGATACACACCTCACTTTCTGCTAGCATTTATCCCTGTCTCATAGTCTTCCTGTTTCATTACCTGTCCTCTCTGCCTGACACCCATGCCATGCCACATCATCTGAACCCACCAGCCCTGGCACAGCCCAGGACTCCAGGGGGTTCAGACATTGGCTTCACAGGGCATTCAGTGGGTCCTTCTTCCTCCCAGCATCATGACCAGGGGAGGTCCCTTGGAACAGGAGGCTATGCATTCACAGTCTCCATAAACCACGGCCTAAGACGTCACATAAAGGGATGCTGCCAGGCTCTGGTGGCTCACACCTGTAGTGCTAGCTACTAAGGAGACAAAGATCAGGAGGATCACAGTTCAAAACCAACCCCAAGCAAAAAGTTCCAGACACCCTATTTCAAAAATACTCAATAAAAAAAGATGGTGGGGTGGCTCAAGTGTAGAACGCCCCCTGAGTTTAAACTCCAGTGCCACTAAATTAAATAAATACATAAATAAAACGCAAAAATATGCATCTATGTGATTTAAAGCACTAAATTAAAACCACCAGGGATAACCATAGTTAACAAATATGCTAGGAATATTTCATTTAGAAATAAATGACATGCTACACGAATTCAGTCTTATTCTATATGAGGAAATACAATGTCTTTAAAAAGATAAGACTGTCAGCTACTTGTGTCTCAGACATGGGCACAAATGATGTAATCTTGGGGGACTTTCTATTTCCCTTCTAGACGCTAATACACTTGTAAAAATTACCCGCAACTACCCATCTCTTGGGGACAAGAAGGCCTGTGAAAGACAGAGAAACAGCAAACTAGGAAACAGCTACCTGCTGCTCATTCTGTCCCACCACCTGAGTCTCTGGAGGGATGGTTGGTGGCTTCTGTTCCTTCCACATATCACAGAGGCACAGGCCCATGGGACTGGGTATCCCAGGAACTCCAGGGAGGAGGAGGCCAGTCTTACCCTGGGCACCACTGGCCAGGTCCCCACCCAGCTCGGCAGGCCCACTTTCACTGCTGATGTTCAGGCAGTTGGTCAAGTCTGGCAGGCGTACCAAACTATCATAGGCAAGGTCCATGTAGCTGTAGAAACCAGGAATCAGGAAAGTGATATTCTAGGGAAGAAAGCACGACATTTCAGAACCTCGGAGGATCCATTCTGACCCACTAGATCCCTTCTCACAGAGGAGAAATGAAAACGTAAGCAAAGTCTGTGGGCAGTCATGCCTCAAGGTTAAGAAAGAGGTCAAAGCACCTTCAGCCAGCCCAGCCCCTCTTGCAGTTTGACACATGATGCAGAAGTTTTTCATTTCTTTTTTTTTTGGTGGGACTGAACCCAGGGCTTACATTTGCAAAGCAGGCACTCTACCAATTGAGCCACAACTCCAGCCCATTTTTCTGTGGTTATTTTGGAGATGTGAGTTGCAGGAAGCTAAGTGCTTTTCAATAAAATTTAACACAGTTGAACAAAACTTGAGCTTTGGTTACAATTTAGGATTTTTACTGGAGAGCAGAGTGCTCTCTTATTGCAGCCGCATACAAGGTTAGCAAGCTCTGACCAGCTGTCACCAAATCCAGTGTCATCCAGTGTGTGTGATAAGAGGGGGCTTTGGAGAGACTACTCTGAGCCAGCAAGTCACCCCAGGCTGATACCACGTAGAGCAAAACGATCTGTCTCCATTAAGTTCAGGTCAAAGGCTGATTCATGGCCAAAATACATGACTTCATATATTGTAAACACTGCTTGTGGCTATTTGTTTAGACGCATCATGGGACTGCCCTGAGTAGGTTTGGGCGAAGAAAAAAGGGACAGTTTAATCAATGACCTGATTCTTGGTGAGGAGACATCCACAAGAGCCCAACCCAGGGAAGAAATCCTTCCTCTTCCACTGACCACCAGATGAGCTCAAGAGGTGAGGATAGCAAGAACCAGTGGCTCATACCTGCAATCCTAGTTACTCAGGAGACAGAGATCAGGAGGATCGTGGTTTGAAGCCAGCCCAGGCAAATAGTTCACAAGACCCTATCTCAAAAAAAAAATCACCAAAAAAGGGCTGGTGGAGTTGCTCAAGGTATAGGCCCTGAGTTCAGTCCCTGGTACCGCAAAAAAAATAAAAAAGTGAGGACAAACCAGGCCAATGGGGTGAGAATTGAATCCCCACAATTGTGATATAATCACAATTAAACCTGATCTAATCAGTCACAGTAGTCATTGGGAACAGTGTTTCCAGGCAGAGCACTCCTATCCCTCCTCTGGGATGACTCAGGAGATAGTCCAAGAGTGGTCATCTATGTGAGGCCAAGAGAAGCAAGCTGTGTAGTTGTGAACAGGTAAGTCACCTGCTCCTACCCCAAGTCCCAGGCCCTAGGTCCCTCCTGGGTACACCTCAAGTGGAACAGCCCATCAGACACAAGGCGTGTGACATGCATGAACCAGTCTCCTCAGAGTATATGGAAGATGGGTGGCCAGCAAGCCCCACCTTGCCCAGGAGCTCAGTCTTCCTGTAACCAAACAGCATCAGCGCAAAGCTGTGGTTGATGCCATAGATGGTGCCATCTGGCAGGAGGGTGATGAGGCCACTGATGGTGCAGAACACCCAGACAGATGCCTGGTAACCCAGCTCAGGGGCTGCCTCGCTGCTGGGCTTGGATTTCAGCTTCAGACTCAGAGGGAAAGTGGTGCCATCCCTGGCCCTCCCAACAGATCTCTGGATCTTGAGACTCTGAAAGACAGAAAACTCACTCGGCACTCTGTGCAGATGGAGCACTGAGCTGAGATGCTTCAGATCCCAACTCCACCCCATACATCCAACCACACCCACACTGCTCTCCCTTGCTGTCCCCCAGTCCCACCCTGGCCACAGAACTACATCAGGGCAAGGTAGGACTCAGGGTCCAGAATGGCCCCAGAGTGGCATATACCCAGGCAGTCGAGAAATGCCTAGTGAGAGGAATGAGTGTTGAGCCAGGGAGGGGACTGGACCTGGCCTCTTGCACAGCAGGCATCTGTGTCACCTGCACTTAGGCCCACACCACCGTGGCTAGTGCAGGCTGTGCCCCCCAAATCCAGGTCTGTAGGGGGAAGAAGAGCCAGTATTTCTCAGTCCTCTTCAGACTTGGACAGCATCCCACCTATGTGAGTGGCCCTGGCCCCTCACCCTGTCTTCTGTCCCTCCAACCTTGCAGCACTGACTTTCTGCTGTCCCTCACATCTGAGGAGCCCAACCGACCCCATCTCTTCTCTCTCCCCCAAGTCCTTCAACTACTGGAAAGGCACTTGGTTTCCCAATTGAGACTTGACTAACGCAGTGTTCCTCACAAGTGATAAATGGTTTCAGGGTCACCCTGTAAGATGTGAGAATGCAGGACAAAGTGGCTCATCTGCCCCCATCCTGAACATAAGGATTACCCGTGTTAGCACTGCATGCTGATCCAAGCCAGTGCCCTTGTCAAGGGTGGAGCCACAACCTGGTTCTTCTAGTCCTCACTGAGCCTAGGCCCTGGCAAGCCCTACAAGGTATGAGGAACATGGGCCCCCTTCACTACTGGCTCCATGTGCTGCTGAGGTGGCTCATTTGGAGCCAAGAACATACTCACACATGCCTTCTGCTGCACATCTCCAGAACATGTGCCTCAGCAGGTCAGAGGTCTGCTGAGAGGAGGTCAGCAGTGCTGCCATGCAGTGTCCCACAGCACAGGTGCCAGCTAGGGCCCTGCCATGCTGTAGGGCTACTGCCACCTAAGAACAGAGTAAGGATGCATAGAGGACAAGGGCTGGGGCAGGCTGCTTCCCTTGACGTACAAATGACAGCTCAGACACCAGGGTGGGGGAGGAGGTAGGGGGGCTGCTGAGTTTAAAGAACCATGCCCCTTGGAAGACACCCTGAAAGGACCTCTCATTCTGGCCACAGCACAATTGACTTTGGCTCCAAACCAACTATCCAGTCTGTCCCTGCTGCAGGTACAGATGTGACATCAGAGGAAGTCACAGCACCTGGGTCCCCTGTGTGAAGGCCACACGCTAGTTGGGTCATAGGGAGCCTGAGGATTCAGCTACAAATAGAGCTCTGTCACAGCCCTGACTTCCAGTGCGTACCTTCCACCAGACAGCCCTCCTGCCTCCAAGGATGGAAGGGCCGACATTAGCTGTGGACTTGCCTGAATGAACAAGTACCTAGAGAGCTGGTCAAGAATTACTTCTGAGTGTGTCTGTGAGGGTATTTCCAGAGGAGACTGGCATATGAGTCTGAGTGGACCAGGTAGGGGGAATTCCACAGTCAGTTAAAAAAAAAAAAAAAGAAAGGCGAATTGGTCTCTCATTTCTAAAGCTGGCATCCACCCTCCTTCTGCTTGTGGATATCAGAACTCAGCCCAGTCGGGCCTCTGGGCTCCAAGACTTACCCTGCAGTTCTGGGATTCATGAGTCTTCGGCCTTGAGCTCAGTCCCAATAAGCACACTCAGGATCTCCAGCTTGTACTTGGTGTTAAAACCGTGGGAGTTAATTCTCCTAATAAAACTCCTCATGTATCTATAAGCATGCATCCTACTGGTAGTCTGGGGAACTTTACCCATGTAAGAGGAGACCCTACGATCAGCCAGACCTCCCTGTTCTGCATTAAAGAGAGGAATGAGGAAACAAGAGCAGTCAGCTGTAAGGCCATGCAGCCTTTGGCCCTTGGTCAAACCTTGGAGCAGACACAGTGCAGATGATCAATGTCCTACCTTTGGGACATGACGGCCAGGAGAAGGGAGCTGTATGGACGGGATCAGGTCTGTGATGCACTGCCCAACCACATCCTCCCCAGACGCAAACCCATGGAGATGAGCATAGTGACTATCGCAGGATGTGATTGTTCCCTGCAGAAAAACCCAGAGCTAGTTAAGTATTATAAATGAAAACTTCCTGTACCAGGCTTTAAACTTCACTACCCTGCAGGGTCCTACAAGCTAAAGGCAAGACCACTCTCACAACTTCTTCATCCACAGTACAAGAGCATACAAATAGGCTTCCACAAGAACACCATCTTCCTCACTGTTCAGATTTATTAGAACCAATGTCTTTCTCCAGCGTTCTTCAGCAGCCCTAGCCCATACCAGAGGCTTACATTCAAGTACTGCCTACACACACACACTATTCTGAGGGTTTTACACATGCTATTCCATTTCAGTCTAAGAACAATCCTGTGAGGTGTTATAATTATATCCCCATTTCACAGATTGGGAAACTGAGGCATAGGCAAGTGGATTCCTTGCCCAAGCACACACAGTTAGTAAGGGACATAGCTGGGGCAGACCTCCAGGCACCATGGGCACTTTCTGCCCCAGGTCACAGAGCAGGGAGAGCGCTGCTTAAGGGGCTGGTGGGAAGTGGGACTAGGGTTCCACTTTCTTACACAGGCAAAGCTCCATACCCAAGACGTGAAAACATACTCACATCACTCTGGAAGACAACCCAGGCTGAGACCCTCTCCACAGGCTCCAGGACAACCACACAGCACAGGCCGCGCTCTCGCTGCACCCTCTTCATCCACACAGAGACCGGAATCTTCTCCCCACTGCGACTGACAACGTCCACCTGTGGATACACACAGGCTGCACCGAGGCACAAAGTGTCTTACCGAGGACCTCTAAGAGCAGCATGGCCAAGCGGCTGCCACCAGGAGAGGCCCACCCCCATGTTCCAGCACTTCCAAGTAGTCAGCCTCCACTCACCTGTTTTATATTTCAGAAATCTACCAGCGTATAAATGAGGTTTCTGAGATTTAGTTTTACAGTCTGCATGAACCTTTTACCAAGATAGACTTCTTTCAATCTCAGCATTTGACTAGTCTCAATAGTCACCTATACTGACAGACACCTAGAAAAGTAGTAAAGCACACTTCTGGATGTGCCTGTGAGAGTGTGTCCAGAGAAGACTGGAGAAGACTGGTGTGTGGGTCAGTGAACCAAGTGGGGAAGACCCTCCACCAGTGGCTGGGATAGACTGAAAGGGCAGAGGAAGAGGGAAGCACCTCAGTGATTTTTGTTGCTGTGATCACCAGGGGACATCAGACTCCAGATTCCTCAACGTCTGAATACAGACTTGCACCAGCAATGCTCCAGGGGGCTTCTAGGCCTTCAGCCTCACACTGAAGCTACATTATTGCTACAGCTTCCAACCTCTTGGACTAAGCAGCTACTGGGTTCTCCAGCCCTCCAGCCTGTAGACAGCCATTATGAGACTATTCAACTTCTAATCGTGTAAGCCAAACTAACGAATCCCCTTTTATGATCATATGTATATTTTACTGGTTCTAAATCTCTGGAGAACACTATCCAATATACTCAGCCTCACAGTAATAATATAGCAGGGGAAAAAGCAATCTCTGTTATTTCTTAAAGAAATAGGCATCAATGTGCACTGAATGTTGTCATTTTTTCTTTGTAGTAGTCAGATTCTTGACTGATGCAACTGACTCTTTCCAGGTTCCTTCTGTTCCTGGAGTTCCATCCTCAGCATTTAACATCTGAGCTCCCCTGACAACATCCCAGCTGGACATGGAAACTGTTTGTACAGAGAAACAGTTCTGGCCCCGCCACCTTGCCCACCAGACATCAAACAAACAGAATTTAGATGTAAGAATCAGTTAGCAAAATAAAAGTATTCTGCTCTTTAGAACCTCACATTGTGCTTGTATGCTTGCAAAATGCAGGCCAAGGCTCATCCCTCAAACAAAACACGGACTCTCTCTCCAGGGTAAACTGGTCCAGCAATAGGACCACATGGGTCTCTGTGATGCTTTTATTTTAAAGGCCCATCCCCCCTTAGCTGAAGGGGGTTAACAACACCATTACTGCATTTCAGTTAAAGATGCTCAACTTGCTGGTACTGTCTGGCCCGACAGCAGAGCAAGGATTACAGCTCAGGCTTGGGTAAGGAAACAGGAGCGTTTACCACTGCATACTGCTCTGATCTTAAAGCCAAGATAAGAGCCCCACTATGCCCACTTACCACCGTGCCAAACACTACTGCAGCGTGGCCATCGGCCTCCACATGCTCTTCACTGAGGGCTTCCACCACATCGGAATCCGACTTCAGGAAGAACTGTGTGAGCTTCTGGCCAATCAAGTCATGGCTGCTGTACCCAAGGAGCCTGCAAGCATTGTCGTTGGCAACCAGGATCTGAAGAGCCGCAGAGGAGAGAGGACACACACGTCACCAGCAGCTCCTCACACTCCTGGCAACAAAGCCAAGGAGAAGGACGACAGAGAAGCCAGCCAGACTCGACAACCCACCCTCTCCCAGCACTGCCTCCAATCCTCTCCATCAAGGTCAGAGAGCGACATTCACACCCTGCACCCCAGGTGTCTCAACCTCACAGACAAGAGACCCAGACAGGGCTGACTGCATCCAAGACCCCATTTTACCAGCCAAAACGGGCCTGTGACAATCAAAACTAAGAAAATATGAGAATTCACATAAACTTTGCTCCAGTCTAACAATTTCAGGTTATGTGTACATAAACATACGTAATGCAAAACACATTTAATTCAAGCACTGAGTCTCTGTTCTTACGTAGCTGCTAAAGCACATCAAAGCATGTGCCCCACTCTTTCCTTGAACCTCTGTCCTAAGAAGAGGATTCTCCAAAACCGTATCTCCTTTGCTACTATACAGGTAAAACCAAATACAACACTTAAAACACAAATTCCTTTGTTTGAGGTGCCAGGTTTAAGGCACAAACCCCAAACCAACATCCACAGCTGGGTCTCAAACCAATGCTGATACCTCTGTAGTCTTGGCATCCACAGTGAAGACGGCCTTGTTGGGGTTGCACACAGGGGCCGAGAGCAGGGGCGCAGACCACCCTGAAGACAGGCCGCGCAGCAGGGAGCAGCAGGACGCACTGCCCAGAGACCCTGCTAGGTCCGCATGCTCGGGTGTGGTGGGGCAGTGCAGTTTGCTTGTGCAGATGTTTTGGGCAGCCAGCGATGACAAACAGTAGGAGCTCCACCTATCCTCTGGAAAGGAAAGGAGAGGAAAGAAAGCACTAGACCTGAGTATCTGAACGAGTCCCAATTAAATAGCCCTCCAGTGCTCAGTGGCCCAGAAAGCACAAAGAGCCCAAGATCAACATCGCTGTCAGGCACAGGTGGCTCACACACATGCAATCCTAGCTACCTGGGAGGTTGAGATCAGGAGGATCACAGTGTAAGGCCAGCTCAAGCAAATAGTTAGTGAGACTCCATCTCCAAAAAAAATAACCCGAACAAAATGAACTGGAGTCTTGCCTCAAGCAGTAGAGCTCCTGCTTTGCAAACGGGAAGCCCTGAGTTCAAACCTCGGTCCTACCAGAAAAATAAATAAATAAAAACAGAAATAATAAATCACACTTTCAGGCCCTGTCCCTCCACTTACCAATGTCTCCTCCTCTCCTGTGTCAGTCATCCCAAAACCCCATAGCACCTCCAGAACTGCCCTGCTACTTTTTCCCAGAAAATGTCACACAATTCAGAAGCTTCCTGCTGCCCACCTACTCACCTGCCCACCACTCCAGAGGAGCTGCTCTCTAGTGGCTTCCAAAATGCTTGGCCCAGCAGTCAGTCCTCAGTCCTCACTGTACTCTACTTACCCACAGCACTGGGCCTCTGGCCACCCTCCACAGCCACGCAACCCTGGCTGGATTGCCCCTTCCAGGCACCTGAGTTCCTTTCCCTTCCCCACCTCTGATCTGGCTGCACCTCACCTGCTCCTCAGCACTTTCAAACACCCTTGAAAGATCAATGAACTGTTGGCCTGCACACTCACCACCAATCCTGACCCACCCCTGGGCCTAACTGCTCACTCCCTCTCCTGCCTGCATCCTTCCAGGGAGAAACTGAACATGCACAACCTGAGTCTTCACTGCTTCCCCATCCCATCTGCTCCTCCACATTCTTCATCTAGGATCTAGATTTCCTCAGTAAGTAGTCTCACTCCGACCATCCTCGGAGGCTAGCACCCACATGGCCACCTTGCCATCCCTCCTCTTCTCAGGCAAGTCCCAGAGCAAGGCCACCCCCTTCCTCACACCTCTCGCTCTTGCCCCTGCTCCTTGTGCAATGACCAGAAGGATCCCCTTAAAACCAGTCTATGGGCCAGGCAACTGGCTCACACCTGCAATCCCAGCTATTCAGAAGGCAGCGACTGGAATGATCATGGTTCAAGGCCAGGCTGGGCAAAAAGTTAGCAAGACACCATCTCAAACAATAACTGGGCATGTTGGTGCCACCTATTTCAACAACATAGGAAGCATAAATAGGAGGCTCACAATCCAGGCCAGCCTGGGCAAAAACACAAGACCATAACCCAAATATAAGTAAAAGCAACAAAGGGCTGGGAACATGGCACAAGTGGCATAGCATAAGCCTAACAAGCATGAGGCCCTGAGTTCAACCCTCCAGCACCCCAAACAAACAAACAAAAAGCAATTCTCCAGCACTGCAGAGAATGTCCCCTAGGATTGCCAGTACCAGGGGAAGCCACCATGTGAGAGGCTGCCAGTCTCAAGACATGGCTTCCTGTGGCCCTTTCCCAGGACCTACTGCTCCAGTCACCCCAGGACCAGCACCCCGTGAAGCCACTCCACAACCCTGGCACCCATGTCTCAAGACGGAATCCCAGCCTTCCCCGCAGCTCTACTCCATTCTCTTCCTATAAGATTTCCCTGTTTTCTAGGTTCACCTCAACTTCAAGAAACCATTCTGTTGTCTCAAGCACTCATCACAAAATATGTCCCTCAAGGTGGGCAGTGCCTTCCTCTTGGCTGTGGCCCAGGGCTGCGGGGTACCTGGGCACAGGAGGCACCACTGACTGGAAAGCTCAGCCAGCTGTGGCGCAGGATACCCACACTACAAAAGTGGTTGCCCTTGTCCTCATCCCTGCAAGGTAAAACCTGACGGTCAGGATCCTGTCTGATTCCCCTCTGTCCAGGTGGAAAGCCCTTACTTGCTGCACAGTCAGTAAATGTTCACTGAGCTCAATTAGCAAACTTGTATTTCCCTTGGAATACAGCCTGCTCTTGCACATCCTAAGTAAGAAATAAGTTTTGTCCCAATATGGCCCAGAAACATGAAGGTGAATTCCAGCCAAGACTGAGGAGAGATGCTGTGAGCTCAAGCCTGAAAAAAGACAGAGGACAGGAAGGCCTGGGGTGTCCTCTTCAGTACCTCAGCACCTCAGCACACAACTCTTCCTCACAAGAACACAAGAACTGACTCTAGTCACTGACAAAAGGGTGCCCAGGGGAGAAAACAGCAACTTCACATTTTTGGTTTACAGCGCTGATGTGCCCAACAGAGAGATCTCATTACCAGAGAGCGCCATCCTGCTCTGGCAGAGTTTGGAAAGTCCATTCTTTCTGCTCAGGTGTCTATGGACTGGGGAGAATGTCTTGATGGGCTCAGAGGTGAACTGTGTGACTGGGCCCTCCGGCACAGGAAGCCTCCCAGCCAGGCATCTGTGGTCCTCATCAAAGGTGGGTGTGTCTCTGTCCTCCATGGGGAGCAGGAGGGCCAGTCCCCAAGCTCCCACCTCTAGGAGTCCTCACCTCGCCTGGAAGACAAAGGGTGTCTCGTTAACCTCTGCAATGCAAAAATGCACAGGCAGTTTAACCAGCTAATGCCTCACAAAAGACATACATGCAACGCCATCCACCACAGTGAGTACGGTCAATCCAAAGCTGTGCTAAAAGAAACTGTCACAGGAATACATATGAAGGCACGAGAAAATGAGAAAGTAAAATGGGAAAAACAAGGAATGGAGTAGGAAGGTGCCACAAGGGAAGGCAGAAGTTGCAGGTTAAACATAAGTGGAAATACTCCCGGGTTAAGATCATTACAGATGCCATGAGAACCCCCAGCTCCCGAGGGTCTGCACAACTCTTGTGCCACCACAACACAGAGAACCACCTTGCAGCACCCAGTAAAGCCACAGCCAAGAGTATGCTTCACACTCCTTAGCTCTTAGCTAAGCTCCACTCTCCCACAGATGGACCTAGCACTAGCACCAGAGGTGTTTTTGTTTTTAATTACTTTGATATAATTGTAGATTCAAGTATTGATCTAAGAAAAAATACAGAAAAATACCATGTGTCCTGAGTTTCCTCCAATGGAGACTACAGTACAGGATCACAACCAGAAAACAATGCTGCTAAAATGGGCATTGACAAACACTTCTATGTGCGTGCTGAATTCCTATGGTCTTTTCATGTGCACACACTTCCGTGACTGCCCACAGTGAGGACAGGGTGGTCTGTGTGTCACATGGGCAAGCATGTGAGCCACGAATGCAACAGTGCCCTGTGCTCGTGGCCACTCAACGGAGAGCAACTAAGTTTAAAGCCTTCTTTGCCCACCTGGTCATCCAGGAGTAGATTGTCATCTTACTGTCATCTGACAATAAGAGAGCATTCTGTGACCAATACTGGAACCAGTGGCTGAAGTCCCCTGTGAAGTAGAAAACAGAGGCAAGACATACCCACCCCAAGCCTGAGCCCCCTCTTCTAGACCTCCTTCTAGATACCCAGAACCCCAAGGCTCCTGACTAAATGGCCTGGAGCCTATTTTCAAGGCCCTCTTCTCACACAGGGTCAGCATGCCCAGACCCAAAAACATTCTAAAAAGGTACCTCGAAAGAAAGACAAAACTTGAGCAAGCAGGTGAGTGAGGGGCCTGACACAGCACACAGGCCCTTCACAGTGCAAACCTGGGGTTGGAGGGAAACGGAGCCACTCTTCCACCACCACCACATTCCCGCTAAGTAGTTCCAAGGAATCCCAATCCTCCAGTTCTATCCTGGCTTTCAAGTTGTAAGCCTAACTGTACATACGTTGATTATGGTTCGGAGCCTCCCTTGCACTCATGTTCCTCGACCCATAAATCTAAAGGCCTGACCCATGCTCACTTCAGCTGTCAGCTCCCAATTTCAGCACGGCAGGAGCACTCTGTGAGGCAGAATGGGTTAGAAAAAGTAAGTCATGAGGATTAAGAGCCAGGAACTACGAAGAAATATTTTATTAATGAAGAACTTGATTGGGAGCCTTTCTCTCTGATCTCATATGCACATCCCTCATAGCTGCACCATACAGTAAAAAAAAAAAACAAACCACTCTAGCCTTGCCGAGATGATTAACATGGCCCGAGAACCAAATCGGTGCATCTTGAAGAAAACACTTATCTTCAGAAAGATGTTCAGTAAAATGACCCTGGTGATCACAGAAACGCTTACAAAAAGAGAAACGGGCATTTGTGTGGCTGCGACCCAGATTAGCAGTTAATGTCCGCAGTCAAACTGAATATGTCAAACACTATAGCACCAAGAATGATTTAAATGTGTCAGAGGCTCAGGGCAAAAGGGCTCTTAGCTAAAGGAATGTTCAAGCTAAACCGCTCTCTTATTTTACTTAGTATCAATACTCCTGATGTTAAACTGACTCATTTGTGTCTCTATAATACATTTGCATATTGCTTATGAAGTGTGTCTTGCTCTGCTTTCTGCTTTGCTCAATAAATACTGCTAGTCTCTAACCTTGCCTTCTGTCTTGACCTGAAATTCTTTTCTGTGCTGGAGACAAGGACCTACTGGGGCCATAAATTGAGAGCCACTCCCTCTAAGGACTTCCTTGGACTTCCACCAATTCCCAATGACACTTAAAAGGAAAACTGAGGACCCCAACAGAAACAGAATATTGACATCACAAAATCCCATAGAGCTACACAAACCAAATAAATACAAAATATGACATAATTGATTTCAGAGAAACAGACCAATAAACACAAAAAAGCCTGGCACACAATGAAGAGCCTATTTCCAATCAATGGGGAACCCACAGCATGACCTTGGACAGACAACACGGCTTTTCAAGTGCCAGTACCCACGTATAAAATGAGGATACCAAAACACACAGCCTGTAGCACTTCTGAAGGGACGCAAAGAACTAAGTCAGGACTAAGTCAGGACTCAATACTTAATCATTTTTATCTGCTAGTCTTAAATGGAGTTAAACAATTTGGGATAAAAATGTATCCCCATATCTTCCCATGTACAAGACTTGGTTCTGGGTAAATTTAAGAACAAAAGATAAAAGTTCAAGAAAAATGCAAGACTCAACATAACAGATTGTATAACTCAGTAGCCCTTGCATTTTATAATAGCCAGAGCTCATAAGAGTGTTGTGATAGGCGAAGAAACAGGAAAGGAGGAAGAGCTTCCAAAAATTCCACAAATTAAAAATAACACACAAGAGTCAAAGTAGGATCAAAGTGAGTGGTCCCAAGAGAGCTGTCCTGAGACCCCTAAAATGGGCCAGGGACCCTGAGAGAGGGCTAATGTGGTCCCAATTCAGTTAAACCCTTAGGTTCTGGCAAAAGCAATCCTCTCAGAAACAAAATATCCTAAATACAGTTTTCCAAGGATTAAGATCAATTAAATATGCTGTCTTCTAACCTACAAAGAAGAAAAACAACTACTCTTAGTGAGATTCAACAGAAAAATCAAACCAGGAACACTAGCATGGCATGATCAGACCCAGTATGCGCAATGGAGGCCTACGTTTTAACATACAGAGGTAGGGTCACAAGTGAACAAACATTTCTCACACACAGTTAACTATGCTTTCAATGAGTCTCTTAGCCTTTCAGGCAAACAAGCCTTTAAGAAATGCATTTTTTAAATTATAGAACTAGGGCTGGTAGAAAAGCTCCATGGTAGAGAGCCTGCCTAGCAAGCATAAGGCCCCAAGTTCAAATTCCAGTGCAACCAAAAATAAATAATAATAGAACTGAAAAACTTAATTTGTAATTAAAATTTTCTCACAAAGAAAACTCTAAGCCTGGATGGCCTCACTGGTGAATTCTATCAAACATTTAAGGGCTGAAGGTTAGTAGTACAGTGCTTGCCTAGCACGCACAAGGCCCTGGGTTCAACCCCCCAACAGCACAATAAAGCAAAAAAAAGCTTAAGAAGGAAATAACATCAGTAGTAGACGAACTCTCCTAGAAACTACAAAAGAAGAAAACGTTTCCCAGCCCCCCAATGCCAAAACCAGACACACTACTAGAAAAGGAAACTACTGACCAATAGCGCTCACTAACATAGAGATAAGAATTCTCAAAACATTAGCAAATTCAATTATGCAAGAGGTTAAAAGGGAAGCATACCATAACCAAGAGAGGCTTGTTACAGGCACGAAAGGTTGGTTCAGTATTTGGAAATCAATCTATGTAATCCACCACATCAACAGGAAAAAGAAAAGGAACAAGGAAGAAAAGTCACATGAGCTTATCAAGTGATCCAGGAAAAAAGCATTTAACAAAATTTAACAGCCCTTTGGGGTAAAACACCACAAATTCAAAACAGAGCTGCTTTGGCCAGACAAAGAACATCTATGAGAAGCCTGCAGCTGGCAGCACACAGAGTGATAGACTAAATGCTGCCCCTCCAAGCCCAGGAGGAAGTCCCCCAGGTGCCTTTTGTTCAACAGTCCTGGAATCCTGCTCAGTATAAGCAAGCAAGAAAAAGAAACAGGCACACAGCCCACAAGGATGTAGTAACACTGTCTTGAATCATAAAAGACATGGTGAAGAACAACTAAGTTCAGCAAAGTCATAGGGAACAAGAGAAATACATAAACACCAACTGTATTTCTAGATAGCAGTAATGAATGCCTGGAAATTACTTTTTCCATTTTGGCAGTACTGGGGTTTGAACTCAGGGCCTCACACTTGCTAGGCTGGCACTCTACCTCTTGAGCCACACCTCCATTCCTTTTTGGTTTAATTTTTCCCTAGACTAGCCTGTACTGCATCCTCCTATTTATACCTTCAAGTAGCTGGGATGGTACGTACACACCAGCATGCCCAGATTATTGGCTGAGATGGGATGTCACTTTTTGCCCAGGCTGGCCTCAAAGTACTATTGTCATCACCTGGCCTCTCCCTGTGTCTGTCTTCACATGGCTATCTTCTCTGTCTCCTAAGTAGCTGGTATGAGCCACTATGCCCAGCCTAGAAACTAATTTAAGAAAAAAACCCCACACATATAGAAACATAAAAAACATGAAATACTAAGGGGAAATCTAATAAAATATGTGCAAGAACATGTACAATGCAACCACAAGCATGGCTGCAAGAAAATAAAGAGCAAAACTAACAGACAAATGTGTGCCATGGATCAGAGGGCCCAGCATCACCTCAAACCAATCCAGCAGAATCTCAATCAAAATCTCAGCAAACTGGGTGTGGTGGCGGTGGCCATACCTGTAATCCCAGCACTTGGGAGGCTGAAGCAGGAGGAAAGCAAGTCTGAGGCCCGCAAGGGCTATACAATGATATCAAAGGTGGAAAAAAAAAGAAAAGGAGGGCAGAGATTCAAAGGACAGCAGTTCATGGCAAAAAGTCAGCAATACCCCCATCTCAACCAATAAATGAGGCTTGGTGATGCACACCTGTTATTCTAGCTGTAGGAGGATGACAGTTCAAGCTGACCTGGGCAAAAACATGAGAAACTATCAAAAAATAACCAAAACAAAAAGGGCTTGTGGGCATGGCTCAAGT